GGTTGGTGAGCCAAGAAGGTTCTGCGAAACCTTCGAAGGTGGTCCAATAGGTATTGTCGGGGCCAGAGGACGGCTAAAGCCTGACTCGAAGGAAGTAGGCGAGCCAAAATTGCGAGGAAGGGCGGATGGACCGAGGTTCGGAGGAGGTCCTGGTGGTGGCATTGATGGACCTGGACCGAACAGTCCGAATGGAGGTGGGGGTTGTGCAAAGGGTAGACGAGGGGACAACGGGCCAGAAAGTGGAGGTATCATGCTAGGAGCGATAGGATAATGAGGAGCGGTGGACGGCGGAAAGTGATTTTGCACGGAGGGTGCCACAGGAGTTGCAGGCTGAGAATTAGACAGCACGGGACGCTGCGGTTGCTGTGGTGTCTGCTGCAGTGACGGTCGTGGTGTACTTCCGGACGGAGTAGGAGTGACAGGGATGGGCTTGCTAAGGATTTTCTTAGATGGACCGTTGTTACTCTGAGTGCGTTGCGTAGAGCCTGGCGGACGGGGAGAGGTTGGCGGACGGGTGTGCTTGCCAGCTCGTTGCTGTTGAATAGCCCGTTCCTTTTCCGCTTTCTCCTTCTCCTCCCGTTCCTTGGCAAGCTTTCTCTCGCGTTCTTCCTTCTCTTGTTGCTCCTTTCGGGCGGCGTCTCGGGCAGCCTTTTCAGCCGCCGCCTTGGCATCCCTCTCCTCTTTGGCCTTGCGCTCCTTTTCTTCCCGCTCACGGCGCTCCTGCTTGACCCTTTCTTCCTTTTCCTTGCGTTTGCGTTCCCGCTCGGCCTCCCGCTCCTTTTCCTCTGCAGCGCGTTTACGACGCTCCTCCTCTTTACGTTGTTTCTCTTCATCTGCAGCTTTTCGGGTAGCTTCACGACGAGCACGTTCTTCTTCGCGTTTCTTCCGCTGTGCGTCCTCCTGAGCGACTTGCTTGGCCTTTGAAGCGGCCTCCTCTGCTGCCTTCTCTGCTGCTTTGGCAGCTCGCTCTTCGTCGCGGGCTTGTTTTTGAAGTCTGTGAATAATCGTTTCGTTTTGAGTACGAAGCAGTAAATCGATGCTGAAACACACATTTTCTTAGCTTTCTTCTTCTGGTTCTGAGTTTGTTTCTTTGCCTCTCGCTCCTTTGTGAGCTTGTCCTCGTCCTCAAGTTCGCGCAGAAGCTGCATTTGACGTTCCTGTGCAACTTTTTCTCGAAACGCTTGGAGGACGCGCTGTTCAAACATCCGAGCAGCGAAAATGGAGAACATCCGCTTGCCCTCCTCCATCTTTTGCTCCTCGGTCATCACCTAAATCATGTTGAGATAATAAAGGTTCAATGCAAAGAATGCTCACCTCCTCATCGTCGTCATCATCGTCCTCTTCCTCTTCATCATCGTCGTCGTCGTCCTCATCACCTTCCTCATCGTCCTCTTCATCACTTTCATCTTCAACGTCAGCAGCCGCTTCCTCTTCTCGCTGCATTCGACGCTCGGCCAGCTGCTCCATCATCTCTAAGAATTTTTGCCCATCGTTCTTTAGGAGATCGTCTGCAACTGTCAGAATGTTACCTGGACCTATACAGGATATTAGGGGAAACGATGCACAGGTGGAGTGGACCTACCAGTCACAGTCAAGTTACTTCCAAGGTTAAACAGACCGTCGCGACCATTAACCTTCGCGTTATTCACAGGCCTTCGTCCGCGAACACCGGGATTGCGTCGATCTCGTGGTTTCACTTCTTCTTCCTCCTCTTCCGGATCTTCATCCTCCTCCTCCTCTTCCTCGTCTTCTTCATACTCCTCCTCTTCCTCCTCCTCATACTCCTCCTCATCCCCATCATCATCATCAAACTCACTTTCATGTTTCGGAGGTTTTCGGCCGTTCGTCAGGGCTGGTGTTCTATTAGATGGCGGGGGATTATGGGAAACTTTATTCTGAGGAGGATCGATGACAGCGCCATTCTTATCGAGTTCAACGCTGCCGGGAAACGGACCTGGCCCAGGGGGAGGGGGTATGGTGCCACCAGAGGAGACATAGCGCTGCTGGTAGTTCGCGTACTGTTCTAGCTCCTCGTAATAAGCATCGTACAGTACCTCAAGCTCTTCCTCGATCGCATGTCTATAGGCATCGATGATACATGTGCACGGACACCAGATATCCAACACCGATGAAAGAACAAGACACAAAGACAAGCGCGCAGGTCAGTAAATTTTTTTTGTGGATGTGATCAAGGAATGAGTACGGACCGCTTCCTGCCGCAAACTGCACAACTACAACTGTGCTTCTGCTGCTCTTTCATCTTCCGGAGGACGGTATCTTTCTCGATCTTGACCAAATTTCGGCGCTCGTCCTCGCCCAGACCAAGCCAGAATTCTTTGATACGCTCACGCTCCTCTGTCGAGCTAGTGCTCCAGATCTTGGAGTTGTTCTGAGAAGACTTGCCTGGAGCAGCGGCTGCCGGAGGACGATGTTTCTGTGGCACGGATGCATTGGATGATGGAGGCGATGGATGGTGATGAGAATGATTATGCTGGTAGGCGTGAGCAGGAATCGGCGCCTTTGATGCCGCACGAGCCGTTCTTGCTGGTTGCTGGCCATTGACGGTGGCCGTGGCCGTTGTTGGGGTGGTCGTCGTGGTGGCTGTGGATGTCGTTGTCGGGGGTGCATACGACATAGGCTGCTTTCCCTGTGCACGGGAGCTTGGCGGAGGATTAGATATATTTTCTTTTGTTGCTGCTCGAGCTGCAGGCATGGCGTTGGCGGTGAGAGGCAGTGAGCGCTTCCTCAATTCTCCACCGGTCCCTCCACTACCCTTTTCCAGCGCCGATCCCGGTGCCGTGCCCATCGTTCCCACTCCCTGTCCCGGCACTGCCGGACTTTCGGCGCTAACCGCCGGCATTTTAATAGACGAGACTTTCTTGTTTTTCTTATGAAATACCAATTCCTCAACAGGCGCTGCTAGCATTGGCATAGCAGGCATTGATAACTTAGTTCTGAAGTCAGTCGAAAGCGGTCCACTTCGCAAAACCGTTTCCTCGTAGCTCAGAACTACCTGCGCAAAGGTCGCAGGCAGCGATCCATGGAAATGTGGCACGTGCGGAGCTGATGTTGGTTGTGGCTGCAGATCAGAATCGTTCTCATCAAGGTCTTGATCCTCAATGTCGCCGTCTACAGCATCAGCATCTTCACTGTAGTCATCCTCGATAAACTCCTCTTGGCCGAACTCAGGAGGGTGAGATTGGCCAGGTGATGGTAGAGCAGTCCCCAGAGCAGCTGTTGCTCTGTCTACCGATAACGTGAACTCGGGATCGGAGAAAATTGAGGGGTCAAAAGGTAGCGACGGATACGTTCCTGGAGGGTACCCTGGAACGTTCATGCTGGCCCTTGCGGTTATCGTGGTAGCTTCAGTCGCGCTGAATCCAGTCTTCAGCACGGCATCGGACTGTACCATCTGTTGCGCAATATTGTACATTTTTTGCGCCTTTGTGCGGGTCAACAAACCTCGCGTAAGACTAAGAGTAGTACTGCGTACAAAGTTTTTTATGTGTGGCGGAAACGAAGACCAATAATCCTCATCTGTCAACTCTTGTGTATTTGCCTTAGGGAAGCGCTTTGAAAAGGGCGGTAGCGGGACTACTGAAATCCGCTCAGGAGCCTTCCCCGCGCGTCCTTCACCGTGACCATCTATATCCTTGCGATACAGTTCGTCGGCGGTAGCTAGCAGCTCAGTCTGGAGTCGGATCGTAACGTCCGTTCCAGACGGCACGGCAGCAGGCAAGTGTTCAGTTGTAGTAGTTTTGACAGGTTCCGAAGCATGCGACAGTGCTGTGACGGATGGTGGAGGCGCGTGAGCGTCCAGCTGGAGCGTATTCCCGCATAGCTCCGCCACCGACGAAAGAGGTGTCTTGATAGCTTGTTTTTCCTTTAGTTGTGTGTTTGGTTTGTCATTCGCTGATCGAGGCGGGAGTTGGGAATGCATCGAAGGCAAAGGAGACCGTAAGTACGGGAGGGAGGAAGTATGAACATCCTGCGCCGTCCCCTCATTGTCGCTTGCGACCATGCTGTGGAGTTGAGGACAATTTAGTAAAAGTGCGGTGCATAATTGTCTGGGGTTATTTACATGAAGAGCGTAATTGGGCCAACGATCTGATAGTCGATGTTGTGTAACTTTCAGAAGTTCAGATGCTGACGGGTCTTCATACAAGCAGAATCGGCATTTGCCGACGACCCAGCTCTTGGCGCGGACCGAACCAAATTCTCTTTAGGCCAGTGATCATCGCCCTTATCGATGGACAGACCAGTTTGTCTTGCTTCTATTTGGTTTATTTGAAGAATGAAGCGCCGACTTGATTCCTCCGATGGAAGACAGATTTAACCCATCAAGCATTTACCGGTACCGTCAAACCACAACAATGTAGAAATCAGTTGGAAATCAGTCAAGATTATTCCCCTTTCCCCGCCGGGGCTTCTTTCATACTGCCTCGAGGCTCGAGATGCGATAAGCCTCTGGGGAATACACTCCTCTGGTTGTTTTAGCCTAGAAAGAACAACTGTCTTCCTTCGTCTCAGGTCTGCCTAGGAGAGACCACCCACGAGACAGATCTGGTTGATGGTATTGCACTGTATGGTCCAAAACCATTATCAAAGTGCCCGATCATTCTGCTGTACACATCGCAGCAAATTGGTCCATTCGGTGAGTACATGATTTTTGTATGTCTCATTTGTGGACTTATTGGCATCCAGTAGGGGATTAACGTTGATAGTGTGTAAATAAACTGCGAGTGCAATGCATTTAACTCGTGCATGGCCTCACGCCTCAAGTGTTGCGCTGCGGCAATGGCTTTCCTTCTCACCCCTCAGGATGAAACGAAAGTACATCAATTATTTATGTTATGCTAGTGTATTTGGAGGTTTGTCCAATTCTTTGTGCGCGCATATCGACTCGCTCAGTGCATCAAGATATCAAAATTGTGAGACCTTATCAGAACCTCTTCACTTACTATCGGACCGTCTCCAACGTGGCACCGATTTTTCGCCAGCCTTTCTAAAAGTATGCATTTATTTTTCAGTAAGCTTTCTGAAACCTTCTTCTAACCTACGTGTGGCACCGATATTCCCGGTCGGGGATCAGTGCCTGCCCATCTCACTCGATTCACGGGTCAAAGATTCCCATTACAGTATACTGGTTCATCATGGCTCATGCAAGGGAATAATCCATTATTCATTCAGTAGTTTCTGTCAAACAGGTTAACAGCCAGGACTAAACACTAAGACGTGACTCACTAAACGCGCGAAAAGTCGTACATCGGTTTGCGTCTCGTAGTGATCTTTAAAACCTTCGTTTACTTTTAACACCTCGAAATCTCCGATGACAGGATTCCAATGAAATATCCTCTTCACACCGAACCACCAACACCAGTGTATGCATCGCCAACAAGGCTTTGCGGCGCCCAGGCCATTTTTGATGACGCGCGCAACATAGATATCTGCACCGTTTACCTTTGAGTCCCTGCGGCGTGCATTCCGCCCTCTCGGTGGCTCTACAAACAGCATATCGCAAGGCGGAGACAATTCAGCATCAATCGCGCAACACGAGTCAGGGCTCCGAAGCGAAGACTGTGTTTTCGATTCATAAAACGCGCTGCCGTGTGGGCGCGTTGCGTCCAGGTTGTGTGGGACATGTTTCAGACCGCGGCCTTCTTTTGGCTGCAGCGGTACGTCGCAGCGAGAGTTGAACTTGCTGCTTAAATGAAGGAGACATGCCAGTCAAACTAAAGATGGCATGCATTTCTGCGTGCATGGAAGTGGGTTTGCGATGACCGTGCTTCAGTATGTCGTTTCCGTCGTAGTGCGTGCGATGATGATTATAGCCCGTTGATATGACTTTGCCTCCTTTTACGAGTACTGCACCAAGATGGTATGTCATGGATGACTGTTGGAAACGTATCTTCAATAAAACTAGTGAATTACTTGGAGTTGACGAACTCACCTTGCTAGCAGCAAGAGCGCACTGGGAGAGATAATAATCCGTCTTCCTTGCCATAACAATACAAGCGAGGAAAGATAATGACAGTATTGGTGGACTGGCTGATCAGAGTGTCGGTGAAGGCAGCTAACAGTCACATAAACGATAAACGATTTTCATTGGTCGAATGATCATAAACCGGTCGTCATGGAATGAAAAACATCCTGGTGCGTGGGTATGTAATCCAAATGTACTCAGAAAGAGAAAAAAGAAAAGAATCATTAATCAAGGGCTACAGAACCAGTAATTGCTTCGAGACCAATATCCGATTGGCAAGCGCAGTCAAATTAGCATCAGCCACAACCACATCTGGCGCATATTCGACCCCGAATGCCTGCTTAATCACATAGCATATACGTTTGGCCTGCTGCTCGGACCAGAAGCTGAAATCGTCCACGTCACGAGCAACGGCAGGGTCTGTGTCGGCGGATTCTTGGATACCTCCGCAAGATAGGGGAATCAGGTCGGGATCAGAGTCCAGGCAGAGAGGTACAGTGTAAGTCAAGTATTCCCGAATGGAGGTGAGATCGAGCGCCACAGGTTTGCTCACTACAAAACGATTTTGGTCAGATGCAAGATCTATTTAACCGAATATCTGATACATACCGTACACCTCGCACGGTCCGTCAAGACTTAACACATTATACTTGCCATCGTGATGGTAACGGACCTTTTTTCAAATATAAGTTGATATGGCATAATAATAATACGGCTGTGACGAACCTCGTATTGACCAATAGTCCATGGGAGTGTGGGACCTTCAAATGAGACGATACCGAACTCCGGCTCCTTTCCCAGAGTGGTAATGCGATTAGTGTGATCGACAGGCGCATCCTGATCCCATTCTTCGTGATGAACGGGAACCCACAACCCGCTAGATGATATCTTCGTCACCAACGTAGATTTGTTGGCACCGACCTACCGGAATTCTTCATGAGTGATCTTTAGTAATAGAAGACAAAACCCACTCACTTTGTATATCCCGATCCAGTCACGACGGGAGTGCCGGGCAGGAGCTTGCCAGTTGACCTTGATAGACTCGCCTATATGGAAGCGTTTGTCGCCGGATTGACTTGGGACAATCGACACCTTGTATTTCGTTGTGTCAAACGATGATAGGTCACGGGCAACGCGACTGAAGGCACAGAATGTTAAAACACAGTCATCATTTTGAGGACTTCATACTGACGTGATAACCAGTCTTTCCCGTGATTGTTGGAGAAGAACTTTGGTCTCCTGCATCACCTCCGATATCCTGGGTTTCGCTGCAACGAAATCATAAGTGCCGTGTAACACCACGCCTAATCGCTTCACACTTACATCTCGCAAGGAACTCCTCGACCACATCAGCAGTTTCTTCAAAGACCTTGTCGAAAGTGCCTTTGACTTCTTTCGCAACTCTCTTGATCTCGGGCACATGCCGACCCGCACGCGATTCTAAAAGGCGAGCATTCTTGCTAGCAACGCTTTTGATAACTTTGACAAAGCCAGCGTCCTTGCGAAGACTGTCACCATATAATTTCTGCATGTGGGGGCTGTCGTAATACGACCAGTAGTTAGCTTTGCCGTGGAGCGTTAGGATTTCGGTCGATGCTTACTGTTCAACGGTCTGGAGGAACCACCAGTGGGACACAAACCTGATGACTGCAAGCACGCCAACAAGTTTGCTGCCACTGATCAAAGCAAGGCCCAGAAAGTAGGCGCCACTCATAAGTTCGGGGTTATTAAGATACCTAGGAAAAATGGAATGAGTAGACGTTGGATAGGAGGCATTTCGTCCAGTCATACCTAAAGATACCAGTGTACTCCAGATGCGCTGGGAAATCCTCCATGAAAAAGTCGCCGTAAAACCAACCTTGCATTCAAAATTGCTTTAGTAAATAAAATAGACAAAAACAGTAATAGTAGACATACCGAAAACACCCAATACTTCGAATGACTCCATAGCTGCCCACCCGTGGAGTGCGATCAAGAGCTAAAAGCGGATTTGAGCGCGTGAAAGAACATAAGCAAAAATACGAACTGCTCCTAGCGTATGACAGAGAAGGGCATCACCCTCAAACCAAGCAACGGGCGCCGTGTATGATTTCCACGCCAAACTCGTCAGCGAAGCTAGCACGCAGTTTTCCGATCAGTAGTTTGTCATGCATAAAACCCAGATACACACTATACGTCATGCACAAGCTAATATTATACAACGCCTTCCAGTTGGTAAATGCTTCCTGCACTGCGCCATCACCATGGTCACGAGACGGATAATGGTAATGTTTTAAGAAGTGCCGGACGAGGTACTTCGATTTGCTCTGTGCACGAAGGAGAAGCCCAAGACCAAAGCTGTGGAACATACACCAAGCACAAGCGTGTGCGAAGTGTAACGCGAGTGTTGCATTATACGATAGTACAGGCAATGATGATCCTAATACGACATAGACCAATAGAAGCGCAAGCATGGCATCTGAGGAACTAAAAGGGGGTTAGGATAACTGTTCGTCCACCAATGGGCGTACTTGCCGGAGTAAATCGATGTTGTGAAGAAGGACCACGTCTCGTCTGAAATACTTGTGATGCAAATCATGTTGAGAGACAGTACTCTCCAAAAGGATAGGTTTCTTGGGGCGGTAGGACCGGAGGGTGCCCGAAGCCTTGCCTTCGCATTCCGTCTCAGTTTCGGTATCTGTAGCAGTCTCGCCTTCCGTGGCAGCGGGTGTGGACAATTGATCTGAATTGTCCTCGACAGATGATGGGATTTGGCGGGAACTGTGCACTTTTTTGATCTTCTTGGTTTCAGATGCAGATATAGGCTTACGCAGCGCGATAGGCTTGCGTTTTCCAGTACATCCGTTCGATATCTACCGCACATCAGAACGATTGTAGATCATAGATCTGGAGACTTACTTACGAGGGTTTTCGAACAAGACAAGGAATGCGAACTGAGCTGCATGAGCTGCCAGACTGACATATAGGACAGCATAGCTTCCGGCCATCAGGGAAAGACCGTAGTATCCAGCGTAACCTGTTTCATTGATTTACAATCGTTAACAAGAAGAGGCAACAAAACTTACCGACGGAGTACATTGGATGAGGGGCCAACTCAAAAACGCCATCAAATACAAGCGCGCCACGCTGGAAAAATACATCACCCCAGTACCAACCGTAATCCTTGACAACATTGTGTGCCTCGGTTTTTACCCACAGGTTGAATACGACTAACGCAACACCACCGATCCACCTACTGCAGCGATAAGCAATATATCAGGTGCGAAGAGGAAGTACTTACCTCATAGCATGGACAGGGAAAGAAAGACCTTCGGGCACTCTGAAACAAGCAAAGGAGAACATGCAATACGCCAAGAAGTCACTGATAAGCCAATCGTGTTAGTTATCGAACGCTAATGCACTTGATAGAGCTGACTTGAGAAGAATCACGTCTACAAGCTGCCTAAACAACAGCCATGTGTTGTATTCCAATGGAAGTTCCTGATACACTCGTGAGCGATGCATTGGCTGGCATCAGTAGGCTGCTCACATCGAATGAATAATCCTTTCCCATTTTCCCCTGTAACTGAGCACGAATCCAGTTTCTAGCAGCCGGGTTACGCTTCTCATCGAGCCATCCCAGGTGTTGTACTTCGCGAACCATCCACTTTCGCTTGCTCTGTTTAGTGAGGACCCATCCCAACCCAGCATCATAAGCTGCCCTCCAGAACACAAAATAGAACAGAAAGAAAACTTTGGCGGTGGGACGTGGCAATATATAGAACAGAACAAGCTGTAACCCGAGCAATGAGAGATTGAGGATGTCCAGATGACTCTTTGGGTAACGTGGATGGAAAAGCCCGGTTAGTACATCGTGCGTGGTTGGAACCCTAAAGACTGATAGCATATTTTTGTCAAAATCCAATTCTGAGGCTTTTTCACTAGCGCCCACCTTCGCCGTCTGGCGTCTGCCCCCAAACCACTTCCTCGTGTGCCTGACGTGTCTTCTCTGACTCTGCTTTAAAATGAGCTCCTGAATCTCCCGAACCATCGTCGGCAACCTTTCGTTGGCGGAGTCCTTGGGGAGTCGAGAGAACCATCTCGATAATTCAACCCAAACGACAGGAACCTAGGATGAAGCTGAGATAGACTATCTCCTGTACGCAGACCAACTGGAGGAAGTTCGTCTTAAGCTTCATCTAGCGATCAATTTACATACTACTTTTTTTTTGGAATTTTATGTAATTTTTTCTTTAGCGAGGTCCTTCAAAAACCCATAAGTGGCCTTCTCTTTTTTTCTCCCTTCATCGCCGCTTCAAAGTTGTAACATTGCATCACTGGCGACCCCTCGTGATGATACACCAAGCTCCGAGCCTTTCGTGAGCGTCAGCAAACTTGCGATTTCCAGCAAACTAGGCCTTTCCAGCCCAATCGATAAACTGCCAAGCCTCAGGTGTCGAGAACTACATGCATCACATCATGACTTCATGAATTTTTTTGCAGGTCGTGCTCGTCATCTGGCAAAGTACACATTAATATCCCTTTTTATTCACTCAATGCTCGAACTTTTTCCTATCGAGCGTCGAGTTGCTAATGTCAGGGAAGAATCAAAGCGTCTAATATCGGACCGATGGCATTTTTTTCGGTTGACTTCTGGGATTGTATTGATAGAAGTTGACCCTACGAGGTGCCTCACACTTTTTTGTATGACATGATGTCTACCGCCTAGGTAGAAACCTACGTACGCGACCCCGCGTATATTCTTCCTTGGTTATCAAGAACCGATGTATCTCGTGATATGAAACTGTACTTGTACTGCTACCGTAACTGGCCGACACATGATGCATATATGACGTTTGAACGGTCGACCATTTGTTCTTCGGGGACGAGGTCACCGTGTATAACGTGACTTTTGTTAATTACGGATCTCAGCTGATTACACGTTTTCCTCCTGAATAGCAACCGAAATGGCACGCGAACATGTGCTCAGACTGCACTGCAATATTCTCGCTCAGCTGAGACGCCGCAGCGTCAATACTAGGGAAGCTTCTTTGTATATTTATGTAATTTGCCAGGTTCACGCGGCGACTGGTTTAGAGGGACTGAACGAGAGATAAAGGAAGCATTTGCGGAAAACCTATGTATTAAGTACAATGTACTATATCAACTGGGCTCTCATCCTTCTACCAAATCAAAGTCATACAACGCCATTGATCAGTTGTCAAGCATCTCTTTGAAACCTTTCTCACTCTCGACTTCTCCTGGGATGTCGTCAAGCTAAAATCAAGCAAGTTTCATCGCGACGTTATTAACTCCCTGTTAGAGGCACTTACTTGGTCAAGGTCAGAAAGGCATTGCCCGATGATTCTGATGGCCTTTCGAAGGTCCTCTTCGAGTATCACCAACGGAGGAGCAAAACGGACACTGCAATCGGACAAAGTTACAGCAAATCGAAGGAGAAATTATCAAGTCACGTACATGTTGCAATGGGTTGGCTTCGCGAGAACACCTCGGCTCTTCAGTAATAAGCAGAATTGCCATGCGGTGCGGCCTTTAGAGCTCTTCTCTTCGTCGATAACCACAGCATTGAGAAGTCCTCTGCCCCGGACTTCTCTGACCAAAGGAGAATTCAAGCGCCACGATTCCCGCGCGGAATATTTCACCGAGATACTGGGCACGATCAGCGAGCTTCTCGTCTACGAGGACACGCAGGGATGTCATAGCGACAGCACATCCCAGGGGGTTCCTAAGTGGCGATGTCAGTATGCATCCGAGAAGACCATCGAGATGACGCACCCGCCGTATGTGCTGCCGTGTTCTCCAGGCTGGATGCAATGCATGACCTCTCGGTCCGCGAGAACCGCCGAAACGGGGTACACTGGAATATTGGGTGTGAAAACCCCCAATGAACAATACTATTAGAGGCTGACTCACCTCCACCCGACAGTGCCTTGCCGAGCAGGACCATATCCGGCCGAATGCCTTCGTGCTCACAACACAGCATCTTGCCCGTCCTGCACAACCCCTAAAGTGTTAATGAGTATATGAGTAATAATTCTCAGGGCTGTATAAGGAAACAAACAGTCTGGATCTCATCGCAGATAAGGAGGACATTGTGTTTGGTGCAGAGCTCCCGAACTTTAGCAAAGTAACCCCTGGGTGGGACGACAATTCTAGAATGGCAATGCAGAAATTGAGAACCGATTTAAGTGAACCCCGTAGAGAACGCACCCTGCCTCCCCTTGAATTGGCTCTATCAAAAACGCAGCCACGTTTTTTCCATGAAGTTCGAGAGCACGTTCTAGATCCGAAATCTCTCCGTAGCGGATGACACATGATTTCGTCATTATCCTTGTAAGTGGGTCCAACACCCTCGAGGTAGGGGCCGAAGCCGCCGCGGCTCTCCGGATCAGTGCTCATACTGGCCGTAAATTATGAATAAATAAGGTCCCGAGCGGACTTCTTGAAGGACGCTTCAGCGCCAAACACACCTAATAACCCCCAGGGTTCTTCCGTGGAAATTTCCTGCAACACTGAGCACAATAGCTTTGCCGTCCGGCACACCCTTCTTAAGGTAAGCCCATTTCCTAGCAAGCTTGACAGCAGTCTCGACGGCCTCGGCACCGGTATTCATCGGGAGAACACTTTCGTAAGAGAACATTTGTGTAATCTGCTGCGCGAACCTCCCAAAGACAGAATTGTAGAAGGCACGAGATGACAGAGTGAGTTTCTGTGCCTGCTCTACTAGAGTAGCAACTATCTTTGGGTGACAATGACCCTAAAAATTTGACCATGTTCCAGTCAGCCCATCCCCCCAATGCATCATCTTTTTGCGGGTGACAAACCTGGTTGACAGCCCTAATAAAGATGTGTTAATAAGAATAGCTATGGAATACAATAGAGCGCCTACGAGTACGCGGACAACATGTCGATGTATTCTTTGCCTTCCGGGTCCCATACCCTGTAGTCAGCAATGAGCTAAAAGGAACCATCCGAATGGCACAAGTCCCTCACTTTGCCCCTCGCGCGGAGTCGAATACTACCGGTAACGGATGATAACTATAAAGATTAAGCGTTGGCATCAGTATGCATTCGTAACGCCCGAATGAATGAAGTCATCATCGATTTTAGCGCTGAGCGACTCAATGCGATTTCGACCACAGGTCTTTCGAAAAAAGCGCTTATAGGCTTGGGAAACACGGAAAACTTACTTGTGAGCGCCGTATTCATGCTCCATACTGATAAGCGATGCTGAAGTCAATTGACCATTGGTAGTGCTGGATGTGTGAACACCATTCCCATTGTGCTGCTTCACGACCTTGTGGGTCGTCGGTTGATTGAAGTGCCCGTTATCGACAGTTGGAGACATTTTTGAGATGCAAGTACGCGTTTGTGGGAGAGCAACAAAAGTGCTTGAGATAGCGGAAGAGTAGGAAGAAGGAGCCCGACGACGTGTGAGTACTTGAGTCGTCTCATTTTGGTCCGCCCGAGACAGGACCCCGGTCGGTCCCTGTGATCAAGTAGCCTGACATTTCCGCCCTTGAAGGTTGCGCCTATTTCGTGATGGGGTATATACTCCATCGGAGTCCATCCCCGTCGGTAGCGCTTGCCTTCACGTGGAGCCTCCGATGCTCCGAAGAGACTTTGTTGTGGATATAATGCTATTCTACAGTCGTAACTCCACTCTGTGAGGATGAGTGCCACAATTCCAAACATCAAGTTGGAGCCGTCAGCTCGGGGATTGAAATTAGCGTGTCCGAATTGGTTGTCACGGTGGCGAGTCGCATCATGACATTCAATAAACTTTTGACTTATTGGTTCCCACTCACGTCGACAACCCCTGACTACACTCATTAGACTGACATCCACCCCTTCCGTATCTCCCCGAGACTTACATAAAGTCATAGACTAGTACGGGCTAATCGGGGACACTCAGGTGCGCTACCTTGACCCCCGTTTTTGTAAGCATTCAAATTTCAAGGTATCCTGTCATTCTAATAAGTCCGAATTGCTTTGAATCAAATGATATCGATAAGCAGTCGAGCCAGTTGACGTGGCAAAGCCAGCTACCTCCAACACGCTTATCCTCATACCACAGTAGTCATATCTCATCAGATCTCGGACCAGAACCATTTCGGCTCGGCCTCATTCCTCGGCCAATTGACATACTCCCCATGCGTCCCTGCCAAGTCGACTCATCATATTTTATCCGTAGTGAGAGATAGGGGTGCCAGTTCATGACCTCGCACGGTCGACAATATCGATAGCATAGTTGCCCGTTTTACCCGAGCGCATCTTATTCCACAAGTGACAAAAGCGAGAAAATAACTGGCTAACGTCGACGGTGACGGGAATAGTCATGCGTGTACGAATCCATCCAGATCGGAGTACTGGCTAGTTAGGGCGCATCAGGGAAACGTAATTCACTAGCACGCTACAGAGCGCTCTGTAACATTCCGTAGCACAATCCAACCCGCTGATGCAGACCTAAACCACTTTCAGACTAGAGGGCTCGGAGCCTACCGTGCCCTCTCTCGTTGCTCGTGACTAACTATCGCTGGCAACGACGAATTGGCCAATCTCTCCTGCTCTCATTCATGTTAAAATTCTTCGCGATGCCGTGTGCGAAATTCGAACCAAAGAGAACAGGAACCAGTGAGCATTGAATGTAGTGTACAACAAAAAGATGTTTCTGCATAGAGAATATCCAAAAATCCGCATATCCGATCAAGAAACCGACGTCCGTCCTGGCCAAAGCCAAATTTTGTAAATGTGGTATCATAGCATGTAGTGCGTGCGTGCGTAAAATCAGCAGAAAAAAATGGGCGTATATCATCGCAAGTCAGAAGGCCACTCTCTCCTTCTCCTCCATCTCCCTTCCTTGTCAAATCGTGGGTTTGTAGGAAAGTTCATTCCATCGTCGAGCCCGTGACCGACTGGTACTGGAGAACCGTACCGCTTGTCAGAAATAGAAAAATGCGGGATTACATCATGAAAACTCACGGAACCACCACCATACGTTCTTGCCCATGACGCTTTCCCAGTTTGCTCGACGGCTTCCTAGCCACCAGAGATTACCCTCCTTGCCGATCCTGCCCCATTCCTTATCCCAACGTCGCCGCGTTCGTTTCTTAGCTCTGGGTATTCAGTTCAGAGTGCGCAATGAGTAAGCAGGAAATGACCAAAAAATTTTGTAATAATATAAAACACAGATAAATTACGCACCCACATTCATACCAACGATGCATATGCGTCAGATTATCCTGTTCGCGCTCTTGCATCGACCTGAATCCAAGGGATTCCACAGTCGTTTGGTTCAACATAATCAGCTGCACTTGTGTCAGGAACATGAGGAAACAGAAAAGGCCGAAGAGAGCCGTTCTATGAAAACATGTCAGCGACTATGCCGACACTATCTGACAGTGACAGACTGAGCCATTAAAACAATATGTTGTGGGTTGAGTGCGGGAGCCGAGGGTCTCATCCGCGACTTGATGTTCAGACCCAAGACCGTTGCGAACATCCAAAAGGAAAGTATCGACGCCCACTGCACGAAATTAACAAAAAACTCCGATGGAATATATCAGTGAATGACTGGGAGTTGACAGTCCTGTCAAGTAATACCTTGTGATTGTAAGCACCGACGCAATGCCCGACCCCTATTTCCGATGTAATTAGCTATCAAATATATATAAAATAACTCCTACTGACATGGACAGTGATGATCATACTTTAGAACGCACTAGTGCCGCAAAACGTGAGAATACGCCGTCATGAACAAATCGTTCCACTTACGGTGCCACAAGCTCGGCAATGATGTGTACGAGGAGGCTTGATGATTCTGTCTCTATTGCAGAAACGATACTCAGGGGTAAGGACAGGTGTCGTCGACGGCCGTCGCGCAAACATGGCTGAAGACGCATCCAAGTTGGGGTTGCCGAAGTTCTCGTGGGGTGGGTGTGGTGCAGAACCCGGGACGTGCACAGATTCATGATTGGCGGGTACGTCCACGATGTGTGCTTCGCCAGGGGTAGACGTGCCTTGATAATGGAGAGTCGGATGATAAACCCTGTCTTGCTTCGTTGCTGCTGGAACAGCGGGGTGTGTCACAGGTACATTATTCCCTGCATTTGATAAGGCCGAGGCATGATTAGATACGTCGACTGCAGGGGACATAAGCTCGAAAGACATTCCACGAGTGTCATCGGAAGTAGCGGGTTGCTGCGCATGTACTGGCGGCTGCACAGGCCGCTCAAGCTCTACTTTTTCTATAAACTTGAGAAGAAGCAATCGGTGAAGATGTATAATGAAAGACTGAATACTGCATACGTCTGCTGGATACCCTGGTGATGTGGTGACGACCTGAGGAAACGCAAAAAGGTTTAACGAAGCCAGTACCATTGAGATCTGCCAACGAACCGCGAAATACGACCATACAGTTATCAAGAGAAGGAAACTGTATACTACCACAAATATGACTAGAACATAGTACACTCAGCGCTGACTCGGATGGGATGCAAGGATGTACATACTGCCGGTTGTCAGACTTCCCAATGCACTCTCATTCTTTACAATCATATCTTTACAGAATATACCGACGTAGACATAGCCTGTATATGCAATCAGAGCTAACGTCAGTCCAACGGCGAACTTGAGAACAATCCAGGGTTGGGGTTTGTTCCCTCGTCGGTTGCGTGACCGTGTGCGTGCCTCTTCTACGACACCGCAACATGTTCGGTCCGAACTTGACATGGAAAGGATGTGATCAAACCGGTGGAGTAGATTCTGCACTGGCTGGCCCTTGCGTAGTTGTAGAACGTTCGAACAAGGAATATAGGATGACGTAATCATTAGCGTGTTCTGAGTGCTTCAAGTTTTACTTACTTGCATGAGCTCATTAACATTGTTTCATCTGGGACGCTCAGGTCCAAGTTGGAGTGTACACGCTGCATACACGCACCACTTCACGCCACCATCATGACGCGCCATCTATTTTCGAACAGCCACTCGTACATTCTTTTTTCCATCAATCCACCATGCACAGATGCTCTAAAACTCAGGAAAGCGATTCAGGATGGTCTGGCAGAGACTTTTGGCATCACAGCCTCTGGCACCTATCTTGACATCCTCTGGATTGCTGAAAGTGGCTCAGAGATCGTCATACGCATCTGCGAAGAGTCAGTCACAAGTATAACATTTATTTCTCTCGGTGACAGAACATGACATCAGGGATGCCCCAAAGCTGATGGCGGCCGTGGTTATAAAACCTGTCTCTCCAAGATTTTCGACAATCAAACATACCAATTTCCTCCCATCCTTAACACGATCAAAAGAGAGGCTCACATGATCGCGATCAAATTCTCAAGTCTTGCATGCGGCTGTTGCTCACAATGGATCGTTTTTTCCCTGTTCGTTGCAAAGCGCGTCATTGGACCGATGCAACGGTACACCTCTTTCTTTCCCATCGGTATATACGGCGTACTTTGCACGGGGAATGATATTCTACAATTCACGAAGTCATCTCGCTCGTTAATGGTCATGTCGCTTCTGGGGTCAGGACTTTCCCCGTTGCTCTTGCCCAAGCCACAAAATCGTCTATCGCTGATGGCCATGCAGCTGCGAAATATGTATGTCAGCATTAACATTCAAGGACTGAATGACCATTCCCACCCTCGGCATCGTGTGTCAAAAATTGGGAATCAATGGAGCGGATGAAATCAAACAGCTGTTATTGATCAGTCGACGCCAAGATGGTCTCATTTGAGCTCTCACCATCATCCACGTGTCTTTGCTCACACCCTTACCCCCTTTCTCCGTCAAAAACTGGAACCACCATTGCGTGTGCTCGTCTGTCCATCCAAAACTTCCCTCGCCGTCCATATCTATATCTTCACCTGTCAAGTCGTGTTTCAGTGCACCGCCTGTCAGACCTGTGGGGAGTAATAGATTCCAGAATGCCAGTGCTGTGTCGATCGCTAAAATAACAATAATTTTCTCTGCTGTTTAGCGGTGTGATCCGTGCGTACCGAGACTCCGCTGTCCTTCCGTCCGAGCAAAGCTGAACGTGTGATCGTATACCTTATGGAAATATGTTGAGTCAGATCCCAACTTTGCACGCAAGCGCGTCAGAGCATCTTTCATGCCGTCAATTGTATCACACCTGCGCAGTAAAATTAGTTCGGCTGTCGTGTTATTGGACGTTGGCGTACTGACCCAAGTCGCGACCATCCCTCTACCCACCCTTTCTTGTTCCACTCTCCAACCCTCGGAGATTTCAATTCGTAAGCTACTGCGAGTAGAACGACATTCTCTGGATCTACTTTGAGATCCTGACACAGCTGAATAGTTCCATCTATTGAAATCTCATCTCCACTGGGATCTGTACAGACGTGGGTATTCAGCGATGGTCTGGTATAGGCAACACTCGCCTTTGTATTTCTCGAAGAGGGCATTCAATTTGCTAGTGGAAGCGACGGTTGTTCTACCTCCGCCCTCTTGATAATAAGCGTCAATTGCCGCGTCAAGCCGTCTCTGGTGCTTGTCAAGATACCGCTTTGCATCTTTCGGACTGGGCAATCGAAGAAGATCAATAACTCGGGGAGCCAAAACTCGATCGATCGGAAACTCACGATGCGCCTGTGATGGAGCAAAAGTCGGATAGAAGAGGGTCCTTGGATGTTTTAGACTAGCCAAGGGATATGATCAGAATGAGTGGTATATGATGGTAATATGAATTGATGCAGCCTGACCATCGTAGAGGAACGATTGTGTGCGTCGCGGTGCTATCGATCGTGCCGTATTGCAACTCTTGGTGGTTGGAGATAAGCGGGTATTTCCGGGCCGCTGAGTTTTTGACCCCCCCGGTACGGTCAGGGATTAGTTTACAACTTCCATTTGATCGGATGTGATGATACATGTAGTACCTCCTAACTGTAGAAGTACCCTGATTTCTTTCCCCGCATTGCACAGCATTGGCCAGTAGCCTCATGACAGCCATTTTATCTCCCGGATTCACTTACTTCACCTCCATTAGTAGGTGACAATTGTGAAATGATATCGTCGCCTAGCTATGTCACTTATCTCCCCTTTCTAGGTGCCTCGTGGCTGATTCCCAGCGCTTATCTCATTGTACTGCCGCATCTATCTTGGCGGATCATGTATTAAATGAATCATTGGGGCTATGTCATCATTCCTTCCATTCCCCCACGAGCCGTCGTCTTCTTTATCGATCGACGGACATGTGTTGGGGTGCTCCTCGCCTCTTTTATTTCGGTCACCCCCACAATCCCGTTTCGAACGGGCACGGAATATTCTCAAGAATCTTCCTGATTCGTGAGAATAACACAGGCACGTGCACCCTAGTGGCGAGGCCTGGGCAACACCCAGTTAACTCGAAATCTTTGGGACGATCGGAAATCGGTCCGACAGCGGGGAACGTGAATATCCAAATAAAGCATACCATGATCTCATTCCAGTCAAGTCCCAGATCCAGAACCGAGATCTAAACGGACGAGATTAATACAAGTCATGCGCATGCCCTTGGCTTTGTTCCTAACGGATCCCCGAGGGAAGTCTCGGATATTTGGCACAAGTGTGAAACTCGGTTCAGGGCGTTCTCCGGATCTCTCTCCATCGCCCGGTGCCTGCTTGCATTATGTATATCTGTACGTATGTGTATACTTTCCGGCAATCATCGCAATCCGAGACGTATACCTGCGTATATACCCAGTGTAAGAAGCCTACTTGACATCGGGAAGCGCCGGATTTGGCTCGTAAATAATTACAGGACAGATAGACCGTGGGTTTGCGAAAAAACCTCGCCGATAATAGAACCGTTATACTTCGTATAACCTCTTGGTATGTGGTGACTATGGTATGGTGTGGGACGACGTTCACTCGGCGCAAGATTGTCAAGAGTCCAGTCTTATAATAGGTCTTTCATCGGATCAACCGAAGAACCTATGTCACGATCTGATTCATTCGTTAGCTTCACACAACTTTACTTGGTATGGTCATCTCACCCATCAATTTCGAACAACGATTCGCTTAGTATGCTTTCCTGCTCGCCGGCGATCTGCATAAGGTGTTGGCCTCCGCCACGCATCATCAGAGTCTTCTCGGTAATCCTCTGTAGGAGGAATTTCTACTTTTGCACCAGGAATGGCATGTACGTCATGAGGTGGACTACGTAAACCGACGCCACCATGATGCGATTGCGAGTGGAGATTGAGAGGTGGCTGAGCTGGTTGGCTGTGAGCTGCCACGGGAAACATGGATGGTGGCTGCGTGGGTGTCGGCATTGAACGGGAAGACCGGGGTTGCTTTGCATGATGGGGATACGGTCCCATCGGCGAATCAATCGGAGAGTGATGCTGAGGGTGTGGTGGAAGCTGTGGCCAAGAGCGCGGTACACCACTTTGTGCTGCTTCCCTAGTTTTGCTGCTATCCTCTTGTTGTGGTACATCGATTTCTACTCGAACACGGACGATCTCCCTTCCAGCTTGTGCAAAGAACGCGCGTTCCTGTCGTTGAAAGAATCCACTGGTAGGCCCAGGTCTCATTTCTGCAAAGTTTGCTGGTGGTGCAGGAGGGAAAAGGGCCATGAGTTCATGACCCGTAGGTGGTGCAGGGTACTTTCTGGGTGTAGAACTACCATCCTGAGTTAGGTTGACATCTGGATGCATATCAGAAGTCAAAGCGTTGAATGTTCAAGTTGAGCTTACCACGAAGTGAACTTGGAGAGAGAGGACGCCTTGGTGCGCCGCCTGATTGTGGTGAAGTATGAATTATTGATGATTTGTGGAGAGGACTATGATCTCCTGCTGTTGTTGTGGAGGCGCTTGATGGTGGGGAGGGGGAGTGCTCTGCGACGGGACGAAGATGGAAAGAAGACATTGTGTGGACAGGTGAGATGAAGGGAAAATGGAAGAAGAAGGATCTTATATAGGTTGACGAACCGAAGAGATAATAGTGGCCGTAATTGATCGTCCTCTCCAACTTGAAGGAAGAAGGAACGCGGAGGAACTTAATTGGAAGAATCAAGTCCATCCCCAGCGAAACTTTCAATATTTGATTCCGGGTACGATGTAATATAAATTCTAAACGGGTACAAAAACGTCACTAGCACGATATTTCATTAAAATTTTCTCTTTTAAAAGTAATCTTAGATTGATGATATCTTGATGTATGTAATTCCGGACCATACAACGTCGAAGTTTTACCTCGTTTTTTATACCTGAAATGGTACCGCCCTACGTAGACTTTATCTGGCAAGTACGGTATCACTAGCTGGTATCATGTCCCTCTACATTTAATTTATTCCTTTTTTTCTTTCACCCCAAGGTCGTTATGGCCAAAAATTACAATGAATTACCCCCCTAGAACACTAATGATCGTGCGAAACTAGGAATCTTCTATGATGCTGGGAATCACTTTTCGCAGCTATTTATTATTCCAATTTCACGAAAACAACTCGTTTCAACCCGACATGTCGATTTCCTCTCTCCGAATGACACAAAAGGCAGAACATCCCGATCCTTCTCATGCTCGTATCGCATATCTCCCGCACCTTCGAAAAAAAAAACGGTGTCCACGAGGGTCCACCATATGTATACAAGTGCCTGGACCCCTCTTCGATACCATGTTACAACCACATCCCTGGGTTATTGATCGGCGGTTCATTGCGTGCCTCAAGTCTTCACGTCTTATTGGTTATCCGGACCTATGAGAACTCAATGTGGTCGGTCGAGTCTGATAACCGCACAGTCCAAAAATGAACTTTGAGAGAAAATAATCTCACCGTAGATACCGAAGCCCTGCTATCCTTTACGTCCGCAGGCAGATTGCTTTCCAATCAGCTCCCAGGATTGTCTTCCTCAACGCTGTGTTCGCAAGCCCTCGGGAGCCCATAGTCACAGCTCCTGCAGGCACCCTGTCCAACCGGGCTACTAGCTGGATCAAAAGTCACGATCACCGGGCTTACAACCATGACGATGGATGGGCTTTGATGCGGACTCGCCGTCGTAAGCAGGGTTTGTGGCTATTAGACAGATACATACCAGATGGGAACAGGTGGCGCTGCGAAAAGTAAGGAACCGTATCCGAAATGCATGCGGACTGAGGCGCGAGCGCAGTTGTAATGTAGTCAGGTTGGTGATAATTACCCCTTCACGAGCGCCAAACCTCAGCGAGCACTGAGTTGGAAAGTTTGGGCTTCTTCGCATGTTGCCTTTTCCTAACGCCTGCGCATGGGGGGAATAAGTCGTTATCTGTGGAGCCATACCGTCAGATATAGGTCTATGACACTCAATAGCAAGGCGTTTCATCCAGATGAACGCGAGAGTCTACATCCTCATGAAGAGTCAGCGTCTTTATTAAGGGCTTCCTTAATGAGCGGCTCTGAGTTAAAGTATACCATGAAATTGAAAACCTCCCAAGGGTCATTGCGGGCTAGTTCTAACTTCTTTTATTTCCTTCATCATGCGTCACTTATCGTCAGGTCGCCTTCTCAATAGCGAGTTCATGGAGTCACCTCCTAAGGAAAGTTCAAGATCGACTCCAGGGTCCAGGGTGCCGATGTGCCGATGTGCCGAGGTCATTCTCAGTTCCACTAAGAGCTTAGCTTCTCTAGTTCGCTGGCACGCTTCTAAGTTCTAAGTTTGAGGGAGGCAGCATTGAGTTGTCCGATCCTCAGGCCCTTACGTAAGATTTTCTCAAGGAACCAAAGTTTACCAAAACCAAAGGCCTCTGACAACCAAACCCATCCACCATGGTCGAGACTCAGAAAACGCTTAGCACAGGGACTTTGAATCTGCGTTTCATGCAAAATGCTCGGAGAGCACAACAATTATCCGGTGTCGATGTCGAGCTCGAGAAAGCGCACGTTAAAGATGAGGCCGAATGGGAAGTAGCGCCTGATATTCGTAAAGCTTGGGGTTTGGTGGATGGGTCCAACTCAGATTCGTGAGTTGCGCGTAGTTGGAATTTGTGTCCTTATGGCTTCAGCGAACTTCTTTGCAATGTATAGAAATGACGATCTATATGAGAGGTCTTATGTGCCTTTCCTCTTTCCTTCTGTTTCTGAGACGTCTGGGGAAGACAACGGCCCTTCATCGTCGTCGACGTCTTTTGGCGGTATGAAACCGCAAGGCCGTCGTAAATTCACTAAAAACGGAGAAGAGGTGAGCACATATCCGCGGTACCCCAGGGTCATATCCCCTTAAGCAATGTTCATTCAATTGTCCCTTATCGTTAGTCATTCAAACCTCCAGAAGTGCGGCCCGCAGCTACAACAGTAGCAGACGTCCAACCTGACGAAAAGCGGAAAACCAAGATCAAATCGATATCCAGCTCAACTCACAGTAGCACTTCCGCCAAGCCATTAAAGAAGCTCAAGGAACCGGCGAGTCGGGTGATATACGACAACAGCAGCGTTGGCGTCGACCTTCGCTCCTCCTTATCTTCAAACCGCACGTCAACTGCATCAGTACCGAAGTCTACCGTTACCAGTGACAGTAAAGCGTTCATGAAGCCCGCTGGCGTAGATGATCCTTCTATCACCCCTGCGAGTAGGGATGCACCCTCAGCTTCAGCTTCTGCCTCTTTCGCACGAAAGGGGAAGAGAAGACGGGAACAGGATAACGCAGAAGTCGAAACCGCAGGACTGAAGAAGAAAACATTATCATTTGTCGAGTGATCGGACCGTTGGAGCACGTGTATGTCATGATCGACCCCTTGGCACTCGCGCATGCTTTCCATTGCTGCCACTCCTGGACGCAATTACGCCGCATGAACTCCCAGTCTATGTGGCTATCTACACGCACACGCATAGGTCATCATTACCATATGTTTGTTCGGAATATCGATATCCATCAGGACCATATTTGCTCGATGTTCCACGCTTTCGATACTAGAATTCGGAATCTGGTTATTGTCATGCCTACTTATAAAAAAATCTTATCGCATGCGAATTGCATTGCTGGAGTGACGTCCTACTGGACGATGTTGACACGGCCAATCAGATGGGAGACTCTAGAACGAATGGGTGAGGAAATTTTCATATGTGAGATGGCCTATCTGATGAGATACGACGTGCTACATGTTGCGGAATCACATGGAGCAGTGCCTTGTGTTTGAGAATACTGTTCAAATCCCTCGCTCGATTCCTGAGAAAGGTAAGACGTGAGAAGCACTGCGCTGCGCTTAGCTCCCCTGCGGGCTTTCCAGGAGCGGCAAGTTGTATTGAACCATTTCACTCATGAGTTCCCTTGCTGGTGTTTCATTTTGGATTTTAATAGCTGATGCCCACACTCCGCGGCGGAACGGTATGGCAGAAAGTGTCAGTCTAGTTGCTTCCGGCCCTCGCCGCAAGCACGATGCAGCAAGTACGTTTACAAGTGACCAAGCGACTTCCAGCAGGGTGGTACCAGGAAACAGGCGCGCCTAATAATATTGCCATTATTGAATACCTTTGGGGGTAGACTCAAACTCAGAAATAGCGGCGGCCGCTCGCAAAAGGCAAGTAAAATCGATTTCCTACGTGTAAACGGTCGTATGGCACGATGCTTGAAGAGTTGAATTGAGTCTCAGTAACACCGCTCGTTTCTAGATATACATAAGCCGAGCTTCTATTCCTTCCGCCGACGTCGGTGCCGGGACATCATCGATGATCCACCTTATGGCATTCCCGGAACCGGAACTTTGTCACAATCTACTATCTTGAGCCTACGTCCCGTTTCATATCTGAATGCGGTATAGCCTATCTGGCCTCATGGTCATCATCATTGGCTCAGGGCGCGTTATATATGCTTTTTCGTTCTTGCCTACATAAAACTCTGGCCAGCGTCCATTCCACATCATGCATCAAGGACTACATTCAAAAATAGGCCATTCATCTCGTCGACACCTCCTTTGAGATGCAGATGTGGCGATGGTTAGATTGTGATAGTCATAATCCTGTAATGGTATGATGCCTCATGTACGCTAGGATGGCACTGATAATGTAGTCCGGTTAGCTTCTCGGCTATAGTGATATCGACCGTACGAAGGCGGACTCGTCGTCATCTTCGCTTCCAACTCGCCCCGCTCATTGACTCCGGAACCACGTCCAGAACTCCCCGTCCCCATTCCCAATTCACTCGACACAGAAAAATAAACAGAGGCTGTCCCAAGCGAGTTATTCTTGCTCAACGTAGACGCCATAGATGGCGCCCATCCAATAGACGAACGCGGAGACGCGGGTGCATGCATCTCGGAAACCGAACCCCTCGAGAAGCGCGAGCGACCCATCGACAACCCAGCTTCTTGAGATCCGAATGACTGGATGGTAGCCATCCGTCGTACGAAACCGCCCATTATGGGTATCAGTTCGTCTTCTTCGTCACCCGATTCTACCGTCGTTAGCGACATCGCAGGTTCGATGGTGTCTGCCCGCGCTATAACTGCCGCGGACAATCGGGGTTGTTGGGTAGGAATGATATTATCATTACCAGCAGCCGGCGGTGCGGGGTTGTTGTAAATTTCCAGATAGGGGTACGCTGGTTCTGATGCCCCGTATCCGTAAGAATAGACAGAGTCAGAGTCGCGGCTGCCTGCGTCCGAGTCCATCGCCAATGGAGAATCAGTCCTATTCCTGCGCTCCCCCATCGGACACACACCCTGACCTTCAGCAACGCCCACGGACTGATCTAATTCCGAGGCACGCGGACCAAGACCAGTACCGTCGGTATATACTTCCGTGCACTCCTCCCAGGCACCGGGTGTTGTATTCGTATTCAGCAAGATATGTTCACTCGGCATAGCAGTACGGTTTTGCCGGCGGAGCGTGCGGGGTATGAGTGTGTCGGAAAGATTATTGTGCCTTTGACGGTCTTTTATTGATAGCCGCAGATTTGTCCAATTTCGCCATATGCGGTTGGGAGCTGGGGGTGCGGGGTTCGAGGATTGTGTGTGTATGGCTTGGGCGCTTGTGTGGGAGTGGGAATGAGAGGGGGAGGAAGAAAAAGAGGGCGAAGGCGCGAGGGTGATGCTTGAATTAGTTAGTGCTATTGTCGAGTCAGACCTTCCTAGTCCAGCTCGAGTCTGTATTAACTTGTTGAAGTTGAAGTGCGATCCTGATGGCGACGGGTCGGGAGTAGATACAGGTGAGTCCATAGTGGACACAGGTGAGTTTACAACACCCTCCGAGGTCATTAATGGCGGGTAGTAGTACGTCTCTCTGGTATATCTCGAAGGATGCCTCGCTTCGTAATACGCTCTCAAGAAGTAAAGGTACAACAGCTACATGAAAAGAACGCTTGTCAATCAGAAACACCATAGAAACTTGAACGCGAGGCTTACGATAATGATTAACGTAGCAATAACCCTTAAAGATGCAACAATTATCCAAGCTGCAAAATTCGCACTGCGACATTGCTTTGCTGTCGAATTTCCAGCGATGGCAACTGTCGTTGACCACAAAACATCCATATTCCACCCACATCTATCCACAGGCCTCCATACCAAAATAAGGACAAGATTCACGATCGACATCGCGATTATCAATACAACAAAACATCCTCTTGAGATCATCTTCGCAGCATGAACGAATCTCCCTCCGTCTTCTGGAAGAAGCGGTACAAACAGCGTCACGACCACTCCAGCGACACTGATACCAGAAATAACGCAAAGTACGAGCGCAAGTGTGGGTATATGCACATCGCTCGTAAGAGCCGTTTGAAATGCGAGGGAATAGCGAATCGTGCAGTATATAGCCCATATACCTGTGAAACCAAAAGATCATTAACATTGGCTCCAGACACACAGACCGAGGATAGGGTATACCAAGAACAACTTCAAAAACACAACATATCCACTTTAAGCGACGAAGTTTGGCTTTTATGAACCGGTCTTCGAGGCTTTTACATTCTGCTGCTGTTATCGGGTCTCCTGTGAGGTCAAGGCCAAGGTCCCAGTGTCGTGGACCGTCTGGGTGGAGTGGTTGGCGTGAGAGTAGGTCATGAAAGGTTGGGGAGTTGTAGGTTGAGGATGTAGGGTTGTACGATTGTTCTTGGGCTGTCGTGAGCGAAAGAGTACGTGTAGTATGTGTCATGGGGGTGGGCGTAGGCATAGCATTGACGAGTCGTTTGTCTGATGTGAAAAGTGCATTGTGCAGATCGAGTGCAGTCATTGATGCGTACGTGAAGGTCGTGGTTCAACAAGAACCAAACCAAAAAAATTCGTCCAACATCAACGAAAACAAACAAGGTTGGCTTCGATGCATGGCTTAGTTGAATTAAAGCGTGATTCTTGGAGACGCTAAATTAATTGGCCCATTGAGCCTGGCCTTGAGCCTTCCATCAGGGTCTGGACAATTGATTGTAACACAAGCGACTTACCTAAATTACTTTATACTTATCTCAGGCTGAACTTTCTGCTTCAAGGACTCGACAGCCGACCACGTTGTCACTGAAGCTGGTCGGTTCACTTCGCGCGACGGGCAGTAGAGGACCGTGTCACTAACTGATTCAGGTTAACGTTCAAGTTCAAGTTCAGAAACGTGCCTTTACTAGTGCTTCCATCTGATGCTTCTTCAAAATGAGGTTCGCCAAATGCAATCACAATAACGTTACTTACTTACTCATTTTTGTTCATGTTAACCAATCAGATAAACCTGCCAGGCGTCCGACTCGGATATCATTAGTGTGGTGTGGTAAAAGCAAATCGAACCTTCAAGTTGAGCCCATTCCGACTATATGTACCGTTACAACTCCCGAACCGCATCGTTCGACTTGTGGCCAAAGCTACTAACTGGTATTCGGTTTGGGTCGGTCATTCGCTTAGGAATCCCTGCAATGCGTGTGGATCATCCAAAAAAACCGTTCCATTTTTTGTCTCACCCGAAGCGCAAAAATCGCTATCAAGTTTTGTTATTCGGGTTGAGAGTACAATGAGCTGCCGGACCGATGCCCCTTCCAATGGTTGAGGATGTCTTGTTTCAAGCCTTTGTAAAGGCAAGGCTCGTTGACGAAATTGGCGCTTGGATAGTTGTGGAGAAACGTGGAAGGACAGATCGAGGAGTTCAAATTAGCGCTGCTGGTCAGGCAGTTTCGTTCAAGTTATGGGGCTCTACCCGAACTTCTTCCAAAGACATCATTATCATCGTCCGAGGAGACGGAGAACGTCCCCCGAACACCTCATACCAGCCGTCTACGAAACACGAGCTCCCACTAGCTTCAACAATCCGCATTCTAGCCTGGTCACCCATCATGCATCATCCCTAATTTTTTGCTTCAACTGAAAACACAGACACTACACATACTTCTTTCGACATATCCCTCATGGAATCAGCTGCAGATCGTCTTGTCAGCGAGCATGACCTCCAAAATTTGTGCAAGCCAGATCCAGGAAACAAGATCGATCCAGTTTCTCCATAGTCGGATGGCGACAAACGAGTATACGTGTTCGATCTTATAGGATCTGCTTTCCTATACCATCAAGTTCGATCCTCACTTCCAGGTAGCACGTTCCTTGACCGTCTGTTCCACCGCAGCCCCTCCGATGCCCATGATAAGTCACCGTCCTCCCTCCTCGACTACGCTCCAAGCCTTTTGAAATGGTGCGGACAAAAAGACACCGAGTTACAAGGGCACACCCTGCGTTATTGAAGTTCTGTTTGCGAAGGGAAAACTTGTATGTCTTTTCTCTTTCTGTTTGTCAGTTTAACTCCACCTAATATTATGCAGAGAAACGCTTGCGCGAGAGAGCAACGGAAAAGACCGTTTCCCTCGAAGAATTCTACTGCAAATGTACAGGACTTTCCATCCGCACATACGCATGTATTAATAACAGTAGATACAGTCTACCATAGGGCTCCGCCCCAACGGACAATAAACCAGGATAAAAAAAAAGCTGTGTATACCCTGCTGTCCGCGCGTCGCAGCTATTCTCGTAAGTGTTGATTCAGGGATTGAATGGATGAAGGCTAAAACAACACTGCACTGGTAGTAGGAATTCTGGAGCATGACTTCACCTACCGCTAAAACAGAAGAGACATCAGCGATGACACTCCGTCAAAAATTCAAAGGACACACCGATTTTGTCCGGGGCGTCATACACCTGCCAGGTGGACAGCAGATCATCACTTGTTCATTGGACGGCTCGCTGCGAGTGTGGAACTCGAAGAGCGGGAAACAAATAGGAGAAGATTGGCGGGACGGGAAAATTGAAGTGTATTGTATAGCATTGTCTCCGGACGGGAGGAAAGTGGTTAGCGGGAGTGAGGATGGCGGGGTGAGGTTGTGGGACATCGAAACATGCAAAGTCATGGCTAAATGGATGGGGCATACAAAGTCAGTGTGGTTTGTCTGCTGGAGTCGAGATGGTCAGAGAGTGTTGAGCGGATCTGACGATGGGACTGCAAGGCAATGGGACGTGGAAAGTGGAGAGACAACCCTCGAGCCAATCGAGACTGGTCACAGTGGCGTGTGGGTAGTGGTCTATTCACCGGACATGTCCATGATTGCGACTGGTGGGCGTGATGGGCCCTGGAGTGGAGAACCCCCCGAATGCTCCATCAAAATCTGGGGCACAAATACAGGCAAGCTGGTCGCAACTCTCAAGGGACATACATCAGCAGTGACTTGCCTGGCTTGGACCAAGGACCGAAAAACTCTCATCTCTGGGTCATGCGATAACTCGATTAGGACATGGAATACCAAAACATGGAAGCAAACCGCACTACTGGAAGCGAACACTCACGCAGTCTGGGCCATTGCAATATCACCAAATGACCGCATCCTCGCAAGTGCATCATACGACGAGACAGCGCTATTGTGGAACCTCGACAATGGACAACTCATCAGTTCACCCCTCCGGCACGCAGACTACATTAACTCCGTATCGTTTTCGGAAGATGGAAAGTTGATGTCCACTGCCTGCCAGGACACAAACGCGTACACATGGGATGTTGCTGCGATTGTTACAGAAGCCGGCCTCGACGACCTACTTTTGAGTTCAAAGGTGAATTGATATGCACGTCTCATTGTTATATTTTCATAACTGAATTCCCTCTGCCAGGCCAACAAGTCGGTACTCCATGTACGTGACGCCTTGATGAAAAGATCTTGTTGTTCTCACTATATATGCTCTAGGCTACTGCTACACGACCTTCAGTGCAACGACGTCTGCCTAATCATCGGATACCCCAAGGTTTCTTTGATGGTGTCCCACCAGATCGCTCCCATGTATGTCATCACTATCAATTTGGTTTTGTTTCCTGACCTTCATGTTCTCAGTCCTCCGCACGAGACCATCCCCACTCCTCAGTACCACCAGGCAGCACATTTCTTGGTCGTTTATTCCACCGGTTGAACCGCAGTCCCTCCAGTGCCCATACTACGTCGCCATCCTCTCCTCTCGAATGGGCTCGAAACATTATGAAGCGGCGCGTACGACGTGATGAGGGTATCAAAGTTCAAGGGTGCAGCCCTGCGGTTGTCGAGGTTCCGTATGCGAAGGGCAAGCGTGTATGTTCCTTCTCCTTGATCGTTCTACTCCACCTGATATCATGTAGAGAAATGCTTGCGCGAGGGAGAAACGAAAAAGACTATTCCCCCAAAAGAATCCTACTGCAAGTAGTTCGCGGCCTCCAAAGCCCAATATCACCCAGCCATCTTCGCAACCACAGGCAGCTAACTCCTTGTCGTCCACCACATCTGCCGTCGGCAATGTCACTGCAATAGCCGCGACTTCGACACCCTCACGCCCAGATGCGACGATAAGGCAGGCAGGACTTTGGACTCGCTTCTGGCTCTTTCTTGGTTGTCTCTCTCCTGAATACACGGTCGGTCATCAGTAGATCTTCTTTTTCATTTCAATATACCCGCTCGTCTGCTCGCTTTTCCTGGGGCAGCTGATTGCATAGCATCAGTCCACTCTTCCTCTACTTCAAAAGCCCCCAATTCACTTACTTTCCCTCCCGCTGCTAATGATATTGCCATAGTAGACACTGCTCCTCGTGCTTATCTCGACGTATACAATGCACGCAATAATGTCCCTCACGCACATCGCGATATCCTCCTCGTCATCGGCTACCCCAGACTCGTTCCCTACTACCTTCCTAGGTTCTTGCTGCATCGCATAGATTAAATTCTTCTCCTACATCAGAGGTGGAGGATCTCTGTTTCAAATCTCACGGACGAGCTTTACAATGAAATACGCACGCGTCACAGTCATCAAGACACAATCTTACATGCGCATGACGTTGACCTTCTCAACAAAAACAATGATTTGTGCACCCTTGCCTACCTGACGGGTTTGGGATTTGCAAATTCTATCATACATGAGTGTCTTTGTACTACGGTGCTGTCTTGTATAGTCTTGCTTTTTTCTGATGTCGTTAAAGTGATTGCCGTGCTAGCGCCAGGTGCTGGTAGAAAATGTTTAGATGCTGATCGAAGGCATTTGGCAGTCCCCCGTCAGCTTCACTGATGTGTCGAAGACACTTTTAAAGAAGGTACGTCCATCTTCATTTTTCCAGCCCAGCTCATAGTACACGACTAACTAGTCCTCTCCCATTCAGGCAGAACTAAACTAGGGCCGAGTGCTGAGTTGTCATTATACTTTGAAAGCCCAAGTCCGTCCTCGGGTCAGCAGGTTCCTCGGAATAGCGTTAAATGGGCGCATTGTATCAAGCTGGTAAATACATCCCGGTGTCCTGTCGCTACACATGCACTAATTTATATGGTGATTGGTGATTGCACTGTCGATGCATAATACAGAAATCGTAGCACTGAGCTGCACGCTAAATCACCGCGCACATTCCACAATGACCAAGCAAACAAAATATCAGCAAAGCTCATGATCATCGTTAGGAACTACAAACTGTGTGGTGCAATGATGGCATTATGAGAACAAACTGAGGACTTCTATATCTTGCGGTACTCGAAGGTGGGCTTCCAGGCTTCGACTCGAAGGACTCGATAACAGTGCGACGCCTTGAAGTCATCCACAGTATCTAAGCTCCAAGACTTTGTCAGATGTCTACGACATCAATTCTGTCAGAACCAGAAACTCGGAGAACAACACATTGGCACCAATCCAGATGCTCGTTACTCACGTCCTACAGTCAACCCAGCCCAATTGCCAAAGCTCGATTGTTATCCACGGCAAATGGACACCCAACATCTCATCTCCAGCATAAAACAGAGATCTTCAGACAACGAAACCGAACTCAAGGATGCAGCTTACGTTTCCTTCGTCGCATCTGTGGGGTGACGATAATTAGTGATCAGGTATTACCATTACTCAAACTCAATTCCTAATGTGCAAAATAGAATCTGTCTATTCGGAATCGCGGTTTCCGGTACCTCATCTCGATCGCCGAGAGAAAGTGATGAGCAAGTGCAAGTTTCGAGGCAAGACAAGATGAATGAAATTTATTGCAAAATGGTGTTTTTAATACTTTGTGGGTGGCAAACTATTATGTACTTTACTGCAAACTTCATCATCTGCTCAGAAAAAATGTGTCTCAAAATCCTCACACAAGATCTCCCAGACAAGAATTCATATCTCACCAGGCAGACGTCCTATCAACCTTCATCACATCATTCAGAATGCCATGCAAATATTCCACAACACCAGATACGCCATCACCAAGTTATTCAACATTGACATCTCCAGCGTCAATGGCATCACCCCCAACATCCCTACCTATCAACCTTCATCGCATTATTCAGAACACTACACAAATCTTCCACAATGCCAGATACACCATCACCAAGTTATTCAACATTGACATCTCCAGTGTCAACAGCATCACCCCCAGCACCCCTGCCTATCAACCTTCATCGCATTATTCAGAACGCTACACAAATCTTCCACAACGCCGGATATGCCATCACCAAGTTATTCAACATCAACGTCTCCAGTGTCAATGGCATCACCTCCAATACCCCCAGGTATGGAGGACTGTACTGCACGCATTGTCTCAGCTTAGTTCATCATTCCAGCTGTACCTACCATGTACCCTACAAGTAGTGGCACTTGTAACTCCCACTGTCCCAAATGCAAAACATTCAATGTTAACCTAATTCCATGCCCCTATCCTGGTTGCTCCTGCACTTTCAAGAATAGATCTGGGCTCACACAACACCAGCACACAATCCATAGTTTTTCATTTGAAATGCCAAGGAAAGCTCCTCTGAGTGAACCACATGAAGACACCGATTGTTGGCAGTCCACAAATGATGGTGATATTGAGATGGATGATCAACCTGTTGGTGGTGAGACAAATAACGAAACTTTGAACGGCCCACATCGTGACTATCATCTTGAACTAGACAGTCTGTTCTCGACTTAGGATATGTTGTTCTGACGCTAATTTTTTTATAGCTCGTATATGTGACGAAGCAGGAAATTTTATTCACCCAGATACACCTCTGCCTCCCTACACCTCTCGGGCCCCAGATGACTGGACACCTTACCACAATCAAATCGAGTTCAAGACAGCCAAGTTTCTTTATTCGAAAGTCCAAATGTCCGCAGGTGATATCGACAAACTTATGCAGTTGTGGGGTGCTACACTTGCAAAACACAATGATGCCCCTCCATTTTCAGACCACTGTGATTTGTATTCGACTATTGACAACACACCGGTTGGAGATGTCCCATGGAAATCTTTTTCGATGAAATACAATGCCAAGGACAATGATATGAATGAAAGTGCACCATGGATGGACAAGACATACACCACATGGTTTCGTGATCCACGCACTATAATACATAACATGCTCGCCAATCCGGATTTCAAGGACACAATGGACTATGTACCATACCAGGAATTTATTAGAGAGGGTGATGATGCAAAGTGTCAATGGCGCAATCTAATGTCAGGTAATTGGGCATAGGACCAAGCGGTGCATTTGCTACCATAAACACTTCTGTTCAGCTCATGTGTTATTGTTTAGGATGAGATTGCAAAAGATCCCCGTACACATGGTGCAACCTTTGTTCCGGTAATCCTTGGAAGCGACAAAACAATGGTTTCAGTAGCAACTGGACAAAACGATTACTACCTGCTGTATGTTTCGATTGGCAATGTCCACAATAATATTCATTGTGCCCACCGAAATGCTGTCGCTCTTATTGGTTTCTTGGATATCCAAAAGAGTACGTCTTTTTTCACAATCATACACCATTTAACGCTGACACGCACCAAACTTGTTTTGTGCATGGTCATGGCTACTTTTTAGCTTTGATGTTCTCTACTATACTTTATGAAATTACTAAGAATTTTCTATAACACATTATGATTTGATTTGAGTAATTTTCAGACATAACAAACCCATAATACTACATAATAATTCAATTAACACTTATCCAATCTAAAGATAAGTTCCAAACACACCACAACACATTAGTCAGCATTCTCTCACAATCTTATGATTGTTTTTTAACAATTCTTCACATTTTTTCTGTATATTCTGAAACATATTTACGGTAGCATTCCAACATTTCAACCGTTCATGTGTGATCAATGGCTTAGTCAGGAAACTGAAGGAAGAAAGTTAATAGATGGGAATATTTGAGAAGTGAACAAGTCATCATGAGACATTTCAACTATGACTCAGTATGAGTCATTATGAGTCATTTTCTGTCTGAGTCACTATGAGTCATATTTCCTTAAATAGATAGTTACACAGCCACATTTAGAGTAGTATATAAGGGGCCCAGCTTCCCCTCTGAATAATGACAATCTCCCTTTTCAAATAAGCTTCCTTTGAGAGGACAGACATCCCCCTTTTAGAGAGAGGGAGGAGGATTTGAGTATCTTCCTGAATTTCTCACCCTATATTTGTGTGAACATCTGAGTGAATATTAGTTTATTCCCTCCATTCTTTTGTCATCATTTCCCACAATATACTGATCTTCTGAGGCCTACCTTGAGCCAATCCTTGAATTACACTAGCTGGTACACGGTTATCAGTCATCTAGTTGTAGTTTTGTCACATTCTCTTTACAACACAGGATATCTTTTCTGTTAGGAGAATTTATGTATTTTTAACGATCAGGAGGACAACAAATAAGATTAGCACTTTATTCAACAATATTAAGAGCTTGGCTGCTTTAAGACTACATCAAGAGGGTGTACTCTGTTCGGATTCTGCATCATACTCATCATGAGTGCCTGAGCAGCAGAGAAGTTAGTTTCGAAGCCACATATTTTGGTTGATTCGATTGTGTTAGAGGCTTAGTTGATCTCCTCTAATTTTTGAGAATAGGGAGTGTTTACAAGATATTACTCTGATTCATTGTGTACTGTTGTGATCCATATATTCATCTTCATATTGCACACCTTTGCAATCTTATTCTAGTAGCATCGTAGTACTGCATCAAGCCAGTTATCAATTCGGCTACACCATTTACGATCCTTATCTTCAGCGTCCTAAGTACTGCATCAAGCCAGTTAACGGACTATTGGCCTTCAAGTACCCAAGCACTGCATCAAACCAGTTAACAGTCACTGTCTCAACCCACCTAAAGTCATTAGAAGTTGTTTAGATTGACCCAGCTATTTACACCTCCTCCCACGAATGACCACGTTATCAACCGTTGGTATTTGTCTGAACCGTTGACCGTGGAGGATAGTGAGAACTGGTGATTTTATTGCCAATCACATCCTAGTAAGACAATGCTCATCATTTTGAACTTATAGCATCCAAAAAACATGCTGAGGACCCACACTTTCGAAAATTCAAGAACCAACTCTTCCATAGTTCATTGTCGCAAATATTGTTGTCACTCAAGCCTGCAATGTCTGTTCCCGAGGTTACACGCTTTGGAGACGGGCACTTTTGCCATATGGTATATGGCCTAGGACCCTACATTGCCAATTACCCTGAACAATCAGTCCTTGCTTGCATCATTTACAATTGGTGTGCGAAGTAAGTGTTTTTAATGAGCATTCACTTCAGCCTATGCTGACAATAATGCCTCAGGTGCTTTGCATTCCCTAATAACTTGGATGCACTTGACAATGGGCTGCGTGGCCGAGAAGTTACTGATACTCTTTGTGAGTAGTTCGATTACACAACACTGTGGGAGGAATGGGGAATTATTGGTGACTTAGTGGTAAGCATGCTCCACTTTCATTTCTCTCACTTCATTCACACTTGTCAGCCTTTCACCGATGATTACCCTCATGCCGATATCCATGAGCTCCTGTCACCAGATATCCTGCATCAAATTGTTAAAGGCACATTTAAAGACCATTTAGTTATGTGGGTCGAACAGTATCTACTGCAGGAACACGGAAAGACACACACAAAAGAGATTCTCGATGACATTGACCGCCGGTAAGTATTTTTATCGTTGCTTTGTCACTTCAATTTGGCTACTAACTACTTGTCATCTATTAAGCATAGCTGCAGCACCCTCTTTTGCAGGACTTCACTGATTTCCAGAAGGACATGGGTTTTTGCAATGGACAGGTGATGACTCAAAGGCCCTCACAAAAGTCTACCTTCCAGCAATCGAGGGACATGTCCCACAAGACATTGTTCAATGTTTTTGCGCCTTTCTTGAATTTTGCTACATTGTGAAGCAAGATATTATTACTGAAGACACTCTTGAGAAGCTTTCAGATGCACTCCAATGCTTTCACCAGTACCGGAAAAAATTTCAAGACACAGGAGTTTGGATAAACGGGTTTTCACTACCATGTCAACACTCCCTCACTCACTACATCTCACTCATCCACATGTTCAGAGCACCAAATGGGCTATGCTCATCGATAACAGAATCGAAACATATCAAGGCTGTCAAGGAGCCTTGGCGATGATTGAGCAAACTCAATGTGCTTGGACAAATGCTACTCACCAACCAGCACCTTGACAAGATTTCTGCATCACAAGTAGACTTTACTGCACACAAAATGCTTACTTCATGTACTATCAGCCATCTTTGTATGTCATTTTTTACTTGCATGATACTAGGTGTTTACAGCTAATTTCAGATGCCATACTTGACCTGAGCTCAAATACAACTTCAAATGCCTCCAATAATACTCAAGATGTCGAAGATGATGATGACGGAGCTCAAAACAACGATGAAGATGGTATGTTGGAAGGGCTGAAAGCACATAGTGATGTGAAATTAGCATGTTGTCTTACTAGGATGTGATTGGCAATAAAATCACCAGTTCTCACTATCCTCCACGGTCAACGGTTCAGACAAATACCAACGGTTGATAACGTGGTCATTCGTGGGAGGAGGTGTAAATAGCTGGGTCAATCTAAACAACTTCTAATGACTTTAGGTGGGTTGAGACAGTGACTGTTAACTGGTTTGATGCAGTGCTTGGGTACTTGAAGGCCAATAGTCCGTTAACTGGCTTGATGCAGTACTTAGGACGCTGAAGATAAGGATCGTAAATGGTGTAGCCGAATTGATAACTGGCTTGATGCAGTACTACGATGCTACTAGAATAAGATTGCAAAGGTGTGCAATATGAAGATGAATATATGGATCACAACAGTACACAATGAATCAGAGTAATATCTTGTAAACACTCCCTATTCTCAAAAATTAGAGGAGATCAACTAAGCCTCTAACACAATCGAATCAACCAAAATATGTGGCTTCGAAACTAACTTCTCTGCTGCTCAGGCACTCATGATGAGTATGATGCAGAATCCGAACAGAGTACACCCTCTTGATGTAGTCTTAAAGCAGCCAAGCTCTTAATATTGTTGAATAAAGTGCTAATCTTATTTGTTGTCCTCCTGATCGTTAAAAATACATAAATTCTCCTAACAGAAAAGATATCCTGTGTTGTAAAGAGAATGTGACAAAACTACAACTAGATGACTGATAACCGTGTACCAGCTAGTGTAATTCAAGGATTGGCTCAAGGTAGGCCTCAGAAGATCAGTATATTGTGGGAAATGATGACAAAAGAATGGAGGGAATAAACTAATATTCACTCAGATGTTCACACAAATATAGGGTGAGAAATTCAGGAAGATACTCAAATCCTCCTCCCTCTCTCTAAAAGGGGGATGTCTGTCCTCTCAAAGGAAGCTTATTTGAAAAGGGAGATTGTCATTATTCAGAGGGGAAGCTGGGCCCCTTATATACTACTCTAAATGTGGCTGTGTAACTATCTATTTAAGGAAATATGACTCATAGTGACTCAGACAGAAAATGACTCATAATGACTCATACTGAGTCATAGTTGAAATGTCTCATGATGACTTGTTCACTTCTCAAATATTCCCATCTATTAACTTTCTTCCTTCAGTTTCCTGACTAAGCCATTGATCACACATGAACGGTTGAAATGTTGGAATGCTACCGTAAATATGTTTCAGAATATACAGAAAAAATGTGAAGAATTGTTAAAAAACAATCATAAGATTGTGAGAGAATGCTGACTAATGTGTTGTGGTGTGTTTGGAACTTATCTTTAGATTGGATAAGTGTTAATTGAATTATTATGTAGTATTATGGGTTTGTTATGTCTGAAAATTACTCAAATCAAATCATAATGTGTTATAGAAAATTCTTAGTAATTTCATAAAGTATACTATCACTGGCAGGGTTTTTCACAGGTTTTCAATGTTTGATGCGCAGCACACTCGTCAAGAGGTCTTTTTTTCTGCTTCTTGACAGACCTGTGGGAAATATCATGCTCTATCACACCCAGGTGAAATCTGATTTTTTGCGATGATGTTCAAGCGGCGGAAGGAATCCGGTTGTGCGATGTCAGTTCGGCAGGGACTGGATATGCTGTTTCAAAATTTGTCACAGCAATGTCACACTGGAGTTTTGTAGCTCCGCAACGGCATGCTCAGCAGAATTTTGAATCTCGATATCTGAACAAGCATTCGAAGGAAATCAAAGATTCTATGGATTCGTGCATGTACATTATATAGACCAGCTATTCACAGTAAGTAAATCTAAATGTATGTATGTGCATTAAGTGGAAAGGATATGATAGTAATAGAATGAAAGTGAGTATGTTCACAAAAGTGTATAATCAAAGACTGGATGTAGGATATATACCAACGAGGATTAAACTCACAGTCCAGGTCATTGCACTGGTGAGTGATAATAAGGTGGATAATAAAAGGGATCATGTTGAGGTTGAAATGATTCGAGGTGAGGATGTTCTTGATAAGGTGTTTAATTGCAGATGCGAGTGGGAGATGGCTTGCCGAATGCAGAAGAGGATGTGCGCCAAGCACAAGTGGAGGTTCATGTTCATTGTCATCAAGTGTGTGAGAAGATGTTGATACAACGGGTCGTGATGGCGGCAGATTTTCTTCCTCGATAGCTGCCCATTGTTGACTATCGCGCGTGTCCCTGAGATTTTGCGGAATAGAATGTTTTGAAAATCGGGCGTCTGATTGCAGGCTGCTATAAGATACACCTCCCCTTTCGGTCTTACTCGATGTACAGTTTTTGAGCGGAGATTATAATTGATGCTGCACTATAGTCATGGTGCGGCATCCACTCTTTCAACAAATTCACTGATAACATGGTTCTGCCCTCATTCAATCGCGATATGGAAAATCGCAGTGGTAAGCATTATTTGTATAGGGACAGAGATTGTTTTCCCTTGGTTTTTTTTCCTGTTTGACAAAGTATACAGATTGTAGCATTACAATCATTAATGCTCAGTGGTGTGACATATGTCAATGGATGATTTATTGTGAACACAACTGCTCGATGTTTTCTGTAATATCTTCACAGCTGTATTCTATAGACACTAGAGAACACTGGCTAAAATCACAGAATATTTTTATGCAGTGTGCAGCTCACGATATGATGATCAGCGAATTTTGAAACCCAATACCCATTTTGAAAAACCCCGCCAGTGATAGTAGTAGAGAACATCAAAGCTAAAAAGTAGCCATGACCATGCACAAAACAAGTTTGGTGCGTGTCAACACACCACGTGATGAAGGTATCAAATTGCAAGGGTGCAGCCCTGCGGTTGTCGAGGTTCCATATGCGAAGGGCAAACATGTAAGTTCTTTCTCTTCCTTGATCATCCTACACCACTTAATTTCATGTAGAGAAATGCTTGTGCAAGGGAGAAATGGAAAAAACTATTTCTCCCAAAGATCCCTACCGCAAGTAGCTCACAGCCTCCAAAGCCCAATGTCACCCAGTCATCTTCGCAACCACAGACTGCCATCCCTGGTTCACCCTCCACACCTCCCATTGGCGATGCTATTGGCATAGCCATGACCTCAACGACCTCACACCCAGATGCAACAATAAGACAGGCTGGACTTTGGACTCACTTCTGGCTCTTTCTCGGTTGTCTCTCTCCTGAATATACGGATGGTCATCATTAGATTTTCTCATCCTTTACGAGTCGCATGCCTTTATGTTCGATACAGATTCCAAACAAACGCTTCATCATCTCCATCAAAATGTATACTACACATTGATTTTTCTGCAGCTGCAACAAAGCATCGATCATTGCATGGACATTAACGATCCAATACAGGAGCCGAAACAAGACTTGCCTATTAATATCTATTCATTAAGTCAGGCTCAAACAATGACGATGGTATCATCCTGAATAGCAAGCAGCATCAATACCAGTTGTTGCGGATACTGAAAATGAAGATGGATTTGAGAATCAAAATACTATGTCGGTGTCAATCCATGCGGAGAGACTTGGATCAGAGCATGTACTTTGAATTGAGATAAAAAACTACAATGTCATCCAATATCAGACTTCATTAACATTAGTGTTGTGCTGTGGTATTGAAACAAATCAAAATAATGCCATTTCATCCTACCCGAAGTATTACATGAACTGTGTCATACTACAACCTTACAGCCTCACTAAACTCCTTCTCCCACTTGTCAATCCAAAATTCAAGTTGCCTTCTCCTTGCATCGTAGTAATCCCTCCAAAGATCCTCCCAAAGATTGCATTTCTGCACAGCTGAAAATGTGCTGTTGCAGTTCATCAAACATATACAAAATCCTATGTAATTCTGTCCCAACATCAATAACCAAACATCATACAAGAGGAAAAAGGGGAATGAAGATTGGGATCGAACTCACCTAACAATATTCTCCTAACCTTATCTCCATCCCGCACCCAACACCCAACAGGACAGGTTTGATCAATGCTGATATCAATGCATCGAGCAAAGAACACTGCTGCTCTCCCTCCTCCTGAGTCCTAGGGAGCATGAGAGCAGAGATGGAGATGAATCACGGATCAGAGAGCATTGAAACATGGGAATTGACATGAAGAGTTGGGGGTGGTGCGTTTTCTGAGGTGGGAGGGCTTATGTTTGATTGTGGGTCAAGCTGAGGTTGGGAGGAGGGGGATGGTTATCAACAGGGTTTGCATTTTGAGTGTGTCGCTTGTACCTAGGAGGAGGTTGTGCAGGGGTTGCCATATCCCTAGTTTCTTCAGGTCTATGTCATGCCATTTGTAAGGTCGCACATCAATCCACGGCAGTATAGTCACCATTCACAATATCAATATTCAGAACTAGCTATATCCAATTGTAAGCAACCATGACACACACAAGGTTCGATCATTGGAAAGACACAACACACCATTTCAAGATCATCAAGCACTAGTAATTTGTCATCTTCAGCTTGCCTTTCATCCAGGACTCCTGTAAGAGCGTCTTTTCTGAGTTGAGCATCTGGTTTACTGCTCCAGATGTGATCGATTATTCAGGAATCAAGTTTAACTGTCCTGTTTTCCATAGTGAACGGCTTATCGCCTTGCATAGTTGTTGAGAACCAGATAATCATGCCATAATTTAAATGTGATCATATGATACTTAGACGCTTCGGGTGCACAGCCTATGCTGTGTATAAGCTGTGAAGCAAACACGAGGATACAGCATATAAAACAACATATCAGGAAGTAAGTGGATTCAGTTTTAACTTGACCACCAAACCTATTATTCACTGCTGCCTGCCCATCACTGCTTACTAGAGACCTCCTCGTAAGTGATGATTGGAATTTTATCGATGAAAGCTGAGATGGTGCTGCACTCCATAGTCAAAATTCTGGAGTATGGCCTCATCCACCACTAAAACAAAAGAGACATTAGCAATAAAACCCAACCAGGAATTCAAAGGACACACCAAAAGGGCGTGAGGAGTCATACACCTGCCAGGTGGACAGTGAATCATCACTTGTTCAGAAGACGGCTCGCTGCGGGTATGGAACTTGAAGAGCGAGAAACAGATAGGGGAAGACTGGAGAGATGGAGAAGGTAGAGTGCACTGTATAGCATTGTCTCCGGACGGGAAGAAAGTGGTTAGTGGGAGTAAGAATGGCACAGTGAGGTTGTGGGACATTGACATATGCAAAGTCATCACTAGATGGATGGGGCACACAGAGGAAGTGAATACCGTCTGCTGGAGTCAAGATGGTCAGAGAGTGTTGAGCGGATCTCACAATAGGACCGCAAGGCAATGGGTTGTAGAAAGCGGAGAGACAATCCTTGAGCCAATCAAGACTGGGCACATCTCTGTGTGGGCAGTGGTCTATTCACCAGACATGTCCATGATTGCAACGGGTGGACAGGATGGGCCCTTGACTGACGAACCCATCATGGAGTGCTCCATCAAAATCTGGAACACAAAGACAGATGAGCTGGTCGCAACTCTCAAAGGACATACACAGATACAGTAGACTTGCTCATAACGTATATGGTAATAATGTATATTTTTCATATTGTATTGGGTTTGGGTGGCTCCCATTGTGGTATGCGGGGAAATGGCCAGGATATTGTATAATGTATAATGTATAGTGTTTGGTGGTCCAATATACAGTATGACACCTAGTTTACTAAGGCCCGGGTGGTCGGAGATCCTGAAAGTAGCATGAAAAATTTTCATTGATGCACATCTATTAGTACTAACTAAATGGCGTGTAGCACCAAAAAATGCCAGCCATGTCCTAAGCCTGGCCCATACAAGCCTTAGAAGCCAATAACATCTGGGAAAGATGCCACTGTAACATCTACAGCAGCACCTAAAACTATACACCGTCAAAATCTTACACTAAAGGACTGATATTGTTGATCATGATAAACCAAAGTTGAGTACCATGGAGCTAATCGAGCTCTGTGAACAACTCGAGGCAGCATGCATTGCACGAGTTAATGTGGACTCGTCCTTTGATATTATTCACAATCTTCGTAGGCTCAGAGGGGTTTTGCGACGCGAAGAAATTCAGAATGCCAAGCAGGCTACTCTAGACACGTTCTGGAACATGAAGTAGACTAGATAGTTGAATACATGCGATGATGCTGTGACCGTGGGAACCTTTCCATCTACATATTATAAGAACGGAGCGATTTCCAATATGGTGTCGACGCCATGTGCGCGCTCCACTTGAGCCTGAGTGCACATGTATTGTTCATTACGGAATCTCTGTATCTCTTCCATCCCGGCTCGAGCGAGTATATTTTTCATAGTGTATAGAGAAAGGGTGGCTCCCGTCGCTATACGTTATGAGCAAGTCTACTGTAGTGGGTTGCCAACTTGCCTGGCTTGGACTGAGGACCGAAAAACTCTTATCTCCGGGTCAGACAATTACTCGATTAGGACATGGAATACCGAAACATGGAGGCAAACTGCACTACTGGAAGCGCACACTCACGCGGTGTGGGCCTTAGGTGAGCCACATATCCGGGATTTGCCATTTGCACCCCTCTTACGAGGATATAGATATAGCATGTACAACGACGTACCAGGAAGCAGTGAACTCAACTGTGACTTACCACCAAAGCCATCATTCCCTGCTGCCTGCCCATCGCTGCACTACGTAGTTGAAATCCTGGAGTATGGCTTCACCCACTGCTAAGACATCAGAGATCAGAGCCTGCCAGACATTTGAAGGACACGCAGGATCTGTCTGGGGCATCATATACCTGCCAGGTAGACAGCGGATCATCACTTCTTCATACGACGGCTCGCTGCGGGTATGGAACTTGAAGAGCGGGAAACAGATAGGAGAAGACTGGAGAGACGGAGAAGGTGAAGTGTACAATATAGCGTTGTCTCCGGACGGGAAGAAAGTGGTTAGCGGCAGTGAGGACGGCGCAGTGAGACTGTGGGACATCGACACATGCAAGGTCATCGCTAAATGGATGGGGCATACAAAACCAGTGTTATCTGTCTGCTGGAGTCAAGATGGTCGGAGAGTGTTGAGCGGATCTCACGACAGGACTGCAAGGCAATGGGACGTGGAAAGCGGAGAGACAATCCTCGAGCCAATCAAGACTGGACACAGTGATGTGTGGGCAGTGGTCTATTCACCAGACACGACCTTCATTGCGACTGGTGGATTTGAAACACATGAGGCCCCCATCAAAATCTGGGACGCAAAGACAGGCAAGCTTGTCGCAACTCTCAAAGGACATGCATGGACAGTGGGTTGCCTGGCTTGGACCAAGGACGGAACAACTCTTATCTCTGGGTCACGCGATTGCTCGATTAGGACATGGAATACCAAAACATGGAAGCAAACCGCATTACTGGAAGCGCACACTTCCTTTGTCTGGGCCACTGCAATATCACCTAATGACCACATCCTCGCAAGTGCATCTTACGACAATACAGCGCTATTGTGGAACCTCGACAATGGAGAACTCATCGGTCCGCCTCTCCGGCACACAAATTTCGTTGAGTCCGTATCGTTTTCGGAAGATGGAAAGCTACTAGCCACTAGCTGCTACGACACGAACGTGTACACATGGGATGTTGCTGCGATTGTTAAAGAAGCCGGCCTCGACGACCTACTTTCGAATTCAAAGGTGAATCGATATGCATGTGTCATTGTTATATTTTCACAACTGAATGCGCTCTGCCAGGCCAACAAGTCGGCACTCCATGTACGTGATAGTCCTTCATAAAGAGTTTGTTGTTCTCAATATATAAGCTCTAGACTAGTGCTACACGACCTCCAGTGCAACGACGTCCGCCTACTCATCAGATACCCCAAGGTTTCTTTGATGGAGTCTCACCAGATCGCTCCCATGTACGTCATCACTACCAATTCAGCTTCGTTTTCCTGACCTTGATATCCTCAGCACTCCTCAAAACCGCCAGGCAGCGCGTTTCTTGGTCGTTTATTCCACCTCAACCGCAACCCCTCCAGTGCTCATGCTACGTCATCATCCTTCCTTCTCGACTGGGCTCGAAACATTTTGAAACAGCGTGGGCGAAGCGGTGAAGGTACCGAGTTGCAAGGGCGCAGCCCTGCTGTTGAAGTTCCGTATGCGAAGGGCAAACGTGTATGTTCTCTCTCCCTCGGATGTTCACTGGCAACTTCATCTAATATTACACAGAGAAATGCTTCATCGAGGGAGGTTGCCTTTGCGAAACAGAAACAGAAAACGAAACTATCACACTCGAAGATCTCTACTACAGGAAGCCCACAGCCTCCCAAGCCCAACATCGCTCAATCATCTTCGCAACCACAGACAGCTGACTCTTCGTTGTCCACCGCGCCTGCTGCCGGTGCAGCTACAATCTCAACAACAGCGCCACGCCCTCACGCAACGATAAGAGACGTTGGACTCTGGACTCGCTTCTGGCTCTTTCTAGGTTGTCTCTCCTGAATACACAGACGGTCATAATCAAATCTCCCCATTCTTCACGAGTGGCATGCCTTTATATCTCGACGGATTCTTGTTGATGTGCTTTACCTACACTCTCTGATGTATTTCGAGCCGTCTTTTATTGATACCACACAACTCGTCACCTCCATCTGCAATGTACGCTACCTATTCATTTCTGCAACTTAAAACTTGCCGTTGCAATTCGTCACGAACGTGTATAAAATCCTAACTGTAACATAGCGTCAACATTGCAACAACTTAATACGGGAGCAGAGAAAAAGACCCTAAGGATGTCTCCCTATCAAGCCAGGCTCAATGGATACCGGTACCTACCAAAGCATCGATAATCGACGATGGTATCCCCGTGAATCGCAAGTAGCTTGATACCAGCCATCGAAACCGGATGCCGAAGATGAAGATGGATCGGGAATTGAGACACGGGTGTCGATGCAGATCAGAGCACTTACTTCGTGACCCGTTGGGCTAGATAAAAAAACTAGGGTGGCGTGATCGCTAACGAACGATCATCTGATATCAGAATCCATTAACATCAGCGCAGTACAATGGTGTTGAAACGAAATCAAAAAAATGCCATTTCATTCCACCTCAAGTACAACCCCGAGCTGCATTGCCCCTCCCGCACGCATCGCACTATGACCTCACAGCCCCGCTCAACTCCTCCCACTCCCCACTCGTCAATCCAAAATTCAAGTTCTCCTCTCCTTGCGTCGTAGTAAGCCTTCCCAAGAACCCCCAGAGACTGCGTTTCTGTACAGCTGAAAAAGCGCCGTTGCAGCTCGTCGCGAATGTATACAAAATCCTAGTTCCGTCCCAATATCAACAACCCAATACGGAAGTGGAAAGAAGAAGGAAAGGTGTGATTGGATCGCACTCACCCAACAATATTCTCCTGGAATTGGTCATCTTTATCTATCTCGCCATCAACACCGAATGGGACAGGTTCGATCAAGGCTGATATCAACGCATCGAGCAGAGACCCCCCTTGCTCTCCCTCCTCCTGAATCGCAGCGAGCGTGAGAGCAGACGTAGAGACTGACGATGGATCAGAGAGCATCGAAGCATGTGAATTTGCGTGGATTGGGGGTGGTGCGTTTTCTGACGTGGGGAGGCTGATGTTTGGTTGAAGATTGACTTGGGAGGAGGAAGAGGTTGGGAGGAGGAGTGTGTTTAACAGGAATGTTGTTTTTCTGCGAACACGGATTTCTGAGTCTAGTGTTCGTCAGTGTGAGAGTGTGTCGATCGTCATGAAAAGAAGGTAGGGGTTGAGGGACGATGCACACCTTCCAAGCACATCCTCAACGCGCTCCATCCCTCCACCACACTCATCTTTTGAACAGCAGCAGCATTCAGTTTCAGTAGTCCAGAAAGCGCGTATAGTGCTCGTGAGCGGGTCTCAGCGGAGTTGGACGAGGGGGAGAGGGATTTGAGGAGTGCGGGGAGAGGGTCGAGGTCGAAGTACTGTTATCAAATAGAACATGGACACAAGATACTTTAGTTAGGGTGAATTGAATTTTGATTATGAACCGGATGCGTGTTAAGAAGAGGGTGCACTGAAAAAGGAGGATGACTTACGGCGAGTTGAGCAGCTGGGTTGTTTTGCAGCGCGGTTCCGATTATCCACAGGGTTTGCATTCTGAGTGCGTCGCTCGTAGTAGATGCTAGTAGGAGGTTGTGTAGAGGTTGCCATATCCCTAGTTTCGCTAGGTCTGTGTCATACTATTTGTTAGATCCGACATGAACCAATCCACGGGAGTATAATCACCATTCGCATTATCAATATTCTGAACTAGCTACATTCTATCGTAAGCAACCACACACGAGGTTCTATAATCAGACGTGATGGAACGCACCATCTCGAGATCATCAAGCGCCTGCAATCTATCATCTTCAGCTTGCCTTTCATCGAGCCCTACTGTAAGAGCTTCTTTCATGAGTTGGGCATCTGGTTTACCGAGAATGTGATCGATGATTCCGGGATCGAGTTTATTGGTGGGTTGGGGGGCTTCATTTGGACTGGAGTTTTCTACACCCCATCGGAGGAGGGATTGCATGGTGGTTGGAGATAGATGCGATCAAGTTCGGAACGGGCGGCACGATTTAGACTTGTGGCTCCGCGACGGTTTGAGACTGTCGGAGTTTTAAATTCCTTTCTAAAAAGTTTTCAAATTGGACGTGGTTACAATTGAGCAGTATTCGTCGATGGCGATGGTGTAGACGGTGAGTGCTCTTTCCATTTGTTGGTCACCGGTGTTCGTGATGACTACCAGTACTTTACCACATTCCGAATATCCATGTGGACAATGTCATTGATTTCAGCCTTGTCTGACATATCCTTTTCTCTTTATGTTTCGACCATCGACTGATCTCTTGCGCTTCAGGTATGCGTCGTGTGTGGTGGATTGCCTATTGTAAGTCTACAGTCCATTTAAAATCGTTGTTGCAAATGTCGTTTTTCTTGGATGAAATCTATTCGATGGGCGGACCGAATGTGGTGCTCCCGTGAAGTCTCCCGGTGTACAATGTGGAGATGGGAGCATTTTCTTGTTGAAATGCATCGAAAGCTGATTCTTTTCATTATTCTGATTCTACCCATAGAGATTTTGATGCTGATATTGTTTTATTATAGCATCGGCAACGCGACTGGCTTCTGGTGGGAAGCATGGACGTGGCGTGTAGTTGGTTCACCTAGCGTATGCGGCGATTAGTAGCAGTAGAGTGTAATGATACCTGCAATGGTTATACGAGCTGAGTTGATGGGACACGCGGAGGTTCACACTGTGCAGGCCCAGCCGTATAAAACATGCAGTAGACAGCGGTCATTGCCAACCAACTCAATGCATAGAGGAGTTGTACAAACAGTCGCTGTAGTGTTGCCTCACATGGCAAGTCAACGGCTATGGGATCCAGACTCCGAGCCGACAGCGCCCAGAGCGACCAACGCTTATGCTGATCTCGGCTTTGCAACTATGAGCTCACCAGTCGGTAGTATCATTGCCAGTCCCAGTCCACAGAACAACGACGAAGACGATGACAACGTTGAGTGGGAGCTTCAAAACAATGGACTGTATATTGGTTCGTTCCCCTGAACCGTCGCCATCATTCTCCAGCTAGTGTTCTCACCCTTTTTTCTAGGTTCATACTCTCGAATAGTCTTATTGAATGCTTTGGTTCCAACTTTCGCAATAGTGATTTTCACTGTGCTAGCATTCCTCCCTGACTTGGCTTGGCCCATAGCAGACTTCCCTTCTCCATACCCATCATCTTTCCCCTTCCCATTACCTCAAATTCTCATCTCCAGCGCATTCTTCAGTCTCACTCATCTCCTCCGCATTCCCATATTCTCACTCACTTCCTTCCTACTCCCTTTACAATATGCATCTTTTGCAAGCACATTCATACATGTCCTCATCACAAACGGCCTTCGTGTCGCATCCCTCGTAATTCTTCAAGTCAGGCACACAATGGACTATCCCATCCCTACTTGCCAGGACCCTGCTTTCCGCACTGTCTGGTGGCTTTCCCTCAACTTTGCAGAGGTGCTTGCTGCTATTATACAGGGATACGAACAACTCGCTCTTTACCGCGATCTCATGGTCCCAGAGGGAAGAGAAACCGAGTTCCTGGAACGTATAAAATCCGGTTCTCTTGACGAATCTGAACCAACACTCGAAAATCCGCATTCCCCACAACAGGAACACGAGACATTCCAAGACGCATTAGAAGACGGAGAAACTCGAAGCGTGGAATCACGCATTGATCGTGGGTTAGAAAAGTTGCTTGTGATAAAGATGAGAGATGAGCTCGAGGAGGTTTATGGGCTTCCTGTCATCGTGCGTACCCCCCGCGTCTCCGATTCACACCCTGATCATCCCTCACAGAAAATCCCAGTCTTCATATCCTGTCTCCAACGTTTTAACTCCATCTTCCTCTCCATAGGCTTCACCCTCCTCCTCAGCGCAGCATACCTCCGCTCCCCACTATCCCTCCCCCTCTCAGACGTATCAATCCAACTGTCATCCGTCCCTGTAACTGACCAACTCAAAGATTTCCTTCACGCGACCTCACAGATGCATTCCTACGACAGCTCGCATATCCCACTCATCGTGACTACCCCCCTCGTCCTCCTCCTCCACACGAGCCTCGCAGTGCTGCACACACCAACCCTCCTGCCACGTGTAGGCGTGCATACTGCTGCCTATGTCGGTGTCTTGGTCGGCCTCATGTCCTTTTTCGCGGGCTTGGCTGTTTGGGGGGCGTTGTCTTAGGTTTGCGCGGGCTAGTACCCACGTTTCCTATCTTATGTTTGATCGATCCGCCCTGTTTGAGGGCGTGTATATACATGAGGATGGAGATCTTTGTTTAGTTGCTGTGTTGCATGCTATGTTGTATGGTATTTATTACCAATGTCGACGCGAGTCATCTGCTTCTGTGCCACTCCGTCCATGCGCTTGACCATACTGAATCTAAGAATGAAACGTTTGGCAAGCTAGTAACTGTCTCACTGCCTTTCGTTCAAGGTCGAAGCTTTAACATTATTGACCTTTGATAAACCTCACATACTGATAAGCTGAGGGCCCAGGTACTAAGTACTTGAAATTTTTTCTCCCGTGATCTTTCAAGCGTCCTAAACCTCTTTTATTTCAGGCTCGGCGACTTGGAATGTGGTCTTTCTGGCTTGTGATGGGTACTACGAAGACCGTCACGCCGCGCATGTTTTGACGTGCAAGACCTGGGGAGGAAGGGTTGGGAAGTCTTTGGTATGTGCGCTCTCGTCGAGCTCACTAATTGCACGACTACTCTTAATGAAACCTCTCCGACTCCAACTTCGAGACCAGACTTCGGGTTCTTCCCCGCAACTCGTCAGACACTCTGCCATGATCTGCTTCCTTCCATTTGCAGTCTCTAGGTTCCTCTGGAAAAAACGGAATTGTTGAACGGAGTCGAATAGGAATCCTGTCCCTTCGCGCCATCGCACAAGGGATAGCAGTCCCCCTTATTTTCAGCTAGTGAAACATCTGTGCGACCATAATCAAAGTCTTCTTCCCGTTTTTGCTACTCTTTTCTAGCATTATTCTCAATTTCTCACACGATATTGATGTACGAAATGACATCGTCCATTACAACAGAAAATGGTACCAGAATCTGCGTCATACAGCACCGCTGGTGAATGTCAGACAAAAGTGGAATGGACCACCAGATAGTTCCTGTGCACGATGTACATCATACAATCGACCTCGAAAAAACACACCGATCCCCGCATTACAAGAAGTAAACGGGAAGAGCCTCTAGTTATATCTAATCAATAAACCCCAGGAATAAGCCGGTATTTCACTTTCTTTGCCCAATTCTCCCATTCTTCCCCTAGAGCACGCTGCAACATTCGGTCCTCCTCCGCAGGTCGGCTGATGGAAACCCAAGCGGCTGATGTGAGAAATACGAAAAAGCTAGTCGTCGCTAACACTTTAATGAAAGGCACTTGTAATATCCCAGACTGCCTCATCCATGATCCTTGACTTCCGTACATGACGGCGACCCCGATGCCTTGGAAAAGGACACCAGTGTAGCTCGGGTGGCGGACCACCGAGTACGGCCCGCTTGTCACAAGTCTGTGCTCTTTTCTGACGCTGAGGTGGAAGCTCCAAAACTTTCCTAACGTCGATATACAATAAAGCCTCAATGCGCCGCCAATCGCGATGGCAATACTGCCAACAAGGAAAGCAGGGGTGATTGGTGTAGGGTGAAGATTGCATAAAAACCGCACAGCTCTAGCGCCATAAATGTCTTCTGGAATATGCGAGGGATCTATATGCATTGCTAGGATGCTGGCCACTTCAGTCAACGATGCTGCCCATGCGCTGGTCTGATATATTGTCCACAAATTAATAAAGACAACGACCGGAGGTCAGGAGTAACATACCTTCAGTAACTTCATACCGCGAAGTTTCAAAAACCATTCATTGAAGGATTCGGACGAGGAGGGGGTCGCCTTCTCTTCAGATGACGGTGGCGGAGAAGGATCAGTCAACGAAATCTGGATGCCAACGGCCGAAGCCAGAATGAAGGGGATCTTGAATAGACTCATGGTGCGCCGCTGTACTTGACCTGGGGGTGTTAATAGGAACTGATCAAGTCGGAGGAACTTTTATAGGGTAATTGGTGTCCTTAGTTACTTGCACATGATACTTACTCTTATGCGGGACGACGAACTTGAACTTATTAGGTCGTTGAATGTCTCCGGGTCTTGCTGTTCATGACACCCAGTTCCGAATGAAACGGATGATTGGTTACATTCTTGAGCAAAACTAGACAAAATATCATGGTTAACTCCGAGCCGTGTTGTTTTGGGTGAGATGCTCACTGGCCGGAGTCGGTGGCATTCCGAGAGTGACCTTCCCCGAGCTACACGACAGGTGAGCCGTTCACGAGAATCATGGGACATGAATCCAGTTGATCCAGGGGGAATGTTACAGTCCAAACTTACATCTAGAAGTAATTTCATCAGCGTTACACTTTTTTTATTGATTCTGAGCTTACATTGCAAAATAACGCTGAACGCACTCAAAGAAAGTTTGACACACCCATCATTATGCAGTTCAGCCAGAAGCACTGCCGCCACCGGATTGATGATTAATCACATGGGAGTGTCGTCGCATATAGGACCTGTGGAATCAATGTTCTGAGATATTCCACATAGCATATTGCAAGCTCGAAAAATTATGTACCTCGCGTTGACTATTGTTTTCCAATTGAGACTCCTGGAAGCGAATGCATTAATGTTCCCGTAGCGAGCGAACCATTCTTCATCTCATTCGAAGCCTGCTAGTGCGTCACGGTCAATAAACGTGTTACCAGTGGGTATCAAGGAGTATATTTAACGCCAATTGCGGTGTTCAAAAGTCACCGTGTTGAGTTGAGCGACTGGAACTTGGCCTATTTCCAGCGAATGACAGTCTGATGCCAGTGAGATATCATCGAGACACAATACCACGTGCCTTCATGTGCTAAGCTTGATTCAGGAAACTGCAAGTCGACACAAAGTCGATACAACTCCGAAGTAACTCTTATGAATATTGGATCTAAGTGTTCAAGGAAATCTTGACAGACCCACCGTTATGCAATTCGAACAGAAGTACTACCGCCACCGGATTGATGATCAATCGTTTCGTCGCATTTAGGACCTGTGTAGTCAATGTTCCGAGTCTGAGATATTTAACATCGCAGGCTCGAAAAAATTATGCACCTCATTGACTCTAGAGTGGTCAGCGCATCGAAGGTGATCCTGTAGCGAGCGAACCATTCTTCATCTCGTTCGAAGCCTGCTAGTGCGTCACGATCAATAAACGTGTTCAACCAGTGGGTATCAAGGAGTATATTTAAAGCCAATTGCGGTGTTCAAAAGTCATCGTGTTGAGTCGAGCGACTGAAACTTGGCCCATATCCAGCAAATATCCAGTGCCAGTAAGATTACATTAGGGGCAACGTCCACGTGATAGGTTCTACAAACGGGTCATTTTTACTTTGAATACCATTATTGAAATACTGAATGGCATACACTCGGGGTTGACTAAGACTGACGCTGTTAGATTTCAAAACCGGCATCCATGAGGTGAGGCTGTTGAACGTTAACGCTGATCGGTCGTTATTACACTGCAGAAGGCGTAGATGGGTGAATTGCATGAAATGGTGGTTTCGTTTGAAGTTTGGATTGCTAATTGCTGATTTGGTGTTTTTGATGAAGAAGTACTTCATTTTATGTAACAATTCCCAATCATGACACGATCGGGACTCATTAGTACTCATTTCTCACGATCAATGAAAAAACGCACTTTTCAGACACCTCTCCTCCAAATGCTTAACATCCATTCCATCCCCCTCAGTGATCAGCGGAGGGCAGGCTTTGGGGTCGATGCGGAGAAAGACATGGAGATGAGGAACCGGGAGGGGATCCATCTTGCTTGTTTGCGTGCTTCGGGGCTTGATATACGATAGATGAGTGCCCTGGCTTGTGTTCCACGCGTGGAATTGACTGACGGGTCGGGCTGGCGTTCGTGAGTTGTTGATCGGTTATTCTTGCGCAATGGCGCCCGCGCGTAGACAGTGTATTGTGGACCAGAGTGGGTGGGTTGGATTATGTGGTTGCTTCGTCATCAGCGTGCCGCAGACATTTCATGATTGATTTGGTGGCACTAGCGGCGAGTTTCATCGCCTGGTGTTCATTCTATTCACAGATACATTCTCCCTCTGTCACGGCGCAGAATGGTAGGGGAATCCTGTGCTTACGGGCGCATGTGTCAATGGGCGCCGCAGTATAAATCTTCCACACTTTGTGTCCGCTGGAATGGGCATGGACTGCGAGGGAAACCAAGGCCAAACCTTTGTAGCAGGAGGCTACGGCTCTATCTATCGAGGACCGACTGCCACAACACAGCCTAGGACTACCGACTATGAGCCAGGACCCTTGGCACTCCCGACCGTCAACTCACAAACTCCGGTTTTCATATTTCTCCTCCTCTACAAATCTTTGCTTCTGACTCCCTGACTTGACTAGACGGGTGCTTGTATCGTGCGGGGACCATCTACAGCTGCCATTAACGTGGGCGTGGTAGTCCTCGCGCGTGCCATCCTCAAACTTGTCGAGATTCTGTGCACTGTTCTGGGAGCGGCATATCCCTGACCGGTGGACCCGGCTCTAGCCCTGCGCTCGAGAGAGGATGAAGACCAAGGATGCTCAGGAAAGGACGAAGACTAAAGATGCTCTAGAGAGCTGAGGATGATGATGATGATGCTACAATGTGTCGTGCTGTCTACTGTCTATGTGTGCTGAGATCCCGAAGACCCCCGGCACGAGACTTGGAACCGAAACTGGTCGTCGTTCAAGGAATTATACGTAGCATTCTGCCCTAGTGTCGTCGTTGATCTCTTCCTTAGTTGTGTCCCCCAGAAATGTGCGGTTGCGCTGCTGTAGTTTGGCGAATTGGCAGCCACCCATAATCAAGAAGGAATCATGTCCCTTCTACATGGTCTGGGGAGACAGAGTCATCGAATCGAGTCGTGGTAACAGGTACGAACCCAGCGGAAACTGTTGAGACACGGTGCCCTATGAGCCGTCCTAGGGGTTAGTGTATGAGGTAAGAATACAAGGTATAGTACGGATGGCTGCCTTTATGTCCGAACGGTGTCTGGACGGATTTGATATAATCGAGGGTATTACCATTTGGCACCTTCCGGTCTGATTTACTGGTGCTTGCACCCTGATGTAAGGCTGTTAGTGAGGCTGTTAGTGACTTCGAAGGGGAATGTGAACGAGTCGTAGGTATATGGCGTGTATATAGATAACACGAAAACAAGTATGGCGTTTGAGATGGGGACTTTTTCTGAGGCGTTCGGCCGTGCTTGGAGTGGGGAAATCACTGTGTGTGATTCTGCTATTGATATGAGTGTACGTGGGCTGTATACATACATTTTCGAATGGATTACTATAGACTAGAATGAAGCATCGGTCCGGTGGCTGCCCAGACTCTGCCTATGCGCCGCCACGATGTACATCATACAATCGACTTCATAGAACACCGATTCCCGTAGTGTTACAAGTACAAGAAGCAAACAGATCCGTGCAAAACACTTTGTATCATATGTGATCAATAAACCCCAGGAATAAGCCGGTATCTCACTTTCTTTGCCCAATTCTCCCATTCTTCTCCCAGAGCAAGCTGCAACATCTTGTCCTCCACTGCAGGTCGGCTGAGGGAAATCCAAGTGGCTAATGTGACAGATCCGAAAAAGACAATCATTGCTAAGACTTTAATGAAAGGCACTCGTAGGATCCCAGACTGCCTCATCCACGACCCTTGGCTTCCGTACATGGTGGCGATCCCAGTAGCTTGGAGAAGGAGACCAGTGTAGCTTGGGTGGCGGACCACCGAGTACGGCCCGCTTGTCACAAGTCTGTGCTCTTTTCTGACGCTGAGGTGGAAGCTCCAAAACTTTCCTAACGTCAATATACAATAAAGCCTCAATACACCGCCAATCGCGATGGCAGTACTGCCAGCAAGGAAAGCAGGGGTAATTGGTGTAGGGTGAAGAATGCACAAAAGCTGCACGGCTCTAGCGGCATAGATACCTTCTGGAATATACGAGGGATCTATATGTATGGCTAGGATGCTAGCCACTTCGGCAAACGATGCTGCCCATGCACTGATCTATTATATTGTCCACAAATTGACGAGGACGACGACCGAAGGTGAGGAGAAATCTACCTTTATTAATTCCATACAGCGAAGTTTCAAAAACCATCCCATGATGGATTCGAGCGACGAGCCCACCACCTTCTCTTTAGATGACGGTGGCGGAGAAGGAGTAATTGACGAAATATGGATGCCAATAGCAGAAGCTAGTATGAAGGGAATCTTCAATAGACTCATAGTGTGTCGCTGTACTTGACCCTGGAGGTGTTGATAGGAACTGATCAACTCAAAGGAATTTTGATAGGGTAATGTCGATTCTCATTTATAACTTGCATGCGATACTTACTCTTATCTGATGCAGGACGATAAATTCGGGTCTCGCTGCTCGCTTCCGGAATGCTTACTATTTTACATAATAATCAAACCTAGACAAAATGACAGTTAAACGTGTCCGTGTTGTTCTGTGTGAGGTACTTACCGAGCGAAGTCAGTGGCATTCCAAATGTAACCTTGTCTGAGTTGGTGGGCAGGAGATGTCCGTACATGTGTCCTGAAGTAACTCCACCAGTGTCACACTTTTCTTATTGCTTTGCATAATAATACTGAACGCACTGAAAAAAAGTTTGACAGACCCATCGTTATGCGATTCGAACAGAAGTACTGCGGCCTGGGGGTTTCGTCGCATTTAGGACCTGTGGAATCTGTGTTCTGAGATATCTAACATCGCAGGCTCAAAAAATATGCACCTCATTGACTCGGAAGCGATTAATGAGTTGAAAAATGGTTAGCGCATCAAAGGTGCACCCGGTGATCCTGTAACGCCGATCAATCTAGAGCGCCGATTGAAAGCCCCGCTCATGTATCCAGCGAATGACAGCGCAGTGAGATCGATTTTGTCGACACAAGACCACGTGCCTTCAGGCTCTACATGATTCAGGAAACACCAAGTCGACACAACTTGAAGTCAAATGGCCCCGGGGCCATTGAATGAGATATACTAGACGGATGCTGTTAATTTTAGTCTTTTAGAACTGGCATCCGTCAGGTGATATATGATAGGTGAATGCGCTGGCTTATGTTCCACGCGTGGGATTGACTGATAGGTCCAGCTGGCGTTCGTGAGCTGTAGACGATTACCCGGTGTAGCCAGTGAGGCTTTGGAATCGATTTTGTTAAGTTGGGGTTGGTCATCAGCCTGCGAATATGATTACGATTGACTTGGTGGCACTGGCGAGTTATGTTATTGTTATTTTTATTGTTATCGTTATCGCAATAGCTTGACATTCGTTTGCGTTTATGGAGGCATCGTGTTCGGCGTTGACTCTATTCACAGGTATGTCCTCCGAGTTCCCCTGTCATGACGCAGAATGGTGGGGGAATCCTGCTCACGGGCGCACGCGAGGGCGTGTACCACCGCCACAGTACAAATTGTGGTTCGATATCTGGTGTCCGCGCTAGCTTGGCACTTCTGCAGACTCCAGCTCTCACATTTATCCTCCACCTTACACCCTGACGTAATTGCATCGTATGAACATCTACAGCTGCCATTAACGTGAGCGTGGTAGTCCTCGCATGTGCCATCCTCGGACTTGCCAGTGTATTGTTCTGGGAATGACACTTCAGCATGCACGACAAATTGCAATGGGCTCCGAGTTGGTTACCTGCTTTCAAAATTCAAAGTAACCTATTCCTGATTCTATACACCAGGACCCACTGGCAGGTGCGTTCCGAGTCTGGAATTCAGCCCTGAATGAATTGAAACAATCAGCTCGTGTACTACTTGAATAACCTACCCTTGTTGATGAATTGATGTTGCCTCGGTGATGACCAGCCCGGCACCCCCGCGTGCGACGTAGTATTCCAGGTTGATGGCATTTGGAATATCGGTAGGTACAAAACGAGAGAGTGATCAGGGGATATCCATCGATGATTGGAAGTAGATGCTCGGAAGAGTGGGCCGAGTCCAGCAGAACCAGTTGCCAAGTAGTCTCCCGTAATAGGCCGGCCAGACAGAAGGAAGACAGTCGTTCCTTCTAGATATCGAGATGATTGAAAGTAGACCTAGTACCCGGTAACCAGTGTAGGGTTTGCAACTGCAGCTGCTACTAGTAACTACTACATGATAGTAGCAACTTGTGTTTTGTGGTGAAGATATTTGCTGAGTCAACATGTACCGCTTCTCCCACCACCATCCATCATGTATCATCTCTTAAAAGGCTTCCATGAGTACTTGACGAGGTAATGCTTCATATTCGCTCCTTCACCTGCATCTGAAGATGACAGGAAAGAAGAGTTTTCAGTGATTATCATCGGCCTTGATGGTGCTGGCAAAACCGTGCGTCTCGTGCCTCACCGTCGAGTTCGAGTTCATCGCGCTGAGAAAAGACTCTGAGATTAGACACTTCTGGAGAAAATAAAGACTCTATATAACGAGACTCCTGGGCTCGACCCGTCCAAGATTGGCCCGACTGTGGGGCAAAATAGTACACGTTTCTCAGAACTCAGTTTCAATTTCGGCGCTCATCAATGTGAATTTGACATGCAGCTGGCAAAATATCTCTCCCATCCAGCATCATCAACTTTTTCGACCTCGGAGGACAACGCGGTATTCGGTCCATCTGGCACAGATACTATGACGACTGTCACGCCGTAGCGTACGTTATCGATGCGCAAGACCGAGAGAGGCTCAGTGAGGGCTGGGAAGTCTTTGGTACGTACGCACCCTTCATCACTCCTTCAACTATCATAAACGACGAACCCAAGATAAACCACTTACTTACAACTCCCACAGACACAGTTCTCTCCTCACCTCAAACGCTTAACATTCCCCTCTTACTCCTTGCAAACAAACAAGATTCCCCTTCAAGCCTCAGCGTTTCAGAGATAAGGCAGGATTATGAAGATTGGGATCAGAGGAGGAGGGAGAGCGCGAGGAGGAGGTTTGGCGAGGACGAGGATGCGGAAATGGAGAGGAAGCGGGAGAGGATTGCTAGTTTGGATGTTTTAGGAGTTTCGGGGCTTGATGGGTAAGTTGGTTTTTACGCATGTCTGGGGTTGGCTGACCGGATTGGCCTTTCAGAGCTGGCGTTCGCGAGGCCGTGGATTGGTTGTTCTTACGTGTGCAGAATAGTAGACGGTATGTGAGCTAGATTGGGTGGTTTGGGGTCATATGTCTGATTTGGTGTTTTCGTGCAGTGACTTGGGGGATCGATAGTGAGGCTTTGGGGATCAGTTTATGTTGGCGGTGTCATCTGCCTGTGTACTTGTATGTACGGGGCTACCTGTTGACCGTCTTATTGAGTGCGAGCTTTTCATGATGATTGATGTGGTTCACTACTAGATCATTGGTTGTTCACTTGATTCACAGGTACATCCTCCCTCTCATACCACCTCGGTTCTGACCCATGATGGGTGATGTTCCGTGTTTGTAGGAGTACTCTATGTTATGCTTTTACTTGCGCGATGGTCACCGCAGTAAAACAACCAGTGACTCGTTGCTAACCTGGTGTGTGCGCTTGCTCATCCCTATCCAAACCCTAGCCTTCAAAGGTCCATGTTTTACCTTTCTACTCTACAACTTTTCCGGGTTCCTCTTGTTTACGAACTGCGACATCCTCGTTATGAGTTTGCTGAATTGTTGTGCGTCTTTCACCGATTGTCGACCTCTGCCCAAACTTTTTTTTGAATCGTTCATGATCTGTCGGGGCGTGGCCCCATGTTAGACAAACCTCACCACATCCACAGGCATCGACTCGTCATTCCGCTGTATGGTGCTCTGGTAGTGCTATTTTGTCACTCTAGGGGAGTTTGACAATCCTCGATCTTCGAATTGACGGTTCAAAATTATCACATCGGAGTTCTGTGGCGTGTAGTGCGCCTAGAGGTGTTGATGTTCGGGTGTCTCAGGCGACTCAGCTGAAAAAATGATGGCGCTAACGTGTCTGAATCTTTCATGACATGGCTTCTGAGACTTTCAGGGTGTAAGCAAGGTATTTTACTCCTATACATTGGTCGTTACCTGATCCGACAATATAATAGATCTGTACATGGGCAGTATTGTCTGCTAATTAGCATCCTTGCCATGCACGCGGATCCCTTTTATGGTTTATATAACACGTGTACAATGGACCCAAGACATCATAAAACACCAATCCCGTATAACAAAGAAACGACCGTGCGGAACGCTCAGTATGTATGTGATCAATAAACCCCAGGGAGCAATCGGTACCTCACCCTCCTCGCCCAATTTTCCCAGTCTTTTCCCAGTGCACGCTGGAGCATCTTGTCCTCCACTAGAGGTCGAGTGATGCACATCCAAGCACATAATGTAAGTCCGAAGAGGAGGATTATTACTAGCACGTTTACTAAAGGCACTTGTAAAATCCCAGACTGCCTCAACCACGCTCCTTGCTCTCCATACATGGCAAGGAGCCCAATATATTGGAAAAGGAAACCAGTATAACTTGGGTGGCGAACGAGAGAGTATGGCCCACTCGTCACAAGTCTGTGTTCTCGTCTGACGCTGAGCGGCCAGCTCCAATACTTCCCCAACGTCGACATACAATAAAACCTCAATACGCCACCAATCGTGACAGCAAGACTTCCGGCAAGGAAAGCGGGGCTGATTGGCGTAGGGTGAAGAGCGCGCAAAAACTGCAGGGCTCTGGCACCATAGATGCCCTCTGGAATTTGCGAGGGATCTATATGTGTGACAAGGATGTTGGCCACTTCAATAGACGATGCTGCCCATGTGCAGATCTGTTTATCGTCCACCGGTCCATTTAAACAACCATTAATGCATCGAAGCCACACACCTTTTTTATATCATTACCCCAAAGACCTTCGAACCGTAGGATGACGAGTTCGAACCTGGGGGGTTCCACCTTCTCTTCGAGTGAAGGCGGCGGAGAAAAAGAACTGAACGAAATATGGATGCCAATGGCCGGAGCTATGATGAAGGGAATCTTTAACAGACTCATGATATACCGCTGAAGTGCCTTTGGAACTTGCGTTGAGTCGCCTTTAATATCTGATGCTTACTAGGCTAATACCCACACTGGGCGTACTGCATGCGATAACACATCTCCAGCGACGAATTTCAATTATTGATTACGCTGCAGTGATCTTTTATCCGCAGAAAGTCAGGATCTGGCTTCCGTTGAGCTGGATATGCTCCTGGGGACGTGTCCTCTGAAGGGTGGTCCAGTAATTCATGCTTATGCTAGCAACGGTGCCATACTTTGCACAGATGGGGTTAACGCAGAAGATTGGCTTTGCCTCGCCAGGGCTGTATATAGTACGTATACGGGCAGCACTACGCTGTTGGAAAAACGATGACCATGGTGGGCTATTTCATCCTGACAATGACAACGAAACCACGGCAATCTCGGCGCCGTGTATCGGACAAGAGTTGAGCCTAGCGTAGCGGCTATTAGAAAACATACAAATATCAATATGCGCAAATTGCCGTGTCATATAGCGGTGCATTGAGTGGTTATCAACCCTGGCGGTAGTAGTAGTACTCTAAAAGTCGGGATAAATGTTTCTGAGATTATCCTGATTCCTCAGCCCTTATCAGGACAGGAGTCCACTATTATCATGTACAGACAAAAACGAAGTCTGTCAGGTTTTGAAACAGAGAGACTTCGAAAATCTTCGAGAGTGTCGCGACGACTTGGCTATCATGAGTTGATTAAGGAATACATGTACCAGGCTCAGTACTGGAGGTGGGCTTGAGGTGGGCTCTTCGTAACTCATGTTCTTCCAATGTGAAAAGAACAGGGGCTCATCCAAAGCGACTGTAAATCGAAACTCCGCAATGCCGAAATGTGGCACAAAAATACCAATGCCAAATTGAACGAACGTGGGCGCGGCGGAGTGTGAAAAGGCATTGCGATTCGCGGGTATCGAATCTAGTGGCGAGTCGCGTCTGTTCTAATTTTTTTTTTCATCAGATTTAGTCCATTGGGGTCATTGACCCTATGTTGGACGTGTTTCGTCATGTGCATCTTTCTCTTTGGATGAGGCAGGTGTATGACTGGCGCTGTGTATGAAACTGACACGTACTGTTGATCGGTTTAGATGTGGTTTGTGTTGGCGTCTGAGTCATCTGAAACGAAGGAGACCGAGGCAGCCGAAACGCCGCAGGCACGGGATGACGAGTAGTAGAGGGTCCGAGCGCAAGGAGAAGGGGCAGGAACGAAGGATGAGTACTTGACGTCGGCCCCAAATCTGCAAAGTATCAATGTTTCAGTTCAATATATTCGATTAGAAACCGACTTACAGTATAAAACCTAGAGCGAAGCCAAACGTGCGTCTCAGTTCTGTTCCCAGAGACTGAGACTTCTTATCTGTTAGTTCTTATCCGCGTCGTAACTCGTGCTAAACCGCGTCAAGCTGTTTAGGATGGCTTTGCTATTCCGTAATGGACTCGTAGTGCCGAGTCTGGGATCTAGCATAACTGTTTAGTAAATAATCTCTTCTCGCATTTGTATTTTTGCATTCAGTTTTTGCAAGATGGTTTTGATGAGTTGGCAGGTGAAGGTTTTCTGCTCAAGCGCCTGATACTTACTTGACAAATTGACTTAAAATTTACAAACGCATCGATAGCTGACTAGTGTATTGATGACGCGACGGGCAGTCTATAAATACAGATATGAGGTTGGTATATAATCAAATTGATATCTGCCTCACTACGTTACGGCTCTCACTAGCCCTTCATCAACTCACCAGGATGGATATTCCCAATTCTCATGAAATCATAACAAACGAGACAACACCTCTGATATCTGCAAAGGGCTTGAAAAAACCTAGAACGCCCCTTCCAAAACTTCAGATGGGCATACTTATAACGCTGCAACTTGCGGAACCCATCGCTTCGACATCGATAATCCCGTACATCAATCAGGTATGGTTTCGTAATTCTCTTCGACCTTTGAAATGATACTGGTTTGCTCTCTTAGCTTATCAGAGAGCTCGATATCACTGGGGGTGACGATGCGGCTGTAGGATATTACGCTGGAATCATTGTAGGTGCCAGGATTACGTCTTGCGAATTGCTTGCGAAGATGGTTCGCTCATTGGATGTAATTGGCAGTACTCTCTGTTTTTCGTCGGACAGGCATTGACGGTGTTGAAGTGGGCTCGGCTGTCTGACCGCATTGGGCGCAAGCCGGTGTTAGTAATCGGACTATCGGGAACTTGCATTTCGATGTTGTGTTTCGGCCTTTCGACAACCTTCTATGGCCTTGTCGCTAGGTACGTCTTTGGCTGAAGGAAATATGCATCGCCAACACAGCTTCTCTAGCCGCTGCTTGTGTGGTTTTCTGAATGGCAATGTTGTAGTAATGAAGACTATGGTGGGAGATTTGACGGATTCCACAAATATGGCTCAGGGATTCGCCTTAATCCCGATCGTCTGGTGCATTGGAGGCTTTGTTGGGTAAGTGGGGTCGTTGACCATGGAGATGGCAAATAATGAGATCGGCATGTCAGTCCTTTAATGGGAGGAACATTCGCACGACCGCAAGATCATTGGCCGGTATTATTCTCCGGTTCGTTCTGGAGACATTACCCCTACTTTCTGCCTTGTGCAGTGGCAGCCTGTCTGCTCGTCCTGACCCTTGTCATGATGACAATCTTCTTGGAAGAAGTAAGTTTTACATATCTGTCATATCGCACACATCACTCACGATCGGTAGACATTACCGACAAAGCGTCGGCCGTCCACTTCAACTACGGTCAGCATTTCAAGTAGCCCCGACGGAGAAGCACTCGTTACAAACTCGATGGCAAACATACCCTTGCGATCCCTCCTTACGCGTTCGGTTGTTATCCCGATTGCAAACTACGCCATGCTCTCCTTCCTTGACATGGCTTTTATGGTTCTTTTGCCGTTGTTCTTCTCGACACCTACTTACCTTGGCGGTCTTGGATTTGAACCTACTGCTATTGGCTTGTGGATGGCGTTGTTTGGGATCATAAATGGTGTTCTTCAGGCATTATTCTTTGCCAAAATCGTCGATTGGATTGGTCCAAAGCGTTTATTCTGTGTCTCAGCGTGGTGCTACCCACTACTCGTGGCTATGTTTCCGATATTATCGTGGATTTTACGTGCAAGAGGGGAAGTCGATCATGTAATCACATTTGCCTTGCTTTGCTTTATAGGTATAGAAGTCGCATGGGATATGGGATATGGTGCGTGTTACAATAAAACCGTCTAGTCATTGCAAACAACTCGCTTTGTTGCAGGGGTCATTTTTATGTTTATCACAGCCTCTGCTCCAACAAACAATGTACTTGGTACTATCAATGGCCTCGGCCATACCTCTGCGGCGGTAGCTCGTGCTGTTGGTCCCGCCCTGGCGACTTCGCTTTTTGCTGCATCGAAGAAATACAACCTTCTAGGAGGAAATGCAGTTTATGTCATCTTAATTATGTTGGCAGGTGGAATGAGATGGCTGGCATCTCAGTTGCCGGATGACGTACAAGACAAGGACGAGTGACAGGTGCCGGTGATTCACAAGAGGAATTGATATCAGGATGCATTGCCGTAGAATTCGTGTACAGGTATTTGTTGATCAGTTATAGGATATCAAGGTAGGCAGACGTCTAAGTATATTAATATTTGATGTTTGGATTTTGTTTCAAGCACTTGATTTAGAGATCTATATTATTGAAGTTCACCGTGACACTTTAGAGATGGAAGCGACTCAGCGGCAGTGATGGATGGGTCTGGCTCCCAAGCAAAACCGTAGACCGAAGCAACCATCAGTTCGGTCTGATGATGGTCCGGTTCCGGTTCAACAAGGGCCTGAACCAAGAACTGAATAAAAAACAGAAAGTGAAAGAACGGCAGATAAAGCGTATCGCAATTATTAAAGTTCGTTATAGGAATCTGCCGCTGTGACGCTCGTGAATGTAATGATTTCACAGACATGTTTCACCGGATGGTTTCTGTGCACGACCTGCATCATACAATCAACTTCATAGAACACTGGCCCCCGCGTAGTGTGGTAAAAGCACAAGAAGCAAACAGATATGCGCAGAGCACCTAGTATCATATGTAATCAAAAGATCCCAGGAATAAGCCGGTATTTCACGTTCTTTGCCCAATTCTCCCATTCTTTCCCTAGAGCACGCTGCAACATTCGGTCCTCCTGTGCAGGTCGGCTGATGGCAACCCAAGCGGCTAATGTGAGAAATGCGAAATAGCTACTCATTGCTGACACTTTAATGAAAGGCACTTGTAATATCCCAGACTGCCTCATCCACGATCCTTGACTTCCGTACATGACAGCGATCCCGATGCATTGGAAAAGGACACCAGTGTAGCTCGGGTGGCGCACTACCGAGTACGGCCCACTTGTCACAAGTCTGTGCTCTTTTCTGACGCTGAGATGGAAGCTCCAAAGCTTTCCTAACGTCGACATACAATAAAGCCTCAATGCGCCACCAATCACGATGGCAATACTTCCAACAAGGAAAGCAGGGGTGATTGGTGTAGGGTGAAGAATGCGTAAAAACCGCACAGCTCCAGCGCCATAAATGTCTTCTGGAATATGCGAGGGATATATATGTATAGCCAGGATACTAGCCACTTCAGCACATGATGCTGCCCATGCGCTGATCTGATATATTGTCGACAGATTAATAAAGACAACGACCGGAGGTCAGGAGCAACCTACCTCCAGTAACTTGATACCGCGAAGTTTCAAAAACCATTCAATGAAGAATTCGAACGACGAGGGAATCACTTTCTCTTTAGATGATGGTGGTGCAGAAGGATCAGTAATCGAAATATGGATACCAATGGCCGAAACTAGGATGAAGGGGATCTTGAATAGACTCATGATGCGCCGCTGTACTTGACCTGGAAGTGTTAATAGGAAAACTGATCAAGTCGAGGATGTTTTTATAGGGTTCTCGGCTACTTACACGTGATGCTTATTCTTACCTGGTGCAGGACGATGAATTTGAATCTATTAGGCCGAAATATCTTCGGGTCTTGCTGCTCAGGACACCCGGCTCCTCGATAAAACGGGCGAGTGGTTATATATCTTAATTAAAACTGGATAAAATGCCATGGTTAACGTTTCCGGGCCATGTTGATTTGGGTGAGGCGCTCACCAGGTAAAGTTAGTGGTGTTCCGACGGTGACATTCTCTGAGTTACACGGCAGGCGAGCGGCTCACGAGTGTCATGGGACGTGGAATACATCCCAGAGTAACTCCATCAGCGTTATACCTTTCTCATTGTTTCTAAGCGTATTTTGCTTAATAATTCTGGACGCACTTGATGGTCGAGTTTTGAGCGCTAGGGACGCACTCAAGGTAAGTTTAACAGACAATTCAAACAGAAGTAGTACTGCCGCCACCGGAATGTTTTATCATATTTAGGACCTGTGTTCTGAGATATCTAATATAGCTCATTGCAGGCTAAAATCCCAGGAATAAGCCGGTATTTCACTTTGAAGAGCCCCTAAGTTAGTGTTATATCTAGATCTAATCAATAAACCCCAGGAATAAGCCGGTATTTCACTTTCTTTGCCCAATTCTCCCATTCATCTCCTAGAGCACGTTGCAACATCTGGTCCTCCTGTGCAGGTCGGCTGATAGAAACCCAAGCGGCTAATGTGAGAAATGCGGAAAAGCTAGTCATTGCTAACGCTTTAATGAAAGGCACTTGTAATATCCCAGACTGCCTCATCCACGATCCTCGACTTCCGTACATGACGGCGATCCCGATGCTTTGGAGAACCCAACCAGTGTAGCTCGGGTGGCGCACCACCGAGTACGGCCCGCTTGTCACAAGTCTGTGCTCTTTTCTGACGCTGAGATGAAAGCTCCAAAGCTTTCCTAACGTCGACATACAATAAAGCCTCAATGCGCCACCAACCACGATGGCAATACTGCCAACAAGGAAAGCAGGGGTGATTGGTGTAGGGTGAAGATTGCGTAAAAACTGCACAGCTCTAAAGCCATAGATGTCTTCTGGAATATGCGAGGGATCTATATGTATAGCCAGGATGTTAGCCACTTCAGCACACGATGCTGCCCATGCGCTGATCTGATATATTGTCCACAGATTAATAAAGACAACGACCGGAGGTCAGGAGCAACCTACCCGCAGTAACTTCATACCGCGAAGTTTCACAAACCATTCAAAGAAGGATTCGGTCGACGAGGTCACCTTCTCCTTAGATGACGGTGGTGCAGAAGGATCAGTCGTCGAAATATGGATGCCAATGGCCGAAACTAGGATGCAGGGGATCTTGAATAGACTCATAGTGTGCCGCTGTGCTTGAACTGGAAGTGTTAATAGGAACTGATCAAGTCGAGGAAGTTTTTATAGGGTTCTCAGTTACTTGCACGTGATGCTTATTCTTACCTGGTGCAGGACGATGAATTTGAACCTATTAGGCCGAAATATCTTCGGGTCTTGCTGCTCATGACACCCGGTTCCTCGATAAAACGGGTGAGTGGTTACATATCTTAATTAAAACTGGATAAAATGACATGGTTAACGTTTCCGGGCCGTGTTGATTTGGCTGAGGTGCTCACCAGGTAAAGTCAATGGCGTTCCGACGGTAACATTTTCTGAGCTACACGGCGGGCGAGCAGCTCACGAGCTTTTGGGCCCGGCTTGGGCCGGCCCAGGGCTTCAAGCCGGGCCTTGCACATCACTAGTCGAGCTTTGAGCGCTAGGGACGCACTCAAGGTAAGTTTGACAGACAATTCGAACAGAAGTAGTACTGCCGCCACCGGATTGACAATTATTAATGTTTTATCACATTTAGGACTTGTCAAGTCAATGTCCTGAGATGTCTAATAGGGCTCATTACAGGCTCACAAAAAAATATGCAACTCACATGTTGACTATCGTTTCCTATCATAAGTGAGATTCCCGGAACCGGATGCATCAGTAACTTGAATAAGTCGAAGAGTATTTTGCACATCAAAGGTGCACCGGTGATCGATTGATCCCGTGGCGAGCGAATCGTTTTTGATCACCTTCGAAGCGTGCGTCACGGTCAATAAATGTGTTGCCAGTGGTTATGCGTCTTATATGTAACGCCAATTACGCTATCCAAAGGCCCCCGTGTTCGAGTGACTGAGTACTGAAACCTGGCCCACCTCCAGCAAATGACGATGCCGGTGAGATTACATGACAAAATATGAGAGAAGAGATGACGAGGCAAGTCTTAACTTGGGGCGAAGAACATAATGAGGCTGAGTAGTAGTAAGTACTATGTACTAGGTGGCTTAGTAAGCACTTATTTGTGCGCAGAGGTTCGTACACGTGGGCCGTGGCACGGAAGTAGAGTACATTTCCCTCTCTAAAACCGCTCGAGAATAAATTCATCTTAACCAACGTACATATGAAGAGCATGTTGTGATACTCTCACCCAGACACATATCACTTGATCCTCGTACTACGATGCATCTGCGTCTTGACCAATAGTATTGCCACTAGAAGACGCGAGAAAGTGGCAATGACCACAGGAAGCCAAATGTCGTGAAAATCTCAGCTATCGCGTGTGTATATGTGAGGGATAACTCGGATGATGATCCGCATCATTGACGAGGTCGCAGATAAAATGATACTGGACGTGGTTGTGTTTCGCATGATCGTGGAACTGGGGTTCTTCGCCAACGCTCGGCTCCCATTATTGTCCCGTGCAAGATGAGCGATGAGTCGAGTCCGAGATTATGCATCTTTTACACACACTATCACTCGTCCTGCACGTTGTCTTTTCGTTCTCCATCTCAATGACATCTTTAATTCTCCTTGCTCAATCATCTCCTCTCAGTCCTCCAATCGAAGACTGGGTTTCTCCCTTGTTCGTAGTCTGAGCCTCTTTTCATTTGAGAGTCAGCCCTTTTAGGTCCATGTCTCTGTGAATACACAGTGCCGTCCCTTGGTCGATCTGTAATCAATACACTTCAACATATTTGATAGATTTGAAAGTAGAATCGAACTGCATTGAATAGTAAGTGGTGTTCATAGTAGATATATCTCAAAGCCTCGCTCTGCCCTAAGCCCTCACAGGAAACCCTTCTTGGCTCCAGGTCCTCGTTCCCTGGCTCATATACTCCTCAGTCAATCTCGCGGTCCTAATGAAGAGGGATCCATCCAGCGCTTCTGCTCCCTCCAAGTCCGTGCCTCCAAATGAGCCCTTGGGCCGTGCGCCATAAAGCGAAGAGAAATGCGCAAGCGCGCGCTGAATCTTCAACATGTGATTGTTTGGGTGCGTTATCGCAGATTGAACGATATGGAGGAATGGGTTAGCAACCTCGATCTTTGACGAAAGATGCGAGGTTGCACTGAGGAAGCCTTGGATATCCAGTCTGGGGAAGCCGCATGTGATCCAACACCCAAGAGTCGACGCAAAGTATCCGCGAAGCAAAAGAACTTGCGAGTCTTGTGGCAGGTAAGGCAACAGGGATGGAAGGAAGAGACTTGAGGTGACGAGATGCATGCTGGAGCGTCCCAAAAATCAGTATATTTATTGCAGATTATTAGATTGAAGCCACTTACAAGAAAAAGTCTGCTGTTAAGCCTCTGTCTTTGCTCCATCCGCCAATACTGTAGATGATAGTGCTTGTCCAAATACATTCTTCTAACTTGCGTTCGATTTCGCCTGGCTGTGACAGGTCGATCGTCCATTGTTCGGCGTAGCGCCATATAGTATCACCATGCTCGGACATCATGCCGTCAAAATCTATGAAATGTTTCTTGATTTCCTTCGGTGCGAATTCCGAATCTTGCATGATCTTTGCAAGAATGGAGAACGCATGATTTTTTGGTGGTCGTTCGAGCTGAAAAGGGGTAATAGATCTCGTGGTGTTGAGGACAAGCGAGGCAAGGTGAGTTGTTTCCCTCTCCACTGCAGTCGTGCCACTAGCCTCGAGAAGATACGGAGGCAAGAACTCGTGCCCATGCACGCTGGTCAATGCAAGACCTTGAGATGTCTATCAGGGACCTGTTCACAAGGATGTCTCACATCGCTCACCTTCGACGACCATGCCCAAGATGCCAAATTCTGCACCATATCCTACTTGAATGAAGGCATGGAACAAAGCTCCAAGGAAGCGAGCCAACATTACCGGCTGGGTGGATGCATCTCGTCCCTCCATAAAGTTGTATTTCTTAGAGAAGATGTATTCCTCTAGGGTGGCGCTAAGGCCCTTTTCCTTGATAACTTTGCTGAAGAAGGTTTGGTATGCGGCGTAAAAGCTGACAAGAAATCGTTTGAGCGGGGAATTGCAAGCGTTAAATCTAAACTCACTTGTCGTCACCTAGATGTTCGATGAAATTCTCTTCGGTGATAGCCCCGGGAGGCTCGATGGCTGGGCGCTGGTGGGCGCTGTCCTGTTTGTAGAATTGTTCGATCAAAGATCCACTCGCGCCCGTGGCATAAAGTGCCAGCGCGCGATGAGTGATATGGCTTCATCGACATTCAAATCAGCAACATGAGATACGGATTAAATAAGACGCACTTATGAAACCGCTGGTAGTTGGAGAAAATGTGGTACTTCGTATGGTTATCCTTCAAGACATATGTCAAAGCTGCAACTGCTTCTGGGGAAGTACCAGGATACCGCGGAGGGGAAAGTACACTCGGTGGGGAAGATGGGGAGGGGAACAGGGCATCGAGTTCGCTGCCAGGACAAGTTTGTTGAGCTGCAGCCATCTTTGAGCGGGGCTACAAGAATGCAGAAAAGCTATGGTGATGCATCCTTGTGAACTTGAATATGTTTTATATCCTTGCCCTATAGTTACAGGGCGCTGAGCTGTGATACACACTTACCAATGTATGCAGTGGCCTAATGTACACGTCTGCCCAAAGTACCCCGGCACTGTGTCTGACAAGCATCCACAGCGTAATTAGTACGTCTGACCTTGCTCCATGGCACTGCGGTGATCCGATATCGGAAAGTGACAAAGAACTGAAGCCGAGCGCTCAGCGCCGTGACAATGTACTTAGGTCTGACGTCTGATCGTGCCCCATGGCACTGCAGTGATCCGATCATATCGGAAAGTGACAAAAGAACTGAAGCCGAGCGCTCAGCGGACGGGTCTCTTCAAAAAGTATGTGGTAAGTAGTAGCGCTGGCGTTGCGCTAGGCTGCCGTAGTCGTGACGCGCTCGTGACGCGCCTGTGACGCGGCATGTTCCGTATGTCATTCCAAACCAATTCCAAACACTTTGAGTCCTCGTTAATGATCAACATATGAATGTCTGCCTGCGTACAGGCCCTAGAGGGATGTTCACCAAATTTACAGTGCTTGTCCTCTGCGTCCATACTATTAGTGTGCATCTTGCGTTAGTCCTGTTTGTCGTATTAAGTACCTCTAATCCATTCATCTAGATTCTAATGTTGGTTTTCAGATACGGTGTCAAGTGTTGTCTCACCGCATCAAGCTTCGACTATCAAATTTTCAAACCCAAACCATGGTATATCGAACCTCGTTTAGGCTGGGTCAAGCACCACCCATACCACGACAAGTTCTCCCAAACATCTTCGCAGTCTCTGTACTAATATCAACATTTGGCACGCTTACCTATAGTGCTGCTTCAACCATAGCACATGCCGCGTCGAACCTCGTGTCATACCTATGCCTCGTCAGTGACATACAATTAACTCCTATAGAATACGAATCAACATAATACGGTACAGAAAGCAAACACAGAGCATTCGGTACGTAGATAGTTAATAGACCCCAGGAAGCAATCGATATTTCACCTTCTCCGCCCAATTCTCCCATTCTTCTCCCATAGCACGTTGCATTATCTTGTCCTCTATAGCAGGTCGGCTGATGGAACCCCAGATACCTAATGTATGCATGAGGCAGCCAATGACCACTACCGCCGTCATGAAAGGTACTTGTAGAATCCCAGACTGCCACATCCACGACCCTGGGCTTCCGTACATAACGATGATCCCAACAGATTGGAGAAGGGAACCGGTGTAACTTGGGTGGCGGACGACAGAGTATGGCCCACTCGTCACAAGTTTGTGTTCTTTTCTGACGCTGAGTTGGAAGCTCCAAAACTTTCCTAACGTCGACATACAATAAAACCTTAACATGCCCCCGATCACGATGGCAAGATTACACGCAAGAAAAGTGGGAGTGATTGGCGTGGAATGAAGAGAACGTAGAAGCTGCACAGCTTGGCGACCATAGATGCCCCCCGGAACTTTCGAGGGATCTACATGCATGGCAATGATGTTGGCTGCTTCGGCAGACAGTGTTGTGTATGCGCTAAACTGTAATACTGTTCACAGATTTATACAGACAGTACAGGGGCAACACACCTTGAGAAGCTCTAGACTGAAAATCATCATACCAGCTGAGCTAAAATAGGATTCCAACATATTGGGCTTCAGCTTCTCTTCAGATGACGGTGGGGGAGAAGAAGTAGTGAGTGAAATTCGGACGCCAATGGCTGAGGCTACGAGGAAGGGGATCTTCAAAAGACTCATGGTGCTTCTACTGGTCCGTCTTTAGAGCTTGCGACGTGTTAAATAACCAGCTGAACATTAAGGACACACGTGCTCCCGGGTCAAATAGATTTATGTCATGGATACGGTCTAGTCGGGGCAGTCATCAATTTTGTATCAGCGATCCGAACAATCAATGATGTGTATGTACCTTATGTCAAAGGTTAAACCTGTTCTTCAAGAGAAGTACTAATTGTAATAGACGTAGGTATGTAAAAAAACGCTCAGTCAGCCTTGGCAATAAATTAAAAGAAGGATGTGTTACTCTTGCGAGATAAATGCTTGGGGACCATATCCTAGGTCTACTAGATGTCCACGGGAGTTCGCGCATTTTTGGCAAAACGGGAGGATTTAAGTTAAGTAAACGTTACTTAATGAATTCCGATATCGGGTCAATTAATATCGGGTGATCGTTCGTTTCTCTGATGACACCATTTTCGCACCATACCACTGCTCTGGTCTCCGTTTGCATACATCCAAGTCGAATCCAAACTTTGGTAACCAGTACTTTCGACGAGTCACTCTGAGTATCACGTCACTTGTGATTCGGAACGATAGTACTGTCGAATTCTTGATGCTTTGGTAGTGGTGTTGATTGAGCCTGATTTGATTTGGTGGGGATGGATTTTAGATCATTAATAGTTGACACGATCTTGGAGCTAGAATCTTATACATGTTCATCACAAGTTGCAACGGCGGGTTTTCAGCTACAGAAAAATGTATGGGTAGTATATATTGCAGACGAAGATGGCAGGGCATTTGGTATCGGTATCATATATGAAGGACGGTTCAAAATGCATCAGAGGAAGTGGGTAAAACACGTCCATAGAGATGTAAAGACATGCGACTCGTGAAGGATGAGAAGGTCTAATGATTACCGTTCGTATATTCAGGAGAAATACAACCGATGAAGAGCCAGAAGCGAGTCCAGAGTCCAACGTCTCTTATCGTTGCGTGAGGGCGTGACACCGTTGTTAAAACTGTAGCTGCGGTAGCATCACCGGCAGTAGGCGTGGTGGACAACGAAGAGTCAGCTGTCTGTGGTTGCGAAGATGGTTTAGCGATGTTGGGCATGGGAGGCTGTGGGCTTCCTGCAGTAGAGATTTTCGACTGTGATGGTTTCGTTTTCTGTTTCTGTTTTTGTTTTGCAAATGCAACCTCCCTCGCTGAAGCATTTCTCTATGTGGTATTAGATGAAGTTGCCAGTGAACATCCGAGAGAGAGAGAGAGAGAACATACACGTTTGCCCTTCGCATACGGAACTTCAACAGCAGGGCTGCGCCCTTGCAACTCAGTACCTTCACCGCTTCGCCCACGCTGTTTCACAAGGTTTCGAGCCCAGTCGAGAGGGGAGGATGGTGATGTAGCATGAGCACCAGAGGGGCTACGGTTGCGGTGGAATAAACGACCAAAAAACGTGCTGCCTGGCGGTGCTGAGGAGTGGGGATGGTTTCGTGCGGAGGACTGAGAACGTGAAGGTCAGGAAAACAAAACCGAATTGATAGTGATGGCATACATGGGAGCGATCTGGTGGGACACCATCAAAGAAACCTTGGGTTATCCGACGAGTAGGTGGACGTTGTTGCACTAGAGGACGTGTAGCACTAGCCTAGAGCATATATAGTGAGAACAACAAGATCTTTTAATGAAGGTGTCACGTACATGTAGTGCCAACTTGTTGGCCTGGCAAAGCGTATTCAGTTGTGAAGATATACAATGAGATATGCATATCAACTCACCTTTGAATTCAAAAGTAGGTTGCCGAGGCCGGCTTCTTTAACTATCGCAGCAACATCCCATGTGTATGCGTTTGTGTCCTCGCAGCTAGTGGCTAGTAGCTTTCCATCTTCCGAAAACGATACAGAGTGAACTAGTGTTGCATGCTGTAGAGGCGAACTGATGAGTTGTCCGTTGTCGAGGTTCCACAATAGCACTGTCATGTCGTGCGAGGCACTTGCGAGGATGCGTTCATTAGGTGATATTGCAATGGCCCAGACCGCATTAGTGTGCGCATCCAGTAGTGCGGTTTGCTTCCATGTTTTGGTATTCCATGTCCTAATCGAGTGATCCCATGACCCGGAGATAAGAGTTTTTCCGTCATTGGTCCAAGCCAGGCAACCCACTAGATGTGTATGTCCTTTGAGAGTTGCGACAAGCTCGCCTGTCTTTGTGTCCCAGATTTTGATGGAGGACTGGCGAGTGGGTTCAGGTATTACTTCAGACCTGCGGGGCCCATCATGTCCACCAGTCGCAATCATGGACATGTCTGGTGAATAGACCGCTGCCCACACGTAGGTGTACCCAGTCTCGATTGGCTCGAGGATTATCTCTCCGCTTTCGACGTCCCATTGCCTTGCAGTCCCATCGGGGGATCCACTTAACACTCTTCGACTATCTTGACTCCAGCAGACAGATAACACTCGTTGTGTATGTCCCATCCATCTAGCGATGACTTTGCATGTGTCGATATCCCACAACTTCACTTCGCCAACCTCACTCCCGCTAACCACTTTCTTCCCGTCCGGAGACAACGCTATACAATACACTCCACCTTCTCCATCTCTCCAGTCTTCTCCTATCTGTTTCCTGCTCTTCAAGTTCCATACCCGCAGCGAGCCGTCATCTGAACAAGTGATGATCCGCTGTCCGCCTGGCAGGTGTATGACGCCTCGCACCCTTTCGGTGTGTCCTTCAAATTTCTGATGGGGTTTCATCGCTGATGTCTCTTCCTTTTTAGCGGTAGGTGAAGACATGCTCCAGAATTCCTACTACCAGTGCAGTGTTGTTTCAGCCTTCATTCATTCAATTCCAGAATCAACACTTACGAGGATAGCAGCGACGTCTGAACAGCAGGGTATATGATGGGCGTTTCTGTCAAGTCAGAGTTATATTCTCTGCCTCCTGGTACTTTGTTGTGCCTCGTTGTGTTCGCTCACAGCCTATATACAGCATATGCTGCGCAACTGAAGCGCCCTCCGTGCCTCGCTGGGTCACATGGAGTCCGTTCGACATTTCCAATATAGTATCGACACATGCTCATCACATACTGCCCCAGTTCCTACATCCAGGTCTACATCATCCATTTCATTAGAACATCTCCTGTCTTAGTCGTTCAAAACAATGGCACCGTCGATCTCTCAGGCTTGTCGGCGTTGAAACTTGATTGAGCCTGAATCGATGAGAAGATGGATGGACAGAAAGGAGAAATTCACATTGAATAGTTCAAGAAAATGGTACTGACGTTAATGAATCATTGTCAGAATACGTGTAGCTGTGACTTGGTCGATGTATGGGCAGTAGATGAAGCATCTAGCATACATATTGTACACAAAGGACGGTTCGAAATATGTACTCCAGAGTCCAGGGTGTCTTATCATGGCATACCTCGGAGGGTGGGAGGGCGTTGAAGTTAAGCTGCGGTGGAATCGCCGATGTCAGGCATGATGGATGAACTGGGGGTGACAACCTGTCGTTGCGAAGATGGCTGGGTGACATTACGCTCGAAAGGCCGTGAGCTACTTGCAGTAGAGTTCTTCGAGGGCAACGGACTCTCGCGCGAGCGTTTCTCTGTGTGATATTAGGTAGAGTTTAACTGACAAAGAGAAAGAGAAAAAACGTACAAGTTTGCCCTTCGTACACAAAACCTCAACAAATGCAGAGTTATGCCCTTGTAACTCGGTGTCTTCACTTTGTCCGCGCCATTTCAAAAGGCTTGGAACCCAGTCGAGGAGGGAGGACGGTGATGTATCATGGTCATCGGAGGGGCTGCGGTGGGACAAACGGTCAAAGAACGTGCCGCCTGGCAGTGAGGATCGAACTTGATGGTATAGGAAAGTTGATCCTATGTGATCGAACAGGTACACTTGTTTGTTGCCATCAGACGGCGGAGAAACTGGATTGATCTGTGCACGTATGACACAGCGGTAGAAGTTGATGATTTGATTCCTGGATCTGGCTTGCACAAATTTCGGAAGTCATGCTCGCTGACAAGACAATCTGCAGCTGATTGCATGAGAGATATATCGAAAGAAGTATGTGTAGTGTAGTGTCTGCGTGTTTAGTTGAAGCAGAAAAATCAGGGATGATGGGTGACCAGGCTAGGACGCGGATTGTTCAAGTTGGTGGGCGCTCACGTTTGTAGAGGCCTGGTGCGAAGTGTTTTTGGGACGTTCTCCATAGATAGATCCTCCTCGGACGATAACAATGATGTCTTTGGAAAAAGTTCGGGTAGAGAGAATGCTTCGAACCCATAACGAAACTGCCTGACCAGCAGCGCTAACTTGAACTCCTCGATCTGTCCTTCCACGTTGCTCCCATCCACAACTATCCAGGCATCAGTTTCGTCAACGAGCCTTGCCTTTACAAAGGCGTTAAACAGGACATCTTCGACCGTTGAAAGAGGCGTTGGTCCGTTTTGATATGCCAGCCCGTTGTACTCCCAACCCGAATAACAAAACTTGATAGCGATTTTTGCGCTTCGGGTGGGACGAAAGATGAAACAGTTTTTTGGATGTTGGTAAGTGAGGAGACTTGGCGTGCTTGTTCGTCTCTAGCTCTCTGAGACGCGCTATCAGCTCACCCTTTGACTAGGATCCATAGTTTGGTGTCATGGCGCGGATGTGCTTTGGAGGGTCGAGCATATGGGACTGCCTCAAGAATATACGGCCGAACCAGCTCTGTCTCTGAACTTTGTTACATTTCTCGTGCTCCAGGACGCTTTCCACTGCCCATCGCGCGAAGTTGAACCGATCGCCATGTGGTATGGCACACGCATTGCAGGGATTCCTAAGCGAATGACCGACCCAACCGAATACTGGTTAGTAGCTTGGGCCACAATCCGAGGAGTCGAACGATGCGGTTCAGGAGTGCCGGGCCTTGCACATCATCACTAGTTGAGTTTTGAGCGCTAGGTAAGTTTGACAGACAATTCGAACAGAAGTAGTACTGCCGCCACCGGAATGTTTTATCACATTTAGGACCTGTCAAGTTAATGTCCTGAGATGTCTAATATGGCTCATTGCAGGCTCAAAAAAATATGCAACTCACATCATATGTTGATTATCGTTTCCTAAGTGAGATTCCCGGAAGCAGATGCATTAGTAACTTGAATAAATCAATGCATCATGCATCAAATTTGAATCCTCGTTAATGATCATCGTATGAATGTCTGCCTGCGTTACCGTACAGGTCCTAGGGGGATGTATTCACTTCTCACCAAATTTACAGTGCTTGTCCTCTGTGTCCATACTATTAGTGTGTATCTTGCGTTAGTCCTGTATTGTCATATTACCTCTAATTCATTCATCTAGATTCTAATGTTGGTTTTCAGATGCAGTGGCAAGTGTTGTCTCACCGCATCAAGCCTCGACCTTACCTTGTCAAGTTCGATCTGCCCTCTATATTCTCCGTCACCATATCAAGCCTCAATCATGGTATGTCGAACCTCGTTTAGGCTGGGTCAAGCACCACTCATACCACGACAAGTTCTCCCAAACATCTTTGCAGTCTCTGTACTGATATCAACATTCACACTTGCCTATAGTGTCGCGTCAACCATGGCGCATACCGCGTCAGTGTTGCGTTACTGCCGTGTCACATGCGCGTCAGTGCCGCGTCAAACCTCGTGTTACACCTATGCCTCGTCAGTGACATACAATCAACTCCTATAGAACACAAATCGACACGATATGGTATGGAAAGCAAACACAGAGTATTCGGTATGTAGATCATCAATAGACCCCAGGAAGCAATCGATATTTCACCTTCTCCGCCCAGTTCTCCCATTCTTCTCCCATAGCACGTTGCATTATCTTGTCCTCTATAGCAGGTCGGTTGATGCAAACCCAGACAGCTAATGTATATATGAGGCAGCCAACGACCGCTAGCGCAGTCATGAAAGGCACTTGTAGAATCCCAGACTGCCACATCCATGACCCTGGGCTTCCGTACATAACGATGATACCAACAGATTGGAGAAGGCAACCGGTGTAGCTTGGATGGCGGACGACGGAGTATGGCCCATTCGTCACAAGTTTGTGCTCTTTCCTGATGCTGAGTTGGAAGCTCCAAAACTTTCCTAACGTCGACATACAATAAAACCTCAACATGCCCCCGATCACGATGGCAAGATTACACGCCAGAAAAGTGGGAGTGATTGGCGTGGAATGAAGAGAACGCAGAAGCTGCACAGCTTCACGGGCGCCATAGATCCCTTCCGGAATTTTCGAGGGATCCATATGTATGGCAATGATGTTGGCCGTCTCGGCAGACAGTGGTGTATATGTGCTAACCTGTAATACTGTTCACAGATTCATACAGACAGTACAGGAGCAACACACCTTGAGAAGCTCTAGGATGAAAGTCGTTATACCGGAGCTAAAGGAGGATTCCAACATGGTGGGCTTCAGCTTCTCTTCAGATGACGGTGGCGGAGAAGAAGTAGTGAATGAAATTTGGACGCCAATGGCTGAGGCTACGAGGAAAGGGATTTTCAAAAGACTCATGGTGCTTCTACTGGTCTGTTTTGGAGCCTGCGACGTGTTAAATACCCAGTTGAACATTGAGGACACACGTGCTCCTAGGTCAATAGATTTGTGTCATGGATACGGTCTTGTCGGGGCAGTCATCAATTTTGTATCAGCGGTCCGAAAAATTAATGTGTATGTCAAAGGTTGGACGTGTTCTTCGAGATAAGTGCTAACCTAAACCATTAATAGACCTAGGTATGTAAAAAACGCTCAGTCAGCCTTGGGAATAAATTAAAAGAAGAGTGTGTTACTCTTGCAAGATTTGTCTGGGGAAAGTTCTAGGCCTGTGGGCGTACAGTATCCTCTTAATCCGGATCAGGGTCTTGTGCTTCTCCTGATAAGCGCACCATCAATGATCTAATAGACATTATTCATCCGCAAATTGAAGTACTTGCGAGTTCGCAATCAAGGACGTGGAACAGTTTTACAAGATAACTGCCCAACGATATCAGGGAAGTCAGGATGTATTTAATATATCAGGTCAATCGAATGTACCTTCATTGTCTGAGAAGATTTAAGTGGTTGGAGCAAGCGAATATAATAATAATACGTACGTGGGTTAGCGCTACACAGCCAGGGACTCTCATGGACGAAAATTTCTAGTACATTGGAAGTATGTGTGTAAGTACACGTCAAACCACGCGGCCGGCTCCGCTATGAGCCATGCAAATGTATGTACGCCAACGCAGGAAACGATCATGATATTCTGTTTGCTATGGACCAGACGTGGCCAAGGGACCACGGATAGACTCAATAGCAAAGAGAAGACAAGATCACATAAACAAAGAATCCCCCGACGACACCAGCCTATAGTGCAGCGGCAAGGTCATCATGTTCCCCAAGTTGCAAGCAGAGCTCGGAGAAACAAGGGCGGCAAAAATTTGATAACCAAAGAATGAGGGCGGTGCCCTTATAATAGTGGTTAAACTATTAAGAACAGATACTACACTTGATCTAAGCCAAAGGCCAGAGTGGTAAGGATTCAAAGCGGTTCACAGCCCCCTTTTATATGAGATTCTACCCGTGCACGGGCCCCTGATTCAGACTTCTAGTTGGATTAGGCAGGCGAGTCGATCGATCAGCCTTGGGAATTCAACAAGGCCAAATAATAGGCCAATTGCGAGTGTGCAAGTACATGTACAATGAATGTTCGAGGACTACACATCCAAGTCGTCTCCTTCAAATGAACTTCTCACCCAGCGAGCGAATGCACATCCTGCTGCACCAATCAGGAATGACCAATCAAACAAGCCACCGAATAGCGAGTACTCTGGCAGCGTCGCAAACAAGTTCATGCTATCATCAGACGGACCCTGGGGATCTTGAGAGTCGCCTATCACTGGGGATAATGTGGGCGGAAAGGTTGTGCGAAGCTGGACAAGAGTCGACAAGAGATATATGCCCTAGGTGCCCGTTCAGTCACATGAGAAACGTTAAAGAAGATTTCGTCAATACCATGAGCTGCGCGAGGGTCAATAACATCAGTGATGCTGATGTTTTACGTGATGTGACATGGAATACCTGTGTGCCATCAATGTATAGCTGAAATGAATGTTCAACAGACAACTCACTCTCGTAACACCACGTAGCACCAAGCGGAGAGAACATAAAATGATGACGCCCACAAGGGAAAGACTTATTTGTTTTGATAGAGATGGAATATCAAATTGTGATTTTCCTTCATCTCCTGTCGCGGATATGGGAAGAAAAGAGAATAACCATGCAAGTACGTGCGCAACTATATCTCCATATGATGCGGAAGAGGGACTCGAGTTTGACACAGTCGGAGAGAGAATATTGAAGGCTGACTGGGATAAACATGACTGAAAGGTTCACAGTCGAGGGGAAGACCACTTACACTACATACTCGGCAGACGCAATAAACTGCCCATGACCACGTAATGGTCTTGCCCGTGAACGACTCTGCATACTCTGCTGCAATTCGGTTGCGTTTGAGAGCAACAACGCGAAGGCTCATCTGCTCTTCAAGAGCTTGAAGACCAATAACTTCCTGTTGCATCGAGCTTTGTTCTTGCAAAGAATCGAAGATTTGAATACAGGCTCGTAAGAAACAGACAGATCATACGTACGTCCATTCCGTTTGAACGACATGCGTGACAGCCACGATCCATCTGGTTGCGGCTAAAATGTTTGAGACGAAGTGTGACGACTTATGTTGGCCTATAGTACCTTTGAGCTTGCATAGTCATCCAAGTCACGAGAACGATCCCGCAGATCGTTCTTTACTCTTTCAAGCGCGTTTTCAGCGGAGACAATCGATGATGCAGATGGTGTTGATCTTCACAAGTTGAATAGTAGTACAACTGGTCGAGCGTTCACTCACCGAGACCGTTTGATGATGCCCCATGCACCACTAACTGCACCGAGTCCAGATAGTAGTCCGAGGACCGTGGTTCCCAACGTGACCAGCCGTGCAGTGACTGCTGTTAGCGGGTTGTACAAGAGTAGCTCAGCGGGGAGTGGAATATATGAAAGGGCAAATACGAAAAGTGCCACAGGTGCTAATGCAAAAGCAACACGAATTGGCAATGCACGAGATTGTACAAAACCTGGATTATCTGGAACCATTAGAAGACGGTTGGGTAGACAGGAGGGAATATGGCATCTTACCAGGCCGGTAGGTCAGGATGAGGCTGAACGATATGGGAACAAGTAAAAGCATCGTGAATAATAGAAGGAACAGTGCTATTCGCCAGCTTAGAAGGCGAATTCTGTTATGACCGTGCCGACTCAGTCAAGCCAAGCGCCTGCACAATCGAATTATGACACACCTCGGTTCCAACCAATCCAAACCCTGGCACATGAGCATGCAGAATAGGATACTGCATTCAGAAAAGCAAAGTGAGAAACACGTCTGCGCGAGTGTTGAATGCCATGGTTGTGTGCTACTTGATTGCGGGGTCACTGCGGACCCTGGCAACGTGTCTTGCGGGGCGAGTTGTTGAAGGTCCTTGTACAACTTCTTTTGCAAGAAGATGCGACAGCTAATGAACAGAAAGCCTCTTCAAAAATATAAGTGAGAAATTTGCCCAGAGCTATTTAGACAGGGGATATACCCTGATGCAACTACCAGGAACACTTCTGTTGCGGCGGTCATGGAAGTGAGTGAGAAGTCGTGGAACCCTAACCCGAGCTTAGGGTTTATTGATGGTAGTCACGTCACGTCGTCACGTCATAAACTCACGTGGGTGGCATTCAGCTCGTGAGCGAACGACCACGACAGCCAACGACCGCACGAACGACATGAATGAACCCAAAAAATCCGACCCTACAACTCAAGTAGTTCATGAGGAAGCTACCGCAACCAATATATCTTACTCTCAACCGCCAGCTGAACCCGTGGTGACTAGTATTAGTCCACTCTTACAGGCTCCAACTAACGGTCACACAGGCAGAAATAATCTCGGCAGCACAACGCGGGGATCTCAATACCATTCGTGAGCTCGTAGAGTCAGGGGAGTGCAAGGTCACAGACAGAGATGACCAGAACGTGTAAGCCTAACCCAAATGCTTTTGTCACACTCATGAACGTCCGCAGCACTCCTCTTCACTGGGCAGCAATAAATGCCCAGCTTGCAACCTGCCGCTATCTCATAGAACAGGGCGCGGAAATAGACGCAATAGGGGGTGACCTAAAGGCTACCCCCCTGCAATGGGCCGCTCGCAATGGATACCTCTACATCGTGCAACTGCTCATATCCCACAATGCTGATCCAACCATCGCTGACACCCAAGGTTACAACTCCCTCCACCTCGTGACACACTCATCATCAGTAATGCCGCTCCTTTACTTATTGCACCAACCTGTGAATGTCGATTCTCGTGACTTGCAAGGTCATACGTCATTGATGTGGGCTGCGTATCAAGGCGATGCGTTGTCTGTGGATCTTCTGCTTAAACACGGCGCGAATCCTAACTTGAAAGATGATGCTGGACTTACGCCCTTACATTGGGCTGTGGTCCGAGGCAATCGAGTTATCCTCCGGCGCCTGATTGAAATGGGGGCAGACATACACGCAAAAGATCTTGAGAGCCGTACACCAAGAGACATGGCTGTTGAATTAAAGAGCCTAGGCGCGTGGAAGAGAGCCATGGAAGAGGGTGGCTTGACGGAACATGGTGTAGGTAAAGCGAAACCATTGAACGAGGTCCGTTTCACTCCATTCGATCTTCCTCTGTAATGTCTGACCCAGCTCTAGCGCCATACAAAAATCGCTATCTTCATTCTGCCTTCTTTGTTTCTATATTTCATTTTTACAACGCTTACTATTCTGCCATGGTATACCGGTATCATACTCGCCATGGCTGAGTTTTTTGCCATGCATCATGTAAGTGGCGACAAATTTGCCATGACCATGCGATAGCTCATGACAAGCAGATCGTAACTCGGGTACTCTTGAATAAGAACACCTACGTCGGAACGGTAAACCAAAGCCCATATTTCGCAGGCATCATCGCAGGGTCAATGCTGTGGGTTGGTTACTGCTGGGTAACACGACTTGTGCAGCGTACGTCATATGTTATACTTTTGCAGTCACGGGCTGACATCATTTCAGAGACAGAATCGCATGCTTTTGTCCACCTGGCTTTCGCAATCATATTTGGTCTATGTTTGTATAACTTCTTCCGTGCTGTTACTTTGGACCCAGGTCTTTGCCCCCGGCCAGCACATGATGGAGAATTGAAGGCAGTGAGTATATTAGCGTTCTAGAATGAATCTGCATATGGTAACGGAGACTGTAGATCATCGAAGACCTTGCTTCAGAGGGCAGACTCAATGGGCAAACATTCTGCATACAATGCATGGTGCGTGTCAATTCTGTAAGATGCAAACTTATGTTGACGTTTTACACAGGCAAGGAAACCCCTACGGTCAAAACATTGTCGTGTTTGTGATCGATGTGTAGCGCGAAGTGATCAGTATGTCCTGTCCTTTCTTAGAGAGCTACAAAAGTGAACTCTGTGTGTCATAGCCATTGCCCATGGGTCTGGAATTGTGGTAAGTAAAGTTCTTTGAATAGTGGCACTCCAACTTTGACGCGGTTTGTAGTTGGGGCAAATAACCACAGGCAATTTTTACTCTTTGTCTCGACATTAGTCATCGACATCGTATTGTTTGACTACCTTGTTTATGAATGTATGTTCTTGATCATCGTCCTTCCGAAGAGTCTCATCTGAGCAATGACAGATTTCTTGTCGACACCATTGCCCGAATCCGTTGACTGTTCCGCAATCTTCTGCGAGCCAGCCTTGAAGGATGCATTCCTTCTTTGCGTCTCGCTGTGGTCAGCCCTGCAACTGACATGGACTTCTGTGCTCCTCGTGACACAGTACTGGCAAGTGACCAAGCAGCTAACAACGTTCGAGGTCTCCAACATCGGGCGTTTCGGCTTCATGGGCGGTCGCGGCACCCTCGCTGCTGGCAGTGGAGGTGGTGGTGTCCAGATGGGGCATCGGCACCACCATGGCGCTCACCAGCAGAATGGCGACACCGACAGCGAAGCAGAGGCTAGTGCCCACAAACAGGCACATAGCCACACTTTCTGCGGGGCCCTCACTGCACCCGGAACATGTACTGCTTTCCTACTTAACCTCCTCGGTCTTGACCGGTTCACACGTGGACGTGCTGCACGCGGACTCACCTCGCATGCACGCAATCCATTTGATTTCGGAGCTGTACGGAATTGCAGGGATTTCTGGACCATGGGCAAGGAGCTTGGCGTGGAGTATGGCCAGGTGTATGATGTGCCCTTGGAAGGTTTCGAGGAGGCCAAGAGACGGAAGGAAGCGGAACGGGGCGACCTTGAGCACGATCACGAAGGCTCCCACAGCAGCAGGAGTAAGAGTCTACTCGGCAAGCTCACCATGCGGATGGGTATGGGCTCTAGTCGGAGAGGCTACGAACCCCTGAATCAGGTCTAGCGTATGTGGGTTTTTTGTGACGATGAACTATTTATTTTGTTTACAAATTGTACATGTGGATATTACTTTACTACAGGTATACACTATCCAGAGTATAAGCATTAGTATATTCGGTTCTTATCATTTGATTGACCAAACCGCATTTGGTTTGCACTAACATCTGTCACAAAAGCCGCTGCCCTCAGCATTTATATGAAGTTAACTAATCGATGACAAGTCTCATCGTGGAGGAGGTTCCAAGATGGGTCGACATCTTCCCACCTGCCGCTAGAGTTTCCGTATCGCACAGGCCATGAGGTCATTTGAACTCACGGATCAATTTCGTCATGTTGTTCATCTCCGTGGGGATCCCAAGGCTGCCAGAACTTAGAACGAGGCTTTCTCCGACTGTTACAGTACAAAGGCATGTGTTTTGCAGTCGGGTCGTTTCCTTGACGGAGCCGTTACGTAGGTAGCTTCCGAAGACCAGACTGCTCTTCCGGCAGCAACAGCTAGCGCAACAGGCGGAGTAGCCTTGAGCTTTCCGTTCCTACGCCGAGTATGAACGGCGTAGAGGTTCGGTTTGCATACTGGACGCACTACTCGTCGGACAGACACATCATGTACGCTGCGCGAGATATCCGATCAACGATCATCATCTGTACCTCCCATTGAGGATACCAAGCATGGACTTGAGCACTGAGCAGCCCGGCGATGCGCTTGAGCACAGCTGTTGGTTTATTAGTATCGCCGGACTGCAAACGACTCCCGGCACCCGATGCAACAAACGTTGTTACTAAGGCTGGCTTACTTCCCTCTTAGGGTTGCTTTCTCTTGAAGCTTCAAGTTTACATGGCCTAACTTACTCCGGTTAAAAAGCTTTAGTTATGTAATGGTTCTGAGGTTGGTATGCATGTACTAAGCACGTGGGAATCGGAGGATATTAATAGGTCACGATGACGATGTGAATTTTATGATTCTTATTGCACTTGAAGCAAGTGCCTAACCTTCCTGACCACTAGTGCAGGTTTACCTCACCCTAGGCCTAGCTGGGGACGCCTCCCAGAGTCCCCTTCAAATATTTATGCACTCTGTCGTACCATTTCCATGCCTGAATTGGACTCTGGAGGAAAATATATTACTATTATCCAACTTGAAGTGTACAAAACTTGCGCTTTGCCAGCTGCGCATCACTTATCGGTTGTATACTAATACCGTGACGGTAGCCTATACTGGGACACACTCACATGCACTTTATTCCATTCCATTATTAACCTTATTCTTACACCAACTTGAAAAGTATGTGCTAGTCCGATGCGCAGGTGCCGTCAAGGCGCACTAGGACGAACTCACACACACTTGGTTCCATCATCAACCTTATTCTTACACTATAAGTCAGTGGCATTCTGCAAGAATTGATATACTATCTTCCACCAGATTACCCCACCATGACGCACACAGCTGAAGCAGTGATGTCTCTCCCAACTATTTCTCGTGAATATCGCACCCAGGTACGCGTCATTTGTCCACTTACCAACAGAGGTCGACATTGACTTACAAACGGTGAGGTAGGGTGACGGCTATCAGAACTTGAAACTTCAATCAGCGACTCTCTCTAAGCCGAAGGGTACCGAGGTGACCGTCAAAATACATGCCGTCTCCTTGCAGGTCTGTCCTCATCTAAGTATTCAACTCCCAGAGATTCAACGTACCCGCAGTTTCGTGACTTGATGGTCTCCAAAGGAATTTACCCACAGTTAGTATTGTTTTTAAGTTGAAATTCACGTTTAACACTGATCTCACAGGCAAAAGTGGGACATCGTTCCTTGCTCTGATGGCGCAGGTGAGATTGTTGCACTTGGGGAAGAGGTCAAAGGGTGGAAAATCGGAGATCGTGTCTGCCCAAACTTTGCACTGGATCATATTCATGGCGATGTCACTGAAGACATCAAATTGACCGGACTTGGTGGCCACATTGATGGCGTGCTCCGGGAGTACATCAATGTCCCCGTTCACGTATGTGTTCTTTTCATTTCAGCGTCTTATTGGTTGCGAGTGTCTATTTAAGTCGCTGGTCCGCATCCCAGAATATCTTTCATATGAAGAAGGGTCGACTCTTCCGTAGGTCGACTATCTGTCCTTATCTTGACATGCTCAGACTTCGCTAGATGCGCGGCGTTGACAGCTTACAACGCTTGTCTTGGACCCGTTCCTCTCAAAGGTGGAGACTACGTTCTTGTTCTCGGTACCGGCGGTGTTTCAATGTATGTGACAATTCACTGACAATATTGGCTCGTGCACAAACGGATCTGGTAGCTTCGCCGCCCAATTCGCCCTTGCTTCTGGTGCTATCGTCATTGTCACGTCATCTTCTGATGAAAAATTACAAGTTGCAAAGAAATTGGGCGTGCAGCACACCATCAACTACAAGAAGAACGTTAAATGGGACGAAGAAGTCTTGAACATTGTATGTTTATTTTTATGACCTTCACATTAGCGCGCCTAATATAGTTAGACCGGCGGCCGTGGCGTTGACCACATCATCGAAGTGAGTCTACCCAAAAATGCACAATTGCAGCGAACTTAATCGAGCGTGATACAGGTCGGAGGGCCTAATACTATACTGAAATCTATCAATGCCGTACGCTATGCTGGGTGGATTCATATAATTGGCTTCGTGTCCGGGGTACGCTTCATATCTGCATCTTTATCGGTACTATTAATGCCACTTATCATATAGGGCGATAACGGTATTCCTGTGACCCTTGCGATCTTGAAGACGATCATTTTCCGCGGAATTTTGATTGGCTCTGTCAAACAGTATGATCTAATTTCCATATCTCTATTGTACTGACAGGCGACTCGCAGGTTTGAGGACATGAACCGACTGCTTACAGCGCGTCAAATCCGCCCAGTGGTAGACAAAGTCTTTTCCTTCGAGCAGGCTACTGAGGCCTATGCGTATCTCGAGAGCCAGCACCATGTCGGAAAGGTAGTAATCAAATTGGCGTGAGGTACAACGATGCAAGGGTCAAGTGTAGGTATCGAGTAATCCAGTTTTGTTTCACATAAGTATGTGTGTAGGATATGTAACAGTTTAATACCCAGACTAGATATAACAAAGATTCCGTGCTCTCATGCTACATAACTTGCAAGAAAAATTACGCCTTGACACCTTACTGGAGTTTGCTATTTTATGACATGTTCTCATTATAAATGCTGTTGGTCTTCTATACAGTATGTACGAATAACCGCCAGCATGAGATGAATGGGAGACATAGGTGGACGCAATAGTACCCGAAGTATTTATAGATTTATCAGCGAGGTCACGTGCCGTCGTGTTTTATTCAATGTTAAAATACTACTACTAGACGCCGTGAGGTAGACTTAACTTGGACACTACTGTTTCAACACCTGCCAGGCTCAGTGAACATCTCCTCGACTCCGTGGAAGAAAGTAAGGATCAGACACTCTATAAGTGCAATGATCTCGGGTAAAGACACTCAGGTTTTACGTCCGCCGTCTTATCCGGGATTTGGGGAACTCTAGAGGTGTCTTTAGAATGGCCCTTTTGATTTCTCCCGCAGAATCGGGCAGACCCAAACGCTTCAAGTCGGACTGTGTTAGCTTGTTGATTTTGCAACCTGGTAAGGCGAACACGATCGGTGAGGGGCAAGGACGATTGAAATTAGTCTGCACGTACCTAGAGACCTGAATAACGTATTGACTCTGCCAAGGCATGAGCTTGGTGCATGACTGTTGCTAGTGAAAGACTTACTTAGCTGGTTCCATGCTTAAATCAGCGGCGAGAACGCTTGTGTCGGTCGCAAAATCATCGACGTGAAGGCATAGTGCAAACATGTGCGTCAGAAGCATGGTCCCTTTTTCAGATGTCCTTCGTGCCCTGGGAAACTATGAGGACCACTACCCCAATGAAGGTATGGAAGACGTACTCCATGGACCCACGTGCGGTCTCTGTGAACCGTGATAGAAGCCCGTCAATAACGACGCTAGGAACCATCGACAATTTTTGTTGAATGGCGTCCTTGTTGATATCTTTGAAGGTGGCCTTGTGGAAGGCGACCATTGTCGAGATGTATATGAGCATTTTTCTGGAAATATCACTGTCAGTAGGCTCTGGCGACGAACAACACTGTACATACATAGTGGTCTTGTTTGGCGAGGGAGAGGTAAATGCAAGCGCCAAATGGTCATTGATCCAGTTGGAACGCTTAAAAGGCAGAAGAGCGACCCGCTCCGCTCCACCGCCTGCACTCATGTAAGCAGAAATGGACAGTGCCTTCCATTCAGGCTTGGGAATCATGTTGTGCAAGGGATAAATGTCGCTTGGATTGAGAGCATCGATGTCGTACTGTGGAACTAAACGAGTGCTGTCTGCGTTCGCTTTTGCTTCCTCTGAAAGACCGTTGAGTATGAAAACGGAAGGGAAAGAAAAGATAAACCTTTCGATGGTAGTGTAGATGTGTTCTTCAGAATACTCTCTTGGAGGTGATCTGCAACACCCTCCATCGCAGAAACATCGACTTTGTTGCGCTCTTGCGCGCGGATGGCCAGTTTCGCCTTTTTGGTTCCGAACGTTTCGCCAAGTGCCGCGCGAGCCTCAAGCCGCTGAAGAGTAGAGACAGCAGCAGGTTGAAGACCCTTTAGGGCTTTAACTTCGTGTGTGAGGATGTGCAACGGAGCAGCTCGAAGGGTGGTGATGCCAGTGCGTTTATTATGAATTCCGACAAGGTATCTGCGAAATAAATGATGAAAAGATAGATATGAGGATCCAATATTCAGAGATGAACGCGGAGTGTATGCACGCACCTGCTGCCCAGTGAACCCCGTCGTGTTTCTTCAGAGGAGTAAAAATCCACGGCTTCTGTCTCGCCCGCAATCAACATCGGGATCTCAACAAACGGCATTTCCTCATTGTCCGTCGCCGGCTTTTGTGTTTGTGCCTTGTAACATTTGAAAGAAGTGGATTTTGTAGGCTTGACGGAGGGGAAATTAGCTAGTGGACGTGGCACCATCGACTTTGCTTGAATTGAAAAGCTTTGACTGTGACGACCATCTGCACTCACCAAGAACAGGACCCAGCTGCGTTGCAGGCTGGTCTGAGAGCGCAAAGGACACCCTTTGAGTGTCGTCTAACTCGCGCTTGCGCTTCTTGGAAGTTGTCATCGCAGCCATTAGTGGCTGCTTGCTAAAAGATCGGGCTCACCACGATATTGCCGTAGCCCGTGACTTTTTACAACACAACAGGTCAGTTTCACTTGCTCAAACTTATATGAACTCATTTATACTTTATTCTATAGCGCTTCATAGGCGTATATACGCCTGTATAGTAGAATTCGGAGTTGAAGTTGTTATTGTTAACGTTGACCTCTTCTTCGTCAGAGGTCTTGTTCCCATTTCTAACCGCGGACTCACGCTTTCGAGCACTTACACCCCTACCACAATGTCTAAATCTTGCTCTAAGAGCAAGAGCCCCCCTGTGGACATTAAACCAAAGCTAGAGGAGGATATCAAGCTAGAAGAATCTCTTTTCCCTCCAGTAGACACTAAGCCTTCCAAGCCGGAGCCATCACCGCCCCTCAAGCGAGAATCTTCTGAATCCGCAGTCAATGTAAAACCCAAACCAACAGGCCCACAGCTCATTAGCGACCTTCCGCGCGCGGAAGCCGCCGCTCACGCAACATTTGTGGAGATACCCGACAACCACTATCAGTATGGGACGCTTGGGCGCTCAAGAGAGGAGGGAGAGAGTATGACTTGTGACTGTCAATATGAGCATGGTTGGTTTGATACCATCCTGGGTAGCATAGTTGTAGACTCTAAGTTCTTACTGCGCAGGTGTCGACGACCCATCGGATGCCTGTGGGCATGAGTCAGATTGTATCAATCGGCTCACACAGGTGGAGTGCCTCGCAGATGACTGTCGGTGTCGGGTTTACTGCCAGAATCAACGGTAAGCTTATCGTTACTTCAGTCTTTTAACGTTCTACATCCTCAATTGCACGTATTCAGGTTTCAGCGCAAGGAGTACGCCGATATTGAGATAGTACAGACGGAAAAGAAGGGTTTTGGTCTTCGAACGGCCACAGATCTTTCAAAGTGAGATATCTCATTCTTTCTGAAGCGTTATAAACCCCTCACATCAACTAGGGATACATTCATTTATGAGTATGTCGGCGATGTTGTCAGTCACCCTTCCTTTATGAAGCGTATGCGTCAATATGCGGAGGAAGGAGTCAAGCACTTTTACTTCATGATGTTGCAGAAAGATGAAGTGCGTTGCTATATCTTTTGATTTCTCCATAAACCACTGACGGTCCTCCTTTGGGTTTCCAGTATATCGATGCCACAAAGCGAGGTGGCATCGGCAGATTCGCAAATCATAGTTGCAACCCGAACTGTTACGTCGCGAAATGGACAGTGGGAAAGCATGTCCGCATGGGCATCTTCGCAAATAGGTACATACGTAAAGATGAGGAACTTACCTTCAATTACAATGTGGACCGTTACGGGTATGCTTAGTTTTTTTTATTGATTTTTCAGATGAGCTCATACATCCAAGGCATGAAGCACAACCGTGTTACTGCGGAGAGGCCAACTGTGTTGGCTTTCTGGGTGGTAAGACCCAGACTGATATCGCTGGGATGGATGACCTTTATCTCGATGGTGCGCCTGCCAACGAGCACCTTGCTTTTGATTGCTAATACTTCTGCTCTGTTAGCGTTGGGTATTACCGATGAAGTGGAGAAGCTGGGCCTCAAGGGTAACAAGAAAAAGAAGGGTAGAAAGCTTGACGAGGACTACATGGTATGCCTTATAAATGTTCCCTTTTTCTGTTACTCACCGTCTTTCAGCCAGAGCTCAAACCACTTCTTGAGAAGGACATTCCTAAATTGGTTCAAGCAATCCGGCAAACGCAGAGTAAGAAAGTCCTTTTCAAACTTCTCACTCGAATCAAGGTATGTCTTCACATCGATCTTGTTGGGAAGTCTAATGTACTGTCTTCAGATCACCGAGGACCAGGCGGCACTACGCCAGGTTATGCGGTTGCGAGGTTTCAGTTTAATGCACAACATTCTTGAAGATCACGCCAAAGACGTCGATATTACAATCGCCGTGAGTCATTATTCTTGCGTAGGGTGGTCACATAATAACGTAAGCGTTACAGGCCTTGGAGGCCATGAGCCGCTGGCCGCTTATCCAGAGGAACAAGGTCGACGATTCGAAGATCACCATACCTGTTCGAGTGTGCCTGGAGTCAGAAAACGAAACCATGAAAGGACTTGCCCAAAAGGTCACTTATACCATTACTAAACTCATCACCGTTCTAACGGGATATTTACAGCTCTTGGACCACTGGGACACCCTTGAAATCGCATATCGCATTCCCAAGCGAATTAAAGCTGTAAGTTAATATTCCGTTTCCAGCCAGTGAGAGCACGGTATCATGAAAAATTCGCAGGATGGCGAGGAAGAGCAACCTCCGCACCACATTGCCATGATTGAATCACTAGAAGGGGAACTCCGCCCACTCAAGAAGCCGAAATGGGAAGATCAGTACGAACAGCACCATTTTCGCCCCGCACCTAAACGCCCGCCCTCTACCTCTACTGTCCTTATTCAGCATCACTGGCCATCTCCTTACATTCCACCAGTGGTTCATAGGCGATCGAAAGACGAAATTGCTGCTGTGATCGCCGCTGCAAAGGCAGCTGCCGAGGCGGAGGCCGCCAAGGCCCCTCCTCCGTCACCTCCTCCAGAGGAGAAAAAGGTGAAGAGAGAAAGACCTCCGAAGAAGACTCAGACACCAGAGGAAAAGGAGGCCAATAAGGAGAAGAGGCTATTGAAGCTCGTGGGCGCCGTCGTCGTCAAATGCATGTCCAAATATTCAAAGCAGCTTAATCACGACCAGTTCAAGAAATACGCTAAGGAGGTGGGTGTCGTCTTATTGCTCTACAAAGGGATTATCCACTGATTTATCTCCCAGCTCACGCACATCATTGCCGAGAAGGAGAAGAAATCTTCCAGCTATAAAGATGGAAAACTGGACGCACTATCTGACGAGAAGACGGCAAAGATCAAGAAGTTTGCGAAGGAATACATCATCAAGGTGCTACGGAAGCATGAGAAATCTAAGCGAAAAGCCTCATCGTCTACTGCACCAGCAACTTCATTCGTGATCGAGGAAAATGATCACGAAGAGGGAGGCGACGTGCCTATGGTGATGTCCGTCGACGAAGCAATGGATCTCGGCGATGGGTCAGAGAGTGAAGCGGATGATGCGGACACAGGAGGCGATGTACAAATGCAACATTTAGAAGACATGCAACATTCTTCGGACGATATTGATCCATCCCCGAAGGAAGGAGTTGCTGAACACCCTCCACAGTCCCTCACTCCAATAACACCATCGGACGCCACTATTGACCCTAGACTGCGGCATCGGCTTGAAGAGCCGGGGAGCCCTCCAAAACATTGTTGGGACTCAAGTACATAGCACTTACTCCATCGTTATCTCCTATCTATCACGCTAAGTATTCGCCTCCTCACATGCGTAGTTATTAGATTGCATCAGGTTTTTCATCGCTGGACAATTCAACGCATATATCTTGGAATTGTACCAAATGTGCTTACCTTTGCACTCAGGGTTTTGCAATGCACCACCATATACGTCAGTTGAGTACCACCCACACTATGCTAGCACAGGAGGACAATGATTAAGAATTAAGGCCAACAGTAGTTCATATGCTGTACATTGGTTCTAGCAAGATATCATGCTTGCCAAATGCAAGTCACTACTGGAATACAAGTTTCGGATCATCCGCTCGACCTTCGCTCAGACTCTACTACAGACAAGCGAGTCTCAGGATTCATATCCATATGCTCTATACCAACGCGCTCTTAACCACGGCTCGTCCCCGCTCACAAACTTTACCCTAGCACCGCTAAACACTAGCATTTCCAGGCAATCGAGCATCATGATCACTGTGCTTACAGCAAAATGATCAGACAAGTCGGTTAGAGACGAAGCAGTAAATGGACGAGGCTGAAGGATGTTAACACGCGAACGTCGAGGGAGAACAGTTGATCTCATCTGGTGAGTCCAACGGGACATGTCAACTTGTTTGGTTTTGGGGGCTGTATATTTCTAGGAACTGTTCTTTGTCGGATAGAGTGGACAGCCCTTCGGCGGTACTCGATGCTAGCAGAAAAATTGCGGAGGGCATAAGCAAGGCTCGAATGAAAAAGTGCGGGTAATTGTGGGGTATGATCAGAGTCCAGGGGCTGGCGGCTATCTGGGCCAGACGAGAAAGCGATAAGCTGAATGTCAGAAATTCCGGAGAGGAGGTTGACAACGATATCGACTTCCTGGTATCGCCCCTGCAAAAGGAATAGAAACGTTTCAGGAAGTACTAATAGAGCTTTTTTCATAATTCCCCCGATTCAGTGGAGTTATTCTTAATTGCCGAATGGACGGATACAACTCTGGTTTTGCAAAAACGTTGAGCCTTTTCCTATAGTGCAGGATGAGTGCCTAATAGACGTACTGATGAGAGCCAGAGCCAGGAAGTTTGTCATGTGTGATCATGACAGGATAAGGCTATGTGGCATTTTCAGTGGCGAGGAGGTGGTAGTACGGAGAAGAACAGTAAGCCTTTCAGCGGTCCAACTTCGTGACAAGTGCATTAGTGTTGTCAGGGTCTGGCATATGTAAGTAGATCAAAACAGCTGGATGTGGGATGTCAGATAGGGCAATGAAGGTGCTTCGATAGCAGCTGTGTAAAATTCGGTGCGGTCGTTGAAGGGAGACACGAAGTTTCGGGTAAAAGTTCATTGGTGATCATAGCTGAATTGACACAGGCAGAGAGAAAGAAGGGCTCTTAAAATTAGACCTTGCTCGATTGTTGTCCTCGCAACTTGAACTACACACCTCGAGCATGTATACCGTGACGTGGTATGAACCTAGAAATGGGCTAAGATGTACTTTTGGTTCAAGGTTTTTGATAAACGGTCAAAGGGTTCAAGCCTTGAAAGCCAAAGACGCTGGGCATCGAACCCGCGTTCCGAGAGAGCTTCGCTCTTATCGAAATCATGATGACCTTGTGCTTGTCGCCAAGATACTGTTTAGTATGGACTCGGGCCGACAACATTGCACCAGACATTTCCATATTAAAATAGCCATCCACTGAGTAAATCGAGGCCATTAGACTCGAGCTTGGTGAATCAGACGAAGACGGAAGAGTAGAATAAGTAAACAAGTGGGAAGACGGAGCTGGAAGGAAACGAGCATGCGTGAGGCAGCGTGACCCGAATTCGAAGAATTTGTCGTTGGTAGGAAGTACTAGTCACCGTGACCGTATATACCGTACAATTTACGGTGAACTTACGGGTACTACCCGTACCGTACCATATGTCGTACAATGCATTCGAAATGTTTGACGGTACGGTATGGGTCACTGTACGGTCATGGTCATACGGGAGATGAAAAAACATCAAATTACAGTACTAACATACAATATGAAACATGCCAATAAAATGCTCGTTCGCGCCAGCTCTTTCGAAACCCGGGACTGACGGTCTCATCCCAGTACCTGGCTAATGTAACGTGCCGCCGGAGAACTTCGCAAGGACTTCGACCGTATTTCAGTCCACGTGCAGTCGGCAACCTAGATAGAATATACAAATAAGTGTATAATATGAATAGGATCAGTACTTGACAGATTCGAAGCCTCGATATCATAGTCTTGTAGTAGTAAGTATTGCAATAACAATAGAACACAAAATAAACAGAATGAAAGTGATACCGTTTGACATGTCTTTCGAGCGAGTCCCAACATGCCTTGAACTCTAGCAAAAGCCGTTCGCCAGCGATGGCTGCAGACATCAGGAAAAGCCTCCTGGGCAAAAATTGTAATAATTTGCGCTAAATGATGTTATTCTGATAATTCTATCTAATTTCAAGTTTTAGGAATAAAATGGCTAGAAGACGATAATGTACAATGGAATTATCAAGACTTATTTGAAAATACAGTAAGTGAATCTATCTAGATACGAGTTCAACCAAAAAGTGTCACAGTCATCTAGAACTGTATCACTGGACCACTCTCGCGGGACGACGGCACCGAAATTCGGTAGAAGATGGGCACTCCGCACGATCTTCGACAATGGCACAATGCTTGCGACTTTTGCGCCACCAAGAAAGGAACGCGAGACCTTGTAAAGGCCGTGGTGTCGATCGGGAGCCAATGCAAACGGCGAGAACCACTCGATATAAGCCAGGTGGCTAGGAACCTGGACTGTTGGTGGAAAGAGGAGCGGGAGAGATTTTGAAGGTAGTGAGAAAACGACTCGCACTTGACCAACGCGGAGTGCTTGAGCCAGTCAACTGTGAGTCACCAATATCCTTGTGAATACTCGTTGCTGACTTACCTTCTATACCTGCGCTAACGGCTTCTGTATTCGCACCAAGGTTCACCAGCACTGTGTCTGAACGACGGGGCAGCAGACCAGAACCCGATCTCCGTTGTGGTCTTGCGTGAACTGAATCTAACGTGACGGTTGCGTCGCCATGACCACGAGCATCGACGGAGACCCACTTGATCTTGTGGAAAACAGGAAGCGTTCGAAACGGGAAATGGATGTCGCGGGCCAATATTTCCAGTGCTCGCTCATGGAGGGGGTTAGGATCCTCGGCATGCCTGAGCTGTGTGATATAGCGAGCAAGTGCCTCGCGGAAAAAGGTAGCGCCGTAGTCATCAACTAATCTGTCTATAGTGACAGCTTTTGCAGTAGGGTGTTTGGGCATAGTCTGAAGGCGGCGGAAGGTCATATCTGGAGGACGTGAATGGTGGGGCTCAGACTCGACATCACCAGCAAGTCGCCAGATGACATACTTGTCATGGCGCAGTATTTTCTCTTTGCGTTCGAGCCACCGTGCTCCCACTCAGGTTCGTTATTTGCTTCATCTTCCCATCCATCGTCCGCTCCCTCATCCGCATCACTACCATGGCCAGATCCCTTGCGAGCCCACTCAAACTCTTCCATGTCATACCCTCCATCATCATCAGGCCATTCCAACTCGTCATCAAGTTGCGGTTCACTAGTGTTGGCGTGTATCTGGGAGCGTGAGTAATTGTACAGCGCTCGACAATCAGGGTTTCGGCTCTTTGATAGATGATGACTGAGGCCTGTGACAGTGAGATTGTCCTGTCCACAAGCTGGGCAGCTTGCGGACATTGTGTTAGAGACAAGGGGGGTAGAGGTGAGGGAGTGAGACAAGGGGGGCAAAGGGTAGAGGTGAGGAAGAGACGCCCCCGACCAATGATAGAGAGTGAGAGAGTAGAGAGACGCCCCCGACCAACGATACAGACAGAGGGAATAGAGAAACGCCCCTGACCAACGCTACAGATGGTTAGACGATAGAGGGTGAGGGTGTAGAGGGTGAGGGAGTAGACGACAGCGCCCCCGACCAACGATAGAGAGAGAGAGGCAGTATCTGCTATGAGGGTGGAGGATGAGAGGGTTGAGGTTAGCCTGAGTAATGTTTAGACCCTCAAATTGAATGTACCAAATTGACTGCCTCCGAGCCCCTTGAAATGCAGGTCAACGTTATATTCGGCACCCAATTGAGGTGAACGGGAGCGGGAATTGAGACAGAACATGTGGCATGCGCATAGGCGTGACATAATGTGAACGCAAGTTCTTTCAGGTGGAGGGAGTAGTAGTAGACGGGAGCGGGAGGGAGTATAGGCGTGACATAGTGTGAACGCAAGTTCTTTCAGGTGGAGGGAGTAGTAGTAGACGGGAGCGGGAGGGAGTATAGGCGTGACATAGTGTGAACGCAAGTTCTTTCAGGTTGAGGGAGTAGTAGTAGATGGGAGTGGGAAGAGCATAGGCGTGACATAGTGTGAACGCAAGTTCTTTCAGGTTGAGGGAGTACTAGTAGACGCTATTAGAGATGGAGGTTAGTCTGAGTATTGACTGAAAATTGAACCCTTGACGGCGAATTGAACTCACCGGTAACTGCCTCCGGCATCCCTTGAAATGCAATAATGAACAAAAATTTTGAGGCGCCGAGAGGTCGAGAGCCAGGACCCGCATCCGAACAGCATATGCGGACGACAGGAATCAGGAAGTAGACCAGTGCCCAATGAGCAGTATTAGCCGAAGTGAAGGGTGGACAGAGTAAAGGATGCTTTGTGCCAAAGATAAGGTGAAGGGTGAGGGAGTGGTGGATCAACGTGGCCGATATACGCGCAAATATCCTAGTGAGTCTGAGGTAAAATGAACTCACCTAACGACTCGGAACTGCCACCGATGCACTGCAATGCACACAACGTCACCGTTAAAAATGACAACGAAAAATCTAACAGCGTTGTCAAATTTTTATTTCACCCCCCCTCCCACTCTTTTCGTATCCTGAACATTCATTCAGTTAGCTTCCTGTCCTTGCAATCCAGTATAGCATGTACGCACCTCTTAATTCTCGTGGTGAGTTAAGCATATTATTTTGAAGATTGGCGAGACGGCAGCTTCTCACTGGGCTTGAATAGAGCCCCGAAATGCAAAGAAAAAAGCTATGGAAAAAGCCAGTAAGCAAGCGACTTCGGTCAGGCTTGAAATCAGAGAATTCAATGCTCACCTGCTACTTCAGTTTGGATGCCTGAAAAGTCGGCAAGAAAAGTTCTTCAACAGACTCAAGCACCTCCCAACCCACCGGCGAGTAGGCCACCCACCAAACCACCCACCAAAGCGAAACGACCAGCGCCAAGTGCGGTTGCTCAGATTGACCAGGGTTTGCCTTCAAAACTGAGTACATCACGTATTTAATCTTGAAATCATAGCGATAAGTACTAACTTTGATGGTAGAGCGTCAGCGTACCTTTGTGAACGAGGAATCGGATGATGGGTATGGTTCTAGTGGCCATGGTAGCGACTCAGAGGACTTGCGACCTGAAAAAAATCGAGGTGAGTTATAGATAACAAGGGGTTTGAATCTTACTCACTATGATGATGTGCACCATCCCAGCTGCCCGTCCTAAGAAACTCTGTCGCACTTATGCGATGCGCGATGTGACTGCGATGTTCGACTCCGACGAAGATCTTGAGGACAAGCCACCAAATGGCATTGATACTGATGCCGACTGCGAGGAGAGTGAGGGCGAAGAACCAGAGGCCACTGCCTTGATGCTCTCAGACGAGGTTAGTAGTTGCACTGGTTTACCTAAGCTGATCCTGCTGATTCTGAGTTTCGGAAGATGCCTTCGCTTGTTCAATCACGTGGCAACTCCTTGAAGCAATCCGCCAGAGAGCGAAAGCAAGCCGAGGAGGTGAGTCCATACTATTATATACTCTACGCTGATACTACAGACTACCTTCAGACTCCAATGTGGTGCGATGTCAACAACGCTGTCTCAGAGTCAGTTGAAGAATCCACTACTCGTGGTGACTCCTTGGAACCTCCCTCCAGCGACATTGAAGTTGTCCAGAAGGTCACCTCTGCAGCTTCTCTCGTTCGAACGGAGAAAGGAAACGTCAAACTACTCGATCAGAACCTGGAGACTCGGCGAGTAGTCCGGGATGCCATTATTGACGCTAAAGGTCACATCATCTTCGTCAATGCTTACCCTGAGCTCGTCGACAAAAACCAGGTATCACTCCAGTCTTTGCTAACGGTGGCCGAGAATCGCGGCATAAAAGCCATCAAAAAACGCCTTCAAACAGATGCTCAGTATGCTGCTCTCCTTGGTAGCTTGGTAAGTCATTCGCATGTCTCGTTTTACGGATTTTTTTTAACTATCATTGCTATTACTTGAGGTTGAGCCCCGGATCCCATTATTGCGGCGTGATCTGAAAGTCGCTGCATGTGCGAACATCGATAGCTACTTCCGTCTCAGCAACAACATAGTCAAGGCAAAAAAACTCATGGAGCAGCACGCATATGTATATGCCTTGAGGTTTGATGTGAGTTTACTCTGTCCCTTCCCTCCTTCGCCAACACCCAGGAGCGGGTTCTTTATCGTATTCCCATATCGTTTCTCCTTCCTCGACCATTCTATTCTCTTACTAACTTCCCTCTTCAACAGTCCAACGACGATGCTTTGCCCATAGGGAAAAAGCCCTACCAGGGTGAACTACTGATTTTTCTGTTACACGACAGAGTCTTCAATGGTGCGAAGTCCATCGGCGTCAGATTTTCAGCGCGTTTTGTCGAAATTGCGAGAAACAAGGCCAAACGCCCTGAAGTCCCCATTCCATTGCTGGCGCTGGCGGCAACAGCAGTAATGTCCTTTCCACTAAGCCTTCATGCTGTGCTCATTTGTTTTCAAGATCTACGTGGCCCTTTTCTGGAAGACGCTTGGTTCACCGGGAAAGTTTAACTTTACCGGGAATCAATTCAGTGAAACTTATGTTTTCCATGTCAACTTTCTCGAGGGTTTGAAGAAGGACGCACCTGGAAAGTTTCACTGTATGATGGCTGACATTTTCGAAGCTGTACAGTAAGTTTCGCTGGTGTGGATGGTGCCATTCTGACATGCTGGATACTGACGCTACTTGCAGGGCTTTGAAACAGAAGGGCAATGATCATCTCGCCAGTGAGCATCGAAATGCTCTGTCGCTACTCGACTTGGATGGCATGGCCGATGATTAGGTTCTGTAGTCACGGTGCTGATCCATTCCTGTATATTGTGCATTCATTAGTGATTGTACCGAAATTCCTCATACCCTCGTCGTCAGCTGTTTCGCAATTACTTTAATACACATGTTTTAATCCAATATTAGTCTTTTGTTCTTGTAACATTGCCTGGGACGCGTGATCTGTGAACCAACATTTGTAATAACGGCTTCTGCAATTCACCACTATTATGTCTAATATCAGCTAAATCTTGATAATTATCCAACACTGAGGAGGGGGTTAAAAAGTCCTTCTAAACTATATAATCTTCCTAATTCTCCTAAGGCTGCTAATTAGACCTAATTCTTGGATTTTATCAAAGATTATCGAAATTTTTGCCAGGAGGTTTTTCCTGATGGAGTTTCTGAAGGAAAATATTGAGTTGTTGAAAGACAAGACAGGGCATTACATTCACATGTTGTTCCGGGTTGGCGTTCGTGGTATTCATCGGCGCGCGAACCACACTGAGCAGAAAGTTCATGTAAGACCGAGACACTTGTTTTAATGAAGTGAGTATCATGATGAGCAGGGAGAAAACCAAAACCGTGCAAACATGCAGCTTGAATCTGTTCATCTAACATTGGCCTCGAAGGCTAGCTCATGGATCTCTCTTGATGAGTGATGGAACCAATGAGATGCCACTTCATTTCTGATCGTGACTCTTGACAGACATGTTATTTTCTGCTATGTAGTCAAAGCCCCAAGGTCGTACAGGCGCACGCGTTATGACAAATTTGAAAGTGAAAAAAGTGGGTGACAAAGATAAAGAGGAGTACATAAGCCTGGAGATGATTGCATTAATTTGCCAACAGACCTTGCGTGGCAGTCTGCTGGCATTGCAGATGGTAACTGTTCGAAAAGGTACAGCTCAAGAGAAAATTGAACATCCACTTGACGCGAGGCTATTAAGGGGATTCTAGTGGATTAATGGCCGTCCTAAAATGCATACCCATAACCATGGGGAACATTGTTCAGCGTATAAAAGCAAGGTGTCTTCCTACTAACCCTTCAGATATATTTGATCCCATATTGTATCCTCACTCACAATGCGTTTCTCCTCTGCAATTTTCCTCGCCAGTGTTGCTGCTTTAGCATCATCAATCTCTGCCACGCCCACGCCCATTGACAGTGGGACCGAGACATGTCACGTCTGGTGCATACATGATAGTCAATGCGACACCTGCCACCCTCACCACATATGCGTGAGTTTCAGTGGTTTGTGTCCTGGATTTAACAACATGATTAACCGAATGGCAGATCTTTCCTTGGTGTGTAGTGAGTCGTGTTTCTGCTTTCACATCGGTGCAGTATGGTTCATGGTACTGACACGTGAGTTACTAGAAGAAGCTATGACCATCATCCAGGGAGGCGTGATCGCGTGGAATACTGAGAGAAGTAAAAGGGTACGGTCTGACGGGTCCGAGGGTACGGGAGTGTGTACTTGCGGAAGCATTGACACCAGTAGCTGTAGTTTAACAGTATACCAGATGAAATTGGACTGCGAGCTGAGCATGAAAGTCCACGCCGGTATGGTGAGCGGGAACAGGTTGAGGTTGTAGAATTTATTGTTCCTGTCCCAGATGTGCATGGCGAGTGCAGCCGATCCAGCTATACTAGTACGATGACCCTTGAAAGAGAAAATATAACTTTCCGGATGCTAAGGCAAGCACACCACGCTGAGAGCTATGTCTCTCACAGCTTCGCTAGACCTCGATGGAAGTCCATGTCAGAAACACCACGTATGCACCGGAAAGGAACAGGGTCAATTTCGTGTGGTGGACCAGAGCGGCTGTCAACTCGAAAGATGAGAAGCTCGACGTCAAGATTCTAGCCGCAAGCAATCCTGAAGAGTCTCGCAACTTATTAGTTGTGCCATCCATGAAACAATAAGCGCTCACCATATAATAGGTATCAGTAAGCCATCAGCCGTGTCATCTGGTACCGCCGGTAAGCATCCGGAGGTACCGATTTGCAATTGCTTCGTGAGCATAAGATCTCAACATGAAGAAGTGAGATGTAGGCATAGTAAGAAAGTACACGTTCCGTAATATATCGCACATCTAACTCACAACTATCTCGACCGAGCGTTGCTTAAGATTGGGTATTCTGGTATTTCAGCTCCAGCTTTCGAAGGGGGGTGGATGCAAAGTAGGGCTGCAAGAGGGAATGCAACCTCGAAACCGATATCGCCTGAGGTAATGCCAATGGGGCGCTGGTACCACACTTGGTTCGTGCAGGGTATAATTAGGGCGAAAGACAGTATTCCAGGTATGATAGCAGCAGCCCCCCAGGGAAGACGCCCTAAAACATTCCATATGGCGTGATTATAAGTGCTGAAGTCACATTTGCGGAAATGGTGGTGTTCGACAAGGAGGATGGCATCATACGCACTTGCCCAGTAACTGATTCGCGAAAGTAAATTGGTCAATGCCGCATAGAATATGTGGGCGCCCACAATTGATAAAGGCAATGCGCTGTCAGCGTCGAGGGGAAATTTTCGAGATCAGTTGACAGTCGCTGACAAGAAATACAGTACAAATGGGAAGACAGGCATTACCGTGCCAACGATCGAGAAGACATATCTTGGGACTCTCGACATAGCCGGGAATCGGGATCATCACTTGGAAATTGAAACAAATAGAATAAAGCGTGCACACGATATTGCCGGTGACGCTCAGGCTGAGAAGTAATAGCGGTTCTCAAAGTCAAACCTTGAAAAAAATCATGGTGAATTTGGATGCTGCCGATACGGCAGGTTTTGAACTCCGACCTGCCCTGCCAGCGTGCTCAACATCGTTGCTGCTGGTGTCGACGCTGCTAAAGCTCTAATCTGATTCTTAATCACTGTCAGTAGGAATATCCTGGATCATGTCACGATCCAATCAAAGAGGTCGAACCAATACATCTGCTGGTACGGACACCTCAAAGAAGTGTACTATCCATTGGGAGGGGGTCCGTAGTGCTCGTACTGAACGCCTACTTGCCTGGTGCAAGGAAAATGAAGACGCATGCATCAAGCTTTTCTCTGATTCTGTAAAGGATGCCAAGGAGCAAGGTCGGAAGAAGAAGCAGAGTGGTACTTCGAGAGATGTTGTGTATTCACAGGTCGCACAAGCTGTATTTTTGAACGACGAGGATCTGGAGGTTCAACGACTCTTCAAGGAGGACCCCAAGGCATTCATAAAACCAGTTTCAACCCGTTTCGGCACGTAAGTATCTAGTTCCTGCGTCATCCATCTTCCCACTGGAATCACTGATCAGATGTCTCAGACTGAGGAAAAAATACAACGAATTTAACAAGGACCTCAAGCAGTTGGGAGCAGGAAAGACATATGCGGAGCTGCAAGAAGATCCAAAGATCAAGTCTTTGATCGGTAAGTTTCAGCTGCTGTTGATCTGCGCCTGTCTGAACCATGTCTCCGTCAGATACAAAGCTCGAAAAATTTCCCTGGTGGCCTGAGCTTCATGGCTGGTGGCGGACAAATCCAGCCTTCAATCATGCCTTCTCTACTGCGGATGCAGGGCAAGATTTTGCATCTGCTGCATTGGAACATTTCAATATTTCCAAGCACCCACAACCACCGGCTACAGTTGACGACGATGCTCGCACGGATGATGATGGAGACATAGTCGAGGTCGATACTCGCAGTGTGGACGATGGTGCCGTTGTCGATGTGGCAGATGAAATGATAGTCGACCAGCCCCCCTGCATAGAATCACAATCATCAGCATCATCATCGCTTGTACCTTTGGACCGTGGTCCTAGCAACACACCTGACTCATTCTCACTGCCTCCATTGCCACACTGGTTCCAACGATCTCAGCTCCCTCCCATCTCAACTTCTGATGCACTTGGAGTGGTATCATTGAACTCTCCTGAGCGCTCGCCAGTACCCAATCGCAGTGCCCCCGATAATCCATTGTCTGTTTTTTCCGATTTTAGGGAATCTTCACCTAGCTATCAGTCTATGCCTATTGACTCAGAAGACTCGGATATTGGTGCCAGCCGAGCACTGCGGTCTCTCCGTGTCAGCTCGCTTAAGGGAAGTCGTGAAAGTTCACCTTCTCTTGCTACAAAACGGTCTTGTCCACCTACTTGAAGTGCATCACCTCAGTTTAGTCGTCCCCCCTCTTCATCACGCAAACGCCCTGGCGGCAGTGCTCTTGACCAGACCTCTGCCGCTGCAGAAAAAATGTCCCAAACGGCAGACTCTCTAATGAAGCACCTTGAGAGCAAACGTGAGGGTCGTGTCGAGCATGAAAGCTACAAACATATGAAACTTCAGGGCGACATTTGGGCTCGTGATCTCAAGGCCCGCAGTGCTCGTGATGAGCGGGAGCATGTGATGCGTCTTGCGGAACAAGACCATCTCCACCAGCAGGAGAGGATGACTCAACAAATCGAGTTTGCAAGACTCGAGCTTGAGCTATCTCGTGCACGTCGAGAAGAGGAGGAGGCTCGGATTCGTCGTATTGCTATGGAGCGTGGTTCTGATCAAAACTGAAGTAGGTCTGTACTGTGTCATCATGCGACTCGTTTTTAGGACTCAGAAATGCATGCCATTTTGTACTTGATCTCAAGCGTGACTACACACAGCAAACACTACAGGTTTGGGATAAGCGCTTTGAGCTCAAGTGCAAATTTCCCTCATTGGGTACTAAAGAGGACGAAGAACTTCTACTTGACAAAGGTTAGGTGCTAAGGAGGACAAAGAACTTCTACTTGACAAACACATCTTTAATGTGTTGCGATTCGCTCCAATGAGGAAAGCAACCGCGCCTTTAACACGTTGCGAAAATCCTGCCCTGCAGTTCCAATGTAAGTCTGATCACCTACTGCTACAAACGGGTGATGATCGCAATCCTTCAACTTCATGACCGGGCCATTCATTTTGATCCGCTTGATCATGAGGATCAAATTGAGCGAGAGCGGGCGAAAACTTACGTCGAAAGTAAGACGTGTCATGAATGGCGTGGAGGCTTTCTTTCTGTAGATGGGACTCCATCCCCCTTACACGAGAAGCCAGGTTGGCATGGGGAGGGTTTCTTCGACAAGAACTCAGACTATTCTCTAACAGCGCAGGTAAGTGTCGGTTCGATGTGCAGCGTGGTGACTTACCATCAAAAAGGTTGTTATATTCCCTCATAATCTTCGTATCGTGGACTATGTCATTGGCGTACCTGGAAGTCTCCACGACTCAAACGTATTTGTGCGGACAAGAGTTTCCCGGGATCCCGAGTTGTTTTTCGGTGCAGGAGAGTGGCTGTGGGTGGATTCGGCATACGCTGCGCGAACCTGGTGTGTGCCGCCATATAAACGGCCAGTGGGAGGGAGTTTGACGCTGGACCAAAAGACGTTCAACTATAACCTATCAACAGTGAGTATGAATGGCAATATACATTCATAGTACTTACCCAATGTCTAGGTCCGTGTTCGTTCAGAGCATTTTTTCAGCTCTATCAAGGGCCAGTTCCAATCACTGCGGGAGCTTCGCATCCCAATCCAAAGTCAGAAGGACCTCGACTATGCAAACATGTGGATCCGTTCGTGCTTTGTTCTGCACAATCTAATTGTCGAAATTGAAGAAAAAACACACCATGAAGACACGAACGTCTGTTTCTATCAGCAAACTCGGAGGTTGAGGCGGGCTGATGGTGACGCAGGAGAGGATGATCAGCAAGGGGGTGGTGCAGTAGGTGATCAGACTTACATTGGAACTGCAGGGCAGGATTTTCGCAACGTGTTAAAGGCGCGGTTGCTTTCCTCATTGGAGCGAATCGCAACACATTAAAGATGTGTTTGTCAAGTAGAAGTTCTTTGTCCTCCTTAGCACCTAACCTTTGTCAAGTAGAAGTTCTTCGTCCTCTTTAGTACCCAATGAGGGAAATTTGCACTTGAGCTCAAAGCGCTTATCCCAAACCTGTAGTGTTTGCTGTGTGTAGTCACGCTTGAGATCAAGTACAAAATGGCATGCATTTCTGAGTCCTAAAAACGAGTCGCATGATGACACAGTACAGACCTACTTCAGTTTTGATCAGAACCACGCTCCATAGCAATACGACGAATCCGAGCCTCCTCCTCTTCTCGACGTGCACGAGATAGCTCAAGCTCGAGTCTTGCAAACTCGATTTGTTGAGTCATCCTCTCCTGCTGGTGGAGATGGTCTTGTTCCGCAAGACGCATCACATGCTCCCGCTCATCACGAGCACTGCGGGCCTTGAGATCACGAGCCCAAATGTCGCCCTGAAGTTTCATATGTTTGTAGCTTTCATGCTCGACACGACCCTCACGTTTGCTCTCAAGGTGCTTCATTAGAGAGTCTGCCGTTTGGGACATTTTTTCTGCAGCGGCAGAGGTCTGGTCAAGAGCACTGCCGCCAGGGCGTTTGCGTGATGAAGAGGGGGGACGACTAAACTGAGGTGATGCACTTCAAGTAGGTGGACAAGACCGTTTTGTAGCAAGAGAAGGTGAACTTTCACGACTTCCCTTAAGCGAGCTGACACGGAGAGACCGCAGTGCTCGGCTGGCACCAATATCCGAGTCTTCTGAGTCAATAGGCATAGACTGATAGCTAGGTGAAGATTCCCTAAAATCGGAAAAAACAGACAATGGATTATCGGGGGCACTGCGATTGGGTACTGGCGAGCGCTCAGGAGAGTTCAATGATACCACTCCAAGTGCATCAGAAGTTGAGATGGGAGGGAGCTGAGATCGTTGGAACCAGTGTGGCAATGGAGGCAGTGAGAATGAGTCAGGTGTGTTGCTAGGACCACGGTCCAAAGGTACAAGCGATGATGATGCTGATGATTGTGATTCTATGCAGGGGGGCTGGTCGACTATCATTTCATCTGCCACATCGACAACGGCACCATCGTCCACACTGCGAGTATCGACCTCGACTATGTCTCCATCATCATCCGTGCGAGCATCGTCGTCAACTGTAGCCGGTGGTTGTGGGTGCTTGGAAATATTGAAATGTTCCAATGCAGCAGATGCAAAATCTTGCCCTGCATCCGCAGTAGAGAAGGCATGATTGAAGGCTGGATTTGTCCGCCACCAGCCATGAAGCTCAGGCCACCAGGGAAATTTTTCGAGCTTTGTATCTGACGGAGACATGGTTCAGACAGGCGCAGATCAACAGCAGCTGAAACTTACCGATCAAAGACTTGATCTTTGGATCTTCTTGCAGCTCCGCATATGTCTTTCCTGCTCCCAACTGCTTGAGGTCCTTGTTAAATTCGTTGTATTTTTTCCTCAGTCTGAGACATCTGATCAGTGATTCCAGTGGGAAGATGGATGACGCAGGAACTAGATACTTACGTGCCGAAACGGGTTGAAACTGGTTTTATGAATGCCTTGGGGTCCTCCTTGAAGAGTCGTTGAACCTCCAGATCCTCGTCGTTCAAAAATACAGCTTGTGCGACCTGTGAATACACAACATCTCTCGAAGTACCACTCTGCTTCTTCTTCCGACCTTGCTCCTTGGCATCCTTTACAGAATCAGAGAAAAGCTTGATGCATGCGTCTTCATTTTCCTTGCACCAGGCAAGTAGGCGTTCAGTACGAGCACTACGGACCCCCTCCCAATGGATAGTACACTTCTTTGAGGTGTCCGTACCAGCAGATGTATTGGTTCGACCTCTTTGATTGGATCGTGACATGATCCAGGATATTCCTACTGACAGTGATTAAGAATCAGATTAGAGCTTTAGCAGCGTCGACACCAGCAGCAACGATGTTGAGCACGCTGGCAGGGCAGGTCGGAGTTCAAAACCTGCCGTATCGGCAGCATCCAAATTCACCATGATTTTTTTCAAGGTTTGACTTTGAGAACCGCTATTCTACTTTCTAGGTTTCGATCTATGGACTCGGTATCCTCTTTCTAATGAAAACTACGAATGTAATGGGACTTCGTTGGATGCATTTGTTAGTTTGCTTGTTTGTTTGTTTTGGGCGAAAGCCCCGCAGGGGCTTTCCGGCCCAAAACATGGGTCCGTGCCTAAGGCGCCAGGTGAGTAGGGCGTGACATGGGTGGACCCAGGTGGCACCCGTACCCAATCCACGGGTAGATGGAACTTCAGAGGCCTACCCGCACCCGTATGGGTAAGAGTATCACGGGTGTGGGTGGATCCATGGGTGGACCTGCAGGTGGTATGGGTCACCCGCGGGTGAACTAGTATATGTTATGTAGAACTGTACTGTAGTACATATGAGAACATATGTATGAAATATATGTAAAAAATCAATCAGAGTCAACATCAATTGTGTCACAGCATGAGGGATCTTCTTTTCCCTTCCCTTCTCCCTTCTCCTTTCCCATTTTCTTTCGCATGATTTCTGTAGCAATGCTGAGATCGGGCATAAGGGGTGTATTGAACCAAGATCCAATGGCAACCTGTGCCTTGAAAGAGCTTTACCCTTTCGACATAGAGAGGATCCGCTACTGAGTTGAATGGGCATTTATTGACCGCGCAACGGCGTGTATTTGTTGCTGGCGAGTTAGGTGCCAAAGATGCGCTCGAAGCTGAGTTGAAACTGCTCCTCGACATGGAGGATTGAGGTTTAATTAACTGATGACGAGAGACTCAGAGAGAGGGACCAAGCCACCAGGGCAGCACACATCGAATTTAAACATCTCAAATAGATGTCGGTTGGCGTCATGTTGACAGGCTCTGACCCGGATAAGGACTAAAAATTAAAATCCGTCTGAAAATAGTTTATGGTCATACAGCACTGCTTAGTACCTGTTCAGAACCTTCATACCACGGTTATAGTACCTCAGCGAGCTTGATTTTGACATCGGATAAGTGCAAGTAGGGAGGGTACAATATTCATCTGAAACTAATTTGTCACTTGGCACCGGTTCATACCTCTCATTGGGGTACTAGACCACCCGTGGGTACCCGTGGATACCCAACTTTAGCAAGCCCTCCGACCCGTACCCGTGCGGGTGAGCCACCCGTACCACCCACCACCCATATCACCTGACCCACGTTCCATCCGTGGGTGGCACCCGGGTGGGTACCCGGGTAACCCTCACCCATGTCACACCCTACAGGTGAGCTGTGTTCCCATGTATTAGGAGAACTACAACACACTCAGCGAAGCTTGGGGCCCTTTCAACTAGGAGAAGTGCTTCTTTTCACCGGACTGGGGGGATTGTGTATCGCGTGAAAGGTTCCAGTACTGGTGAGGCCTGAATGTAAGGTGCGAGAATTACGGCATGCTCTCTGAGATATAGTGTGAACGCTTCGCTAGACCACCTTCCCATCGTTTTCACGACTTCGAAAGGCACTCCGCGCAGAAGGTATTCTAGCGTTCCCCCAATCCTAAGTCCGTGTCCTTTTAGTTCTGGTAGGTTTGCTGCCGCTGTTGCTGATGCTATCCTTTTCAATAGTTCTTTCTTCGATAAAGGACGCAGTCCTTTGGCGTGTTTCCACGCGAACAGGTGCGCATCACCGTTTGCTGGATTGATTCTCAAGTGATTTTCCAATGCCGCGCTCGGGTCCGACGGCCCTTCCTGCATTGCCCAATATGCTTCCTCTCCTTCGTTTGGAGAACACTTAGTGCTTGGTAGGTGGAATTTTGTAACTGGCAGACCGTTGCGGTCTGCTGCTTTGGATACGCCGGATCTCGTTATGTGTTTCTTCGGATCAAATTCTTTGATTGCGTTTACCGTGAACTCCCCTAACCTTGCTATTGCATAGAAGGTCGTCGTCAAGCACACGAAAATGGCCGCATCTAGCGGTGAATTGAGGTCTAGGTGGTCGCGAATGATGGATAAGTAAGCGGGCGTGAATGGTAGCCGTTTGGGACGCTTGGACGACTCAGGTGCTGCAGCCGCAGCTCCATCTAGCACCGCTTTCAACTCATTGGGTGGGATCAACCAATTCCTTCCATGAAGTAAGTGCCAGGCTTTTAGACCCGCCGCGTAGTTAGCTAACGATGATCCGGAGTAGGATCCTGCACAACTGCAGAGAAAATCGAGAAGGAGACTGCGTGCAACCGGACATCTGTGCTCTTCCGCGATGCTGTTTGTGTCGCAGAACACATGGAACACCAGCAAACCCGCCCCATATGTTTCTTTTGTCGATTGCGCCCAGGACGACCCGATGACGTCAAGGATTCGTTCTAACTGCGCCTCCGAAATTTCGTGTTTAGGAGACTGTGAGGTTACCGCTATCTCTTGTCTCGTACTATCTCCCGCTGGTAACCACAGTCTTAATCGGTCTCGCGCAAGACAATGGGGGCGCAGGGTGGAAGGTTTGGGTGTCAAATTAAGTCTATAGTTCTGGGGAATGGGGGAGGGGGAAGTATCTGTTACATTTGGTAGCGGTGCTCCGAATCGTGAGTTCTTATGTTTCATCGTCGTTGAGCGCACTGCTGATGAAACTTTCTTCTTCGGAACGGCTTTCTCTTGCTCGCTCAGCTGCTTGCTGTCTAAGCAGCTCGCGGTTGATAACTTTAGCTGCTGGAGCGGAGTAATGGCCATCGCGCAGGAGGCGGAGTTCTGCGGCAGACAGTGGTTCTGTAGCGTCAATGAGGAAGGTACTAAGCTCTGTTGGAAGGCTGATTGGGGGAAGAAGAAGGCTTGCTGGTCCGTATATTCCTCTGGATGGTTCATCTGCTGGGTGGAAGCGCTTGGGACGTATGTAGTGACGACGTCGCAAGGGTAGGGTAGAGTGTGAATAAACTCGTTGATTCTACGAAAGACTTCGTTGACTTCTCGGTTTCTGTGTCTCTGTTTCCACCATCCTTCAATGACACCTGTGTTGTCTCCATGGACGACGACGTGCCTGCCAATGCCAGGCAGAGAGGTGAGAGTGTATACAAGGAGTTCGAAAGCCACTGCCTCCGCCCATCCGATGTCTCGTTGACCATTGTGTGTTTTCCACCCTGGGATTAACCTCCAGGCCCTCCAGTAGTTGCCTATTACAATGCCTATTCCAATTCCTGAGCTTGCATCTGAGAATGCGAGAGGATTTTCGAGTTTGATAGATGGGTAAATTGCTCGTTTTACGCCACCGGACTGAAGTAGTCTAGCCCACCATTCTAGATCCTTCGCTACCCTGCTTCCTGCTCAATGCGGAAGGAAAGGCTTAGCGCCGCAGTGGGAAAGCATCTCCTCGAGGCTTGTTAGGTATGCTCTGCCTCGTGGTACTGCTTGGCACGCATGTAGTAACTTGCCATATAGCTCTCGTACGTCCTGTAAAACGTGCGCTGGTCTCTTTCTCCATTCGTCGATTGCTGCCAGATATTTGTTGACTTTTGCGGGACTCAGTGAGACTATCCTTCGTCCGATATCCCAAAGGAATCCTATATAGATTGTTGTCGACGAGAACGGTTGGTCTTTCAACAATTCCCATATAATGCCTAGGATACTTGACAATTCATCGATATCTTGCAAGCAAAATGCAAAAAGCTCGTCGTGTTTCGATCTCGGTGAGTGAAATGAAAGGTCTTGCAGAGGCTTTGAACAGTCCTCACTCAATTCCTCCAGTTTTCCTGTCTCCCAACACGTGTCGCCGAACCACAGCCTTGCGCCAGATTGTCTCATCCCTTCTTTCGCGAAGACTTGATTCCACTTCTTCCTCTTATCGTTGTACGGCTGTAAGTACTCTCTTCTGATTCTGAAAAAGATATGATCATCTACCCATTTGTCTAATGGGCCGATGCCGTTGCTCCTAAATATTTCGGCGCCCGCATCTGCTACGTACCCGTATACTCCTGCCGAAGGGGTGGCTCCGAACGCAGTGCATGTGTCGATGCAGAAGTGGGAGTCTGATACTCTTACTATTCCTGCTGGCCATTGCGAGGGGCGCAGTGGGATTGTCCGGTAAGCTTCTGCCACGTCTCGTGTGGCTGCCTCTGAACCTGGGGGAAGGTTTGCGATTATTAGATATATATTCGAAAATTTGCCCCATGTCGTCGGAAAGTTGCTGGCATTAATGTAGGAGTTTAGCGAGGGATTAGGATGCGAAACGTTTGGGGATGCTGGAAAGGAAAAGTTTTGTACTATCCTGAATTTGCCTGGCTTGCCCGGCTTAGGGATTATGGACAGCGGCGACGATTGAAACGGTCCTATGAGACTTTCCAATGATTCAGCTCGAAAGGGTCCAATATACCTTCCTTTGTCCAATTCTTTTTGGATGATACTTTCAAACTCGTTCTGGTACTCGGTAATCGAACTTTTATTTGGCGGAACCTGCATAAATCTGACAGGAGGAAAATCTATCTCAAAACCTAACCGGAGGCCGTTTGGTATCTTGGCGAAACGCCCAAGAAGTCCTGCTCTTCGAAGTTCCTGTTCCCATGCGTCAGCCTTGTATGGCGTCAGCGGCATCTGCTTTCTGCGCTCTAGGGCATCTTTGGGCTCCGTGCGTAGCGGCTCCGCAGCCTGAACAGGCGTGGCGCGCATCGTGTTTTGGCGTTGTGCATCCTTCCTCCCTCTGCCAAGCAGTACAGAGTTGTTTCCCGTCTTTAGCCCAAAGGCCTTTGCGGATGCGCTCTGCGCAGGTCTCGAACTTCTTGTCCCATGTTTGCTTGGCCGTACACTCAATGGTGCGGTGCGGGTGTCTTCCCAGACAGACTGCACAGCAAGGTAACGAGCCTGCATTGACAATGGGACGGACTGTTCGTACCTTCTTGTTGCTGGATGAGTAGTCCTCTGCAGGAGTATACGGACGCTTCTGCGAAGCTGCAAGGTACTGCGGTTGAGCTGTTATGAAAGCTGCTGCTGCTTGCTGCAGTGCCAAGTAGGGGGGACGGTGTAGTTCCAGTTTTGATTCGATTGAATGGGCGCATGGTGGCCGTGAGGAACAAGGCATATGATAGCCAAGGTAAAGGAGGCATATGATAGCCAGGGGTGTAAAGGAGGCACGCGATGGCCGGGGTGAAAGCACGTGATGGCCAGGGGGTAAAGGCACGCGATGGCCAGGGGGTAGAGGCACGCGATGGCCAGGGGGTAAAGGCACATGATGGCCAAGGTGTACGAGAAACGGCACGCGATGGCCAGGGAGAGTACAGTTTCATACAAGCCCATTTTTGTCGGCACGTGATTGGCCGACAAGAAAGACACATTGCACGATGACAACGAGTTGTAATTGTTAGTATACGAGAAAGTTTTTTTTTTTAAGAGACTTTTCGTTAGGAATGGCTGCGGATTCGCGATGACATTTACTGACCTGAATAGCGATAGCCGTCTCCTTTTCTCTCTTCTCGTTGAACAGCTCTTCTCTTGCTTCGAAAATTAAATCTTGATTGAGGTCTTCAAGACTCCATCCTTGCGCCGTTCCGATAGTCTGATGCCAACGTCATCGTTGCTGGGATTGATACAGTAGTAGCGCTCGTTGTTTGAGCTGATCTGGTGAATGGCGCCAACGATGTGTCTGTAGAGCAGACCAAAATTGTATATGCATGTCCGTCCGATCATCAGGCCAGTCGTACAATTTCATCATTGTGATCATTCGAGGGGCAGCTTCATTGAATTCTTCCCAAGACAGGTTCTCATCTTTCACAACCGGAGCTGCTTTCGGGTCCTTTACTGCCGCTGCTGGGATCCAAGAGTGTAGACCGTCTGCTGCTGGTAGCATTACCATAGCTTCCGGTTCCGCAATTAAGTTGGACAGTTTCGCATCTTCGAGACCACGGTTGGTGAAATAATGGAGCTCGCAGTAGTCTCCGGATTTCATCTTCCTTATAGCGTATTGCGCTGGGAGAATAGTGGGGTCGGAAGGTACTTTTCCGCGCACTATGGGTGCGTACTTAGTTTTGTTCTTCTTCCGTTCCTCTAGACGTGCAGTTTCCTCTTCCTCCTTGCGTTGTTGCTGACGTTCTTCCTCTTCGTCCTCTTCTCTTTGCCTGGCCTCTATCATGCGCCGTTGTCTAAGTGCCCAACGGTCTTTCTCAGCGTTGTTAGCTAAGGTCCATAATGCTGCTAGGGTCCGAGCTGCATTTTCATTCGAGAGGCCTTCTTCTACTAATTGACGCCGCGAAGCTTCGTGTTCTTGTGATGCGAAGTCTGGCCTTACTGCCAAGTTAGGATCTTCCATTAGTTAGTACGGTACTTCGTGGGTCTTGTATGCAAAAGATGAAGCTAGAGTAGTGAGCTTCTGACGAAAAGTGGCTCAGCTGCGAGGTGGGCAGAACCAAGAGGTGGGCAGAACCAAGAGGTGCTGCGCCACCTCGCTTATTCCGCGCTTAGACTAAATTCTAGGCCTGCCTCGTGCCTCGGCCGGCCTAGCCCGCCAACAGAGTATGTGATTAGTAATACGGTACATGGACCAGTTAGTCAGCAGTGAGTAACAAAACCACCCTCTGCTGGTGGGTCATGGTCACCTGACGCAGCTGGCCAGTCGTCGTTTTCGCGGTTGCAGTCGTGTGACGGGTCCTGTACTCCCACTAGGTATGATATAGGCTCAGTAGTATCAGTCCTAAACAGATCGAGAAGGTCGGCGCGGTTGGGGCAGCGATAGCCCCCTGAATCCTGATGACAACTTTCGCAGGTTTGAAACCGCTGCCATTGATCCCCTGCCACCTAGCGTTCCTCTTGCTAAGCTAACAGATCCTTACTCTGGCAGACGCGTGACTGCAGCGGGTGCTACGAACGTGGTCTGCCTCGCGACGCTCTGCTGGAAGTTCTGGCTTGGGCTTTGCTTATCCAAGACCAGTCGCTAAGTTGAAACTACAAGCAAGACTAGGCACGATCGAAATTAAAACATCCACATTGCTCGAACAGTATGAACATTTGTCCAAAAATAGCTGCACTGATTGGCTCCGAGCTAGGTGTTGCACCATCAACCATGACATGGTGATACCAAAGCGAAAACAGAAACATGACACACTATCCCGATGTGCTCGGGCTACCGGCGGCTCAATTTTCAATCGACTTCGAGGCGCCAGGCGTGCACTGGGTGAGTCATGTGGTTGAGTCCTGGTTGTACAGCGACCTGCCCATACTACTCACGATATTATAGGCGCAATACAAGTGAGGGCAGCAATCGGGATTTAATTTGCAAGGTTCGTACAGGTTCGAACATGCACTGATAGGCATAGATGCTGTCAAAGCAACAGCAACGGCGAGGAGGGAGAAACGCATGTTCTGTACAAGGTGATATGTTTCTGAGGGGTTCTCGAATGATATCGTCGAGTATGGGGGGGGGGGGGGGGCACTGTAGGACAACGACCAGCTTTTATATCCTGCATATACGATTCTGCATCGTTTTGGCAGAATTGTTATTGCTGTCAGATGGCATAAATTTCGGCAGAACCTGCAGGAGCGTGTTCAATCGATTACAACCATCGAATCATAACCTGCCTGCAGGCATCGACAATTCTCTTCTTTGTAACCACAGAACGCTCGCTCGAATCACCGGTCTCTCACCCCAATCTCTGACTTATGGCTTCATCATTTGAACCCAGAAGTGTGCTATAGGTGAGGATAAGGCTATGCATTTTCAATGTGAGCTCGGGACCAGCCTGTAGTGCTACATGGTTACCGTCGACTATTAATCACAGAAACTTTCGTTCGCGCGCTGCATATAGTGCCATGCCCCACTTGGCGATGCAGACGGTCATAAACCTCCTGCCACACACCATCTCAGAGACTCGGAAAAGCCTGGCATGGCCACTTGGAAGGATGGATTCTTCCATAGTGCATGAACACATCTTCTGAATGTATTAGAAGCTGACGAGCGATGCCTTCCTGTAAGCAAAGGTACGAGAGCCTTGAGTTGAAATAATTTCAGATGTTTGGTACCTTTCGAGACAAAATCAAGGCGCGCGAAAGTTTCGAGTACTTGCTGCATTGTTGAAAGCGTGTTTGTAAAGTACGTTGGAAGGTTGTAGAAAGCATTAAAAGCAAATATGGACACGGCCAATACAGAATTGATGTTCAAACTCATGATTTGAGTTGGCCGTAACATATAGATGCAGCAAAACGGCTATAGGTGGCGACGAACATGAGCATCAACTTCTCAACTTTGTCGCTGCGCTGGCAGGGTCACTGCAGGTTCAAATGATGAAGCGATGAGTGAGAGATTGAGATGTGAACCGGTGATTCGAGCGAGCGGTCTGTGATGACAAAGAAGAGAATTGTCGATGCTTGCAGGCAGGTTATGATACAATGGTCGTAATCAATCGAATACGTTGCAGGTTCTGCCGAAATTTGTGCTATCTGACAGCAATAACAATTCTGCCAAAACGATCAGAATCGTGCCCATTAATTTATGCGTGATATAATAGCTGGCCGTTGTCCTATAGTATTCCTCCATCCCCCAGCGATATCCCCCTCAGAATATGCCATATCACATCGTACAAAAAATGCGCTTCTCCCTCCTGGCTGTTGTTGTTGCTTTGACAGCATCTATGGTTGTCAGTGCATGTTCGACCCTGTATCAACCTTGCACAACAGAATACGATTGCTGCCCTGGCTTTTGGTGTAGCAGTGGTTTCCTGAGTGTGAGCAGGTTGCTGTACAACCAGGACTCAATCACATAACTCACCTGCGTGCCGTAGGAGAGCAGCAGTGAGTTATGTATTATGTTTCTACTTTCGCTTTGGCATCATGGTTAACGGTGCAATATAGGCCTAGTTCAGAGCCAATCAGTACAGTTGTTTTTAAACAAATATTGTGATAGGGTGGTCTGGCGCAGGTCCCCGGGAACGCCAAGGGTCCTGGTGCAGTGGCACAAGTCCTGGATCGTAGTCGGTAGTCCTGCGCATGTAGTAGTCGGCCCTCGATAGATAGAGCCGCAGCTTCCCCCCAGTGAGGTTTGGCCTTGAATTTCACTTGCAGTCTGTGCCCACTCCAATCTTCATACTACTCGAGCAATCATGTTGATATTTAAACTTATCTGAAAATGATCCACCGTGCCTAGTCTTGCTCGTCATCCGCTAAGCTTGAGTTTGAGAGGCTGTCGAAACAAGCGAGCATTGCTGCAGATAGTTAACGGCAGTACAAAGATGGAACGCACTGCCCAGGTTGAATCTGTTCTAACGTTGGACTCCAAGGGTAGCTCATGGATCTCTCTCTTGACGGAGCCAACGAGACGCCGATCGTGATTCGTAACAGGCATGTTGTTTTCTGGTATGCAGCAAAAGCCCCAAGGTCATGAAATTAAGTCGTGACCCTTGGTGAGAAAAAAAAAGCCGTGAATGATTAAAAACAACATCACTGACTGCCGCAGAAGACGCGGACAATCGCGTATCACGTGATTGACTTTCACTTGTCACATGACTCTAGTTTCTGAAAGTCGACATGGACACGCTAAGCTTTCTCTATCTTCTACTTCTTCGTAAGCTCTAGATGCTGCCTGTAACTGTGGAGGAGAGCAAGGCCCAGCGTCTTCAGAGACAGCAGGCACGATTTAGGGATCGTGGAGGGTCAGCACGCAGTACCTACTACCTACATGTATTAAACTCATCCCAATCGCCCTCTGCAGTGCATTTGTTCCCTCGGAAAAGAATGTCCTCAAAGATATCCTGTTGGCCCGCACCGTTTCTGGAGAGTCCCCTTCAAAAGTGGCCACGAAGTCACCCTATCGCCACCGAAGCCGTAGCACCTCTCCATCAAAGGCCAAACGCAACAAGACGGCCAGTAAAGCCCGAGGGAGTCCTATCAATGACAAGGTTTCACGCTCAAAAGCCAACACGGAGGCACCAGCGGGTTTGGTCAGTAGAAACGCTGCGGCAGGTGCGTATCGCTACTTCACGCGCAACGTCATCGATCGATCATCGTGCAGGTCCCTCTACTGAGTCCGGAGGCAAAATCTCAAAGGTGAAGACAAGGAAGAAAGCAGGTCCTACTACTCGCAAGGTTAAAGACAAGGTCAAAGCTACTGACGGTCAGCTTCTCTTCCATTCTGTTCAGATTATTTCCCATACTACTTGCCAGGCAACGATGTCCCAGAAGCAGAAACAACCAAAGTCAAACCTGCACCCAACCGCCGAGGACGGCCGCCGAAAACCAAATCTCAAGCTAATGATCATGGCACGTTCATCATCATCATCTTTTTGCATATGTAGACGATCATTCACCCAGATATCTACGCTGATCCTGAATCATCAAACCACAAGATGCGGATGTCAAAGGAAAAGCCACCCGGCATACCTAAAGTCAAAACCAAGACAGAGGCGCCTCGATCAGACGACGAAGGCACCCTGGTAGAAGCTCCTCGACCAAAGACACACTCTAAACGCAAGCCTGTCATTGTCACAATCGAACCTGACGATGAGGATGCGCCAGTGCCTGACAACAAACCTGCAGCCGCTGAGCCTTGGGCGGTTCCGAAGTCTGCTCACAAACGGCCTTCTGCCAAAGATGCTCCACTTAATCGGGCACAAGCCAAACAACGCACAGGAATTCGCAAGGAGCACTTGGATGAAGGTGACATCTTTATACATGTATGAAACGCTGCAAACATCATCTTAACACCTTCATTTAACAGCAGAGCCGACATATGCTTCTCGGGTACCGAAATCTTCAACGCGGACGGAGGTCGATGAGGAGTCTCCAAATTTGGTGAAAACCAAAATTTATGGATCTCTGACCGTTGATATCCCCATGAAGAGATCAACCACTAACCCCAAGCGCAGTGCACCTGATGACGATGTTAGCGGAGATGTGAAACAGCCTCTCAAGAAGCCTAAAGTGTCCAAATCCCAAAGCACTAAATCTTTGCTTTTATCTAACTCCGTTGCGGTATCGAAACCTGATCCCGAAGACACTGCTGTCAAGAAACCTCATTCGGTTATGAAACAAGACACGAAGAAGAAGAAGGCGCACCCACAGGAATCGGATGACGAAGATCACATGCCTAAGAAACCTGTTTCAAAGAAGGCAAGATTTGAAGAACCGAAGCCAGGGTACGTCCTATTGCAAAAACTGGCTGAGCGCTCCCATAATCTGCAACTTCAGCGTGCATATTTCCTCCGAGAAACACAAAGAGAACGCCCTTCCATTGAGAAAGCCGAGGTCGGGGAAGGTCGGTTTTATTTATATAACTAGTGTCCTAATCTTTTCTCACAAGCCGATTTATAGCCCAATTCCAAGTCAAAATCCAGAGGTCCACCGAAGGATGTCCTAGACCGCATCAAGGCAAGCGCTACGTTGCATCGAATCGACGATAGCGAGCCGGACCCGCTTGACTGCCTGTCATGACCATGTTGAATATTGTTCGCTCGCGAAGAAATTTGCGCCATGTATCAATCATATACGTACACTTACTAACACACTAGCCAACCGATAGTATCTTCAGCAATGTTGTCAATAATATTTGCTTTGTCACATCTATCACCGTTGATACCCCGGACAATCACTGCTCGGTATACCGTCTTGCAAAATGTGTAGGCGCCGGGATGCAGGTCACACTTTAAAACCGGGAGGTGGTCTGAAACAGTTGGATGTTTTCTGATGGGTCTGAAAATTTCAGGCAGCAAAATGGCTACAACTGGCAGGTGCATTATCCACCCATCGTTGACGTGTAAATCTACGCAATCGATGCTTCGAAAGGAGAAGGTGGTACCGAAGATCATTCTCATCTGTGTTCTATACAGTGCCAGATGCAGCGGGAAGAACAGCGTCCTCGTCACGACCTATTGTGGTATATCGTATGAGTGAGATCGAATGAAAGGAAACAGTGTGAAATTCACCCTCATAGAACTTCTGCAGGAATGTTCGGTGCGGCCGTTGGTTATTTTGGAGTATAATCCCATATATATGGTCCGGTTGCTTCCAACAGTTCAACGTCTCCTGCAATTCCTGCTGGCCCTTGAGCAGTAACACCTCGATGGCGCGCTGGTCTGTTACATGGCGGTTCTGCTCAAACTTCTGGCGAATTGATTGGCGCAGGTAGGTTGGAGTGACGTTCAATGCATAGATTGTACAAATCTCAGGAGCCTTGAAGATCGTTCGGTTAATGTCGGGTAGGAAGCTAGCTCAGTCGGTGACGAACGTACAGCACGGACCCATGCCCTGTATAGGTCAATAACTCGAAGGCGCGCTTCTGCGCGGCTACTTGAGATGCGCGTCATCTGCGCGAGTCGGGAGGGTATTGTGGTCATGGTCGGCCTGAAGTGGTAACTGGCAGCGTCGTTGTTGCAAAGCGGAGTGGAGTGGAGCTGCTGACATAAGCTTTTCCTAAGTTCATTTGGCGAGTATTGTTATCTATCTTATCCGCCTGAAAGCGATTCTTCTGATCTCTTGACTCCTCACAACATCACACACAAGAGAATAAGATGGTCAGAGGCTCAGGTAACAGTCAATTCTGACTGGATTAGAGATTAGTTTCTTGAATCCTTATCAAACAGGCAAATTTAAGACAAAGCGTGGCGGAGGGAGGAATTTCAGGTGCAATTCGCCCACCGTTGTCATCCCATCGTCAACGCTGAATAGCGTTGTTTAACTTAGCAAACACCTCGAAATAGACGAGAACGGAACTGCTGTATCGCTTGATAAACGATGGTGAGTTTTTCATGGGAGATAATTATGGAATTCGGTTCAATAGTTTGTCCTGATCAGGGCTCCTCGTGATAAAGAGGGTGAGACTGACTCAGACGAAGAGAACGAAGAAGAGGAAGAGGAGGAGGAGGAGGAAGAAGAGGAAGAAGAAGAAGGGGCCGGCGGCAGTGTCGCACAGCCTGAGCTAAGTCGTGCCGAGCGAAAGGCGCTCAAGAAGAAACAAGCGGACCAGAAACAACAAGCGGAGGGAGAGAGTGACACAGATGCAGATCTAATAAATCCCAACCATGTCGAGAAGAAGATGAATATATCTGATCTTGGCGCACCTCGAGAGCTAACTCGTAGAGAAAGGTAAGTATCCATGTCTCGGAAATAATGTCACTGACTGTCTATTTCTCAGGGAGGCGAAGGAGAAACAAGAAGCCAAGGATCGCTACTGGAAGGTCAGTTTGAGCAACATATCATGTCTTCATTCAGCTCACTCCTTCGACTGTAGCTACATGTTGCTGGAAAGACCGACGAAGCAAAGTCAGATCTCGCTCGCCTTAGAAAGATCAAAGAGGAACGGGAGGCTGCTCAAGCCAAGAGGAAGGCTGAAGCCGAAGGTTCGCTGCGATGTCTATCCAAGTCATTCACAATGATACTCACTATCCCGCAGCAAAGGCCGCAGAGATAGAAGCCAAGCGCAAGGCAGCCGAGAAGAAGCGTACTTGATTTGCTCACGCTCCAATCGTGATAAGACACTGATAATTAGTCTTGTGTGGCATTCTGTAACTCTGTAATCATCCTGTGAATGCGCTAAGTAACCAGAGGGAATTTGCACAGTGCACGCTGTGGAAGTTATCTGGGCGACACTCATCCAGCCACTAATGCCAAAGAAGCGCGGAAAATGTGGAGCACGCAGAATAGTGAAGTGACCAAAGGGACTGGGGGCAGGCATTGAGTGCATTTTAGGGCGCCCTGACGCTTTGGGCTTTCCTCCATGGCTGGTAAGTGAGTCGGTCTTAAGATCTGACAAGTTAGCTGTAGAGCTCGACGATATTGATGTTCTGGGCAATCGTTGGCCAAAGAAACTCGCACCAGTACTAGATACGCACCTTGAGCCCAAACCGGTTGGATGATCCATCAATACGGGCTACTAAATACCTGCCCTCCTTGTGTTTGGAGTACAGACGCGTGTATTTATATTTAGGGTATATTGTGGTCGTAGGACTTGGATAAGGTACATCAGTGGTGGGCAGCGCTCTGTTACAAGATTATGGTCAACGTTGGAGCTCCGCATGGGATCCCAGAACTTATTATGCATTTGTTGAGCGCTAGCCTGAGAATATCCGTACACTGTATCAAAACCAGGCAAGCGCGTGGTGGTTAGTGCCCTTCTCGATGAAACGCCATGACCAACTCGAAGCCTTAATGTAGCGTGGGAGACATGGGCCTTATTACGGCGAGCCACGCCCTTAACATAAATGCGAAAGATCGCGCAGCAGCTGAACTCAGCTAGATCTCGAGCAGGCCCCCAGAATGGCGGCCGGCTTGACATTGGGTAAAGGGTGCCTGGGTGGAACCCGCGCCGTGATGGAGTGTGCGTTGGTACTACGGGTTACGGGTTGGCTTAGGTGTAGCACCCGGGCGGCTGCGGGCCTGGCCATGGGGCCCTTCATACCTTACTAGTATACTTCCCAATATTTCCTCCTGGTGTAAGTGGTGGTACCCAGTGATAGGGGTTCTTTGAACCCGATCACCTTTTGAGTCCTTCTCCACCTTTGTCCGATCTAACAAATGGTATGACACAGACCCAACGAAACTAGGAATATGGCAACCCCTACACAACCTCCTCCTAGCATCCACTACATCAGTAAAACCTCATAATCATTTTCCGTTATTTTTCACTCGGAACTCTCATTTTTCCTGCTTTGATCGGATTTGAGGAGCCGTTCACACAACATGAAGACACAACAGAAAAAATTGAAAAAAAAGGCCACTCGCCCTCTTAATTCTACTTTGACACTCTTGAAAAGTCACTTATCAGGCATTGACAGTGGTGATAATAGAGCAAAGGGCATCACATTGTCCAATGGTAAAGTACGAAAAAGTGGTGTAAATAGAGCAAACGATGCATGCAAATGGCGACAAAGCGGTAAAAACAGTAGGAAAGGGTGAAATGAGAAATGCATGTAAACGAAGAAAAGGGGAATTAAAGGCGAGTAATGAAGACAGATGGCGGAACAGGCAAAATGTGATAGTACGAGGAGATGGATACAGCACAGAGTTACGAGTCAACATTAAAAAATGCGCAGCAGGCAGTGTGAAACTGCAACTTGAATCTATATGGAATGATGTTAGTTCATTGACAAAAAAATAAAATAAAGCAATGGTTCATTACCACAACATGCAGTGCTGGTCAATGTTCTCCTCCTCATCCTCATCATTGAGACTAATGTACTTCCGAAGGGCAGCGTTGCCTGATTTCTTGAGCAGTTTCCAGGCCATCGATGTTGTCTCCCTCAGAAAGCTTTCTCCCTTTTTCTTGACGCCAATCACGTAGGAGGTTGTCACTGACCCCCAGTTATTGATAGAGAATGCATGCTCGGTAGTACTGTGATTGCCGGTGGCCTTATTGAAGGTCCTCGGCGTCCGGAGCTTGCGCTTCCTTTGTGCAGGACGCATATCGAGAGCATCTGAATCAATGTCGATGGCACCGTCACTGAGGCACTTGATGGCGCACTCAAGCTGTCAACAAAAGTACAGCTATCAGTCATATTTCTCATATGTCTACAGTACTTACTGAAGCTGCACAAATGCTGAGAACGCTAGCCACGCCAATGGAAGCCAATACATCTGTTTTGAGTGCAGTGACTTCAGCATGCCCAATGATGCTATGAAGGTGAGCAGTAGTGAAGAGTTGTAACATGAATGGGGACCGGAACACTTGCATTGTGTCGATGTTGTCCATGTCCTCAAAAAGAAAAGCGAAATCTTCCATAAGCGCTTGGCCAAGCTCTTTCGTGTCAGTGTCCTTGTTCCGGGCATAGAAATCGATCATTATAGCAAGTCCTGTTGAACCGAAATTGCTGCGCCACTCTGCTAGACACTGCGTGGCCTGATTCAAATTGTGATCAGTCAGTTAGTAATAGTGACACAAGAAAAAACATGGCACCTACGACACCAAAGACAGAACCTTGAGTGTTTACCTTGTACTGGAGATCCGAATCATCATACACAACATCCATGATGCATTGGAGCGCGTCGACGAGAGAAGTATCTGATATCTACCAGAGGTCATTTTGACTGCCGGCCCACAAATAAACAGTTGGGAGGAAGTGCTTAGGCCATTGTTGATCCTGGCATTGAGGGGGAAGATCACAGTTTCAATAAGCTGAACAGGACTTGTACCGCTTCTCGATCCAGTAGCCAGGCGGCGCTGTAAGTGTTGATTTTGGTATAATATCATCGGCCCCATCTTCGGTTTTGACCTTCTTTGCAGGTGGCTGCATTGTAGTGGATGACTTGGAGACGCCAACAGAAGTCTGTCGCAAGAATATAAGTAGTAGCCATTGTTAATAAATAAAAAAGGAACTTACGGAAGACGTCAAACGTACAGCCTTCTTCGCTGTCTTGGTTGTTTCGACGAAGCCTGTAGGCTTCATCATACTATGATCCATGTTGAGAACCTCAATATTGTTATCCTCGTCTGAGGAATCCTTGAAGACTGGGACACGGCGTTTGGTGTCCACAGCGTTGTGCGTCTTGTTCTTTGAGCGACGGAATATGAAACTGCTCAGGCTGTCACCGCTATCCTGAGACTTATCGGCCATATCCTCCTCGACATCCATTGTTGCATCGTTGTCCACATCAGTTGGTGCATCATTGTCCGCATCGGTTGACGCATCATCCAAATCCTTCGTGTCATCCTTCAAGCCCTCCATTGGAAGTGACCCGTCCGCGGTCAGCTCAGTAGGCACATCTATAATCTGTAGTGTTTACTTACTGCATTAGAATTGAATGATATATTAAACTGCCACACACCTTAAGCGCGGATGGCTTTGGAAGGATGTCCAAGCGATCCTCTGAATCAAAAAGCTCATTGCCAAAGCCACCAACGAGAGCTTGAGAAGAATTAGCGACAACCTGAGGTGGGATTTTATGCTGGCCGGAGCTGGTGGTCACAATTGTTGTGGACGTAGGGTGGGAGCCAGATAAGTAGACGGTAGTTGGTGGCCCGTGCACTAAAGACAGTCCCATGACTGCCGTATGAGGCGGCTTGGGAGCGCTTGATACGATGTCAGACTGGTCTGGTGAAACATCTTTAACTCAACCCTGGATGCGCCTCCCTAATGAAAACTTGGACTTGGTCCTGAAATTTGAGGTCAAATTAAGGAAAAGAAGCATTGATTCGGTAAGCATCAACATCATGGTTGGAAAAGAAGTCTGGATGCACATCAACTTTCCTTTCTTGTCTTCAACACGTGCCCCTGACTGAGCTGCAAGAGCCGTGTCCTTCTCAGTCTTCTTCTTTGTCTTGATTCCATTGTCCTTCTGATTTTCTCGAGACCGAGCCTCAACATCCTCGCCTGGGTCAGCATCACGCAGCATTTGCGACATGCGCTCACTGGCCATGGTATCAGTTCCTACTCCCAGGAGTGCCTTATCTGCTTGAGCAGCAGGCTCTGACTTTTTCTTGACAGGGCGAGCGCGGGGCCTTACTGCCTTCGGCTTCTTCATCATGCTTTGCACCTCCGCCTTCTTCATCTCTTCCTGCATGGCAGACAGCCGCTGCAAACCCTCAACCGCGGCCAGTTCTTGAGCTTCACGGGTTTCCTGGGGGAGTTTGGTGTTCTTCTTCTTGGCTTGAGAACATCGCTGACTTTGTCCTTCCAGGTCGGGTAAGCCTGGGTGTTTATTTGCATTTTGTGGGCAGGTGCGACGCGGTTCATTGATATCAGTCATAACTGACAAGTAGCTAATTTCAACAGGTACTGCAGCACACAGGAGGGTGGAGAAGGGTGTAAGGAATCGGGTGGTTGGAGTTGAACTTTGAAGCGCTCGGTGCAAATTTATAAGTTCTCATACTAACTTTAAATCACTTAACCAAACAAACGCCCATTCCAGCAGTGTCAGACCATCTTTGCCTCATTACAACTGAGTGCGCACCTGAAAATCGTTCGTTATTCTAAGTGAGTTTTTTTGTCACTCATTTTCTCTTATATTCACCTGATACTACAGACCAAACGTCAACGAGAAGGCACGTGGATCCCTGGAGCCAGTCTTAGCGGCCCTACAGACAAGAAGGTACGTGAATCCTCAGAGATAGTACTGGCTATCCTTCTAACCAGACAGGCACACAGATCCCCAGAGATAGTATTGGCCATCCTGCCGACAAACAGTTGCGCCAGAGATAGTATTGGCCATCCTACCAATAAGACAGGTGCACAGTCCCCAGAGATGGTACTGGACATCCTACTAACCAGACAGGTGCACAGATCTCCAATAGTATTGGCCATCCTACGTGCGGATCCCTACGACCAGACAATCAATCGGTTCGTCAACTGGAAGGTGTGTGGATCCCTTCGTCAGGCGCATCCGTGGGTCAACGACCAGACGATTAATCGCTTCGTCAACAGAAATTGCAACGACCAGACAAACAATCGCTTTGTCAACTGAAAATTGGCCATCCTGCCAACCAGACAGGTGCGCAGTCCCCAGAGATAGTATTGGCCATCCTATTAACAACAGTCAACGACCAGATGATTAATCAGTTTGTCAACTGAAATTGGCCATCCTACCAACAAGAAGGCGTGTAAATTATTATTTCAATGAAGTACATAGACTTATTTGAACCTTAGTTACTGCAATGCCTGATAATATTCCTCGTACTCAAGTCCATCGACGAGACTTCAGCGCACTTCAGCTTCCGTGCAGAAGTTGCGCACAATGGTTCAAAACTGTTGCTGGCCGAACGAAACATTGTCTTGCTGCACACCCTGTTCCACCAGTAGTGCCTCAGGCCAGTCGCTCCCCAGAACTCAATTTTGAAATGGATGTTGATGAAGGATGCACTGACTATGATATTGACATGGGCGATCCCCCACGCCAACCGTCCCCTCAGCCAAACATCCACACAGAGTTTTTTGGGCCTGGCAATCGTCTGTATAGGAACTACCACATGGGTCTCGATGGTACGTTCATTTGCTGGCCGGTTTTATCTTATTTTTCACACGATGGTAGGCAAACCATGTGATGCAGATGGTATATATCTCCCTCCTGGCGCTCCTCCTCCTCCTCCTGAGAATGTAGCCTCGGACGACTGGACACCCTTTCATAGCCGTGCGGAATTTGAAACGGCGGAGTTTCTGTACACGCAAAATCAGATGTCGGCTGGTCAGATCAACCGACTGTTGGACTTATGGGCATCTACCCTCGCAAAGCACAATGACAGGCCACCATTTGCAGATCACCACGATCTTTACGCGGTCATTGATAGTTCACTCTTTGGAGACGTAAAATGGCAATGTTTCATGGTGGCCTATGACGGTGAGAGACCCGAAAATCCCAAGCCCTGGATGGATGATAAGTACAATGTATGGTTCCGTGACCCACGTGAGGTGACACGCAACATGCTTGCCAACTCAGCATACGCTAATGAATTTGACTACCGCCCATATCGAGAATACTCTACGGAGAACAATCAGCGTCAGTGGAAGGATTTCATGTCAGGCGACTGGGCCTGGGACCAGGCAGTAAGTACTTGACTTTCCTTCGATAATGGCTGCTAAATCTGTGTCTAGGACGAAATTGCTAAAGATCCAAACATGCTCGGCTCAACGTTCGTCCCTATCATCCTCAGTAGCGACAAAACAACTGTTTCAGTCGGTACGGGGAATAATGAATATTACCCGCTTTATGCGTCAATCGGGAATATTTGCAACAACGTTCGACGAGCCCATCGTGATGGACTAGCAATTATTGGGTTTCTCGCTATGCCAAAAAGTACGTCGCAGTGTGAACTCTTCTAGTGTATGCTAATTTATGGTCACAACACATTCATCCACTCTGCACTCACGCCTGCATGCACAGCTACAAAAGAACATGCGGATGAGCCAACCTTCCGAAATTTTTGTCGACAATTATTTCACTCGTCACTCTCGAAGATTCTCAGTTCGCTTAAGCCGGGCATGACGACACCTGAAGTCGCACGTTTTGGAGATGGTCACTACCGGCGAGTTGTATATGGGCTAGGACCTTACATCGCAGACTACGAGGAGCAAGTACTATTGACATGTATTGTTCGCAGTTGGTGTCCTAAGTACGTATCTATCATTTCATATGTTTTTTACCTTGTAACTAATACCTCTACAGATGTATGGCACCTCGTGCCAATCTTGATCAAGACTCGTTGTGTCGTTGCCGTGACTATGTAGAGGCGCTTATTGAAGAAGGTCCCTTGGGTAACTTGTGGAATGAAGCAGGGATAGTTCCAGAACTTGCCTCGTCAACATTTGCTCAAGCATTACATACAAAATATACGACTTTTTGCTGTGCCCAATGGCCTCTGCTCATCAATTACTGAGAATAAGCACATCAAAGCGGTCAAAGAACCTTGGAGATGATCGAGCCGTTTTCGCGCGCTCGGTCAAATGCTATTGATCAATCAACGGCTCGACAAAATTTCAGCAGCACGAGTTGAATTCACACGTCGAGGGATGTTAGCTGGCACCTGCCTCTCAGCAGCTATGAATGCCTTAGGTAAGTCATTCGGTTTATACTAGTACAAGATGTCCCAAACGCTAATGTACATAATAGTTCCTGGAACAATACCAGCAACAGCAACACCAGCAACAGCAACAACACCCGCAACAGCAACACCAGCAACAGCAACAACACCAGCAACAGCAACAACACCAGCAACAGCAACACCAGCAACAGCAACAACACCGGCAACAGCAACAACACCGGCACCTGCACCAGCTGCACCTTTGCAGATTAGTATTGATGGGGACCTCGAAATCGATGACGGACCAACCGTTTTACAAGCCTTCGTGCAGCTGGCAAAAACCCCCTGTAATTTTTCATTTATCTTCATTTTTCAATATTCTAACATACTGTACAGAGTGGAAAAAGCATGCTCAAACTGTCCCTGCACTCGCTGAAGAACTCAGTATACCTCGCCTTCCCGACCTCCTTGCACAGTTTTTATTCCAACAATTACACCCTGACGATCACCGTGGCCCATGTGATGTACCTCTCGCGGAATGTCCTCACTATCTCAACAAAATATTGGTTTTTAATTCAGCCTCGTCACGCTTCTATGCGCCCAGTGATTTAAGCGGTAGCGGTGGCATGCGCACTGAGCACATCCGCTCTTCTCCATCCTGGTGCAATGAGCACTCGCGCTACAACTGTGTTTTTGTAAACACAGACTCCGATTTACCTGGCATGCGAGGCCTCGAGGTTGCTCAAGTTTGCACTTTTTTTTCATTCAAGTATCGGGGTAATACATATCCCTGCGCCGTGATACACTGGTTTGACAAGGTTGGCGACACTGCAGACGAAGATACGGGAATGTGGATCGTTAGTCCCGCAGGTGGCGCATCCAAGCACGCTGTCATTCACGTCGACACTATCTATTGTGCTGCGCATCTCATTCCGGTGTATGGCATGGAGTTTTTGCCTCAGGGATTCAAATGTCACGACTCGTATGACACATTTCGAACTTACTACGTGAATAAGTATGCTGACCACCATGCATTTGAGATTGCATTTTGACAATACTTTATTTACTATAGCTATTGTACACACTTTGAATGTATACTACTATTATCTCTCTGAACATGTATTATTTCTCCTTTGCACATTAAACTCTCTTAACCGCCTTGGAGAAAAATCAACAAAACATCTTATCACTCCTTAGATTGATTTTCGCACCTTAGCACTTGCGCCAAGGTGAAAAAAGTGACATAATGATGGAAAATGATTACGAGGTTTTACTGATGTACATCACCAAAATTACCGAATCCAGAGATGGTCATATATTACCATGTCGGAGCCACCATACCTGCCATATGTATCTGGCGCAAGGTCTCAATGTAAGGCAATGTTAGGAAACTCAATTCTGACATTGTGACTGCCATATGACTATAGTCTGGCATTAGGCTAGTGTACTGATATATCAAACATTGCTATGTACACAATGCATTTAAATTTCACTCAGATTCATCAGACATTGCAATTGCGTTCGGATATAACAATGTGATGCATTAAATTAATGGTAGTACAAAGCAGTGAGGTACAATTGAGTGTATCGTTCTGAGCTTATGTATATGAATGTGGTAATCGAGAATGGACACTAGAACAGGAATATGAGCGATCTATGAGCAGGTTAATGACACCTAAAACAATACCAAAAAAAACACTCACCCACTCCAACAAGTAGCCACCAAGCACGTCTGGTCATTGTTGTAGTCTTGACCTGGTGGGTCTCCGGCCCATAGACATGCGAGAAGTCTGAATGCAGTCAAGTTAACCTTCGCACTGAATGCTCTGCGAAGTGTTAGATTAACGTGAGATGAATTTCAAAAAAAAACTCACTTGTCAGTGTCCTCTCAAAATCTCTGATCAAACAGAAAAAGCATGCTAGAAGGATATTTCAGTCCATGCGAGTAGACGATGCTGGATCCATCTGATGGATGAGATAAGTACATAATATATACTTATATGCGCATACACTCACCTTTTTGATGATAATATTGAGCTTGGTATTTGAGGCCCTCTTTGGAGGTACAAGGGCCACGGATGATACTGAGTTCAAACTACGCGAGGATACTTACTGATGAGCCTGATGAGGCAATTGAGTTAGAGCGTTTACGACATGCCATGATGATGGTGGGGGAAAGAAAGATAAAATTGAAAGATTAAGGAAAGACAAGCAAAGATCGAGTGTGGCATTATTGACGTGTTGTTTGTGTTAATAAACACAGTCATGTGACTGTCATCTACGGAAGTTTCAGTTAGTACCAGTCCGTTCATACCACCAATACAAGCACTATGCATGGCTTCGCATTACACGAGTTGCTCAGGTGCTGATCCTGCCCTCCAGACTTCATTATGACGTTCATCGCTACATGCTCACCACTAGGTGCTTTGTTTGACGAAGCTTGCACCAGTCCCTTGCAAGCTGTAGAGGTGCGTGTATTGTCCGTGTTTATACTGCTTCATCACGCACAGCTAGGCTCTGATGAACAGCCTCAGCGGTGTAAGGATTGAACATCCTCTATGCACGGACTATGAGTCTGACTAGGCGCTCGAAGCTGTCCACGTGACTCACCGCATCCTCTTCATATCCGAGCCATGCCACTTTCCATTAAACTTACCTTGTGCTCTCAAAGATGCAGAATGGCAAACCCGTTATTAATCTCTACTTGGATGCGAAGACTTCTTCTGCGGGAAAGTTTGTCTCTGTTTGCCTTCAAATTATATGGAACTTTGATAGCAGCATTTTAGGTATATCGGCATTTTCAGATCACATTTACCACTGCAGCGAGCGCAGCTCAGTTTATTGATGCCGTCCGACCAGTTTGTCCTTATAGATTGAATCCACAACCGCAGCCTCTGGTTACTCGCATCCCTCCTGTAGCTACGACAGGCCTTATTGACGACATTCCCCATCAAGGTACTATACGCACAGCTGTTTCACAAGCTTGGCCATCAATGAGTGGGGCTCCATTCAGACTCGCGCCGACTACACTTCTTTCAGAAAATCCATCATCCGAATCTAGTTTACCAGTATTCGCACTATTGACGCCAGTTAATTTTACTCCTGTGGCTCTGAGCAGCAGTTCTATGAAAATGACATCTGTGACTACACCATCTCATGACGGCACCTTCGTTATACCTACAGAAACACCTTGGATAATCCTCCCAAAGTCCACCCAATGCCAAGCACTGTCTGGCTCCATCTACTCTACCAAAGGCTCTTTACTTGATTCTTCCCAACCATCCTCGTCTACTCTCAGTAGTCCGAACATGATGCCCCCGCCTCCACTGCCCTCGAGCGTCACATGATCTCTTCAATGAAGTGCAATCGGAAAGTCGACTATCAGAAGTTTGTAATTCAATTCGAGCCCAGCTTGTTGCATCAGTGACTGCATGACACTCCGGCCCTTCACAAGTTATCCCATGCAGAACTAGAATCCATTGTAGCACAAGTCATCGGAGAGGAAGGTTTTGCTCAACTGGTAAGCATTCTCGGAGTCGTCGAATTAATAAACCATAACCCCAGATGACGCTGCTAATCAGATTCCCCAGCTTGCTTCCTTGGACACCATGTGGAGAGTGAAGGGTTTTTTTGGTCAATAATACCTGACAGTCTTGAACGCTACCCATTTATTGTTATCCTTTGGAATGCTGCCTTGTATATGTATAAAGTCTCTTCAATCACGGTCGTTACTATCAAGCACCTATCTCATACCTCGCTTCCATTGATGTACCAACAACTTGCAATTCATGAACACTTTCCACACCGACACTATAGTAGTGCTCTGGCGGCGAGCGCCCTTTAGGTACTTTACTGTTTCACTCATTTTTCGTTGTATTACTCTATATAATACATTGGATGTATCTGGATATGTCTGATATCTGGCTGACAGCTACTCTACTGGATGACTTGTGTCTGACAGATGGTATGTTTGATGTCATTGTATCGCTACAATATTTCAAATGTCGGATATCACAGGTATGTGTAATTGGCGGCGTCAGAAAATTCAATATATCATGTGATCTCTGGATTTGGTAATTTTGGTGATGTACGAACGACGCACTCAGAATGCAAACCCTGTGGATAATCGGAACCGCGCTGCAAAACAACCCAGCTGCTCAACTCAACTCGCCGTAAGTCATGCTCGTCTTTCAATGCACCTTCTTCCTAACACGCACCCGGTTCATAATCCAAATTCAATTCACCCTAACTAAAGTACTTTGTGTTCATGTTCTATTTGATAACAGTACCTCGATCTTGACCCTCTCCCCACACTCCTCAAATACCTCTCCCCTCGTCCAACTCCGCTGAGACCCGCTCGCGAACGCGCTTTCTGGGCTCCTGAAACTGAATGTTGCTGCTGTTCAAAAGATGAGTGTGGTGGAGGGATGGAGCGCGTTGAGGATGTGCTTAGAAGGTGTGTATCGTTCCACAACCCTACCTTTTTTTCATGACGATTGACACTCACACCTGACGAATACCAGACTCAGAAATCCGTGTTCGCGGAAAATCCACATTCCTACTAAACACACACCTCCTCCCGACTACCCCTTCGTCCCAAGTTAACCTCCAACCAAACATAAGCCTCCCCACCTTAGAAAATGCATCACCCCCGATCCACGCAAATTCACGCTCTCTGATTCATCGTCCGTCTCTAGTTCTAACGCTCGCTGCGATTCAGGAAGAGGGAGAGCAAAGGGTGTCTTTGCTCGGCGATGCGTCGCCTTGATCGAACCTGTCCAGTTCGGTGTTGATGGCGAGAGAGATAGAGATGACGAATTTCAGGATAATATTGTTAGGTGAGTGCGATCCCAATCGCACCTTTCCTTCTTTCCACTCCTACATTGGGTTGTTGATATTGGGATGGAACTAGGATTTTGTATACATTCGCGACGAGCTGCAACGGCGCTTTTTCAGCTGCACAGAAACGCAGTCTCTGGGGGTTATTTAGGAAGGCTTACTACGACGCAAGGAGAGGAGAACTTGAATTTTGGATTGACGAGTGGGGAGTGTGAGGAGTTCAGTGGGCTGTGAGGTCATAGTGTGATGCGTGCGGCAGGGGCGATGCAGCTCTGGATTGTACTTGAGGTGAAATGGGATGGCGTTTCTTTGATTTTGTTTCAACAGCATTGTACTGCACTGATGTTAATGAATTCTGATATCAGATGATCGTTAGTTAGTGATATCGCCACTTTAGTTCTTTTATCTAGCCCAACTTGAACGGGTCACAAAGTAGGTGCTCTGATCTGCATCGACACCTATATAATATTCTCAATTCCCGAATCCATCTTCATCTTCGGTATCCGGTTTCGATGACTGATATCAAGCTGATTCGGGCGATAACAAACCTCGATTATCGATGCTTTGGCATCCATCGAGCCTGACTTGATAGGGAGACATCCTTAGGGTCTTTTGATCTGCGGCCGTATTAAGTTGCTATGTTCATTGTTGAAGCTATGTTGTAGCTAGGATTTTATACACGTTCGTCATGAATTGCAATGGCAAATTTTGAGCTGCAGAAATGAATAGATAGCGTACATTGCAGACAGAGGTGACGAGTTGTATGTTATCAATATCGTACATCAAAGACGGCTCGAAATACACCAGCGGGAGTGGGTAAAGCATATCAAGGTCGTCGGGATAGAAAGGCATGCGACTCGTGAAGGATGAGGGAATTTAATGATGACCGTCTGTGTATTCAGGAGAGAGACAACAGAGAAAAAGCCAGAAGCGAGTCCAAAGTCCAGCCTGTCTTATCGTTGCATCTGGGCGTGAGGTCGTAGCTATGCCAGTAGCATCGCCAACGGTAGGTGTGGAGGATGAACCAGAGATCGCAGTCTGTGGTTGCGAAGATGACTGGGTGACATTGGGCTTTGGAGGCCGTGAGCTACTTGCGGTAGTAGGGATCTTCGGAGGAAATAGTTTTTTCCGTTTCTCCCTCGCGCAAGCATTTCTCTACGTCAAATTAGGTGGTGTAGGATGATCAAGGAAGAGAAGGAACATACACGTTTGCCCTTCGCATACGGGACCTCAACAACTGCGGGACTGGGTTTTTGAGACTCAATGCCCTCACCTCTTTGTCTGCGCTGTTTCAAAAAGTTTCGAGCCCAATGGAGAGGGGAGGACAGTGGTGTAGCACGAGCACTGGAGGGGCTGCGGTTGCGGTGGAATAAACGGCCGAGAAGTGTGCCGCCAGGTGATACTGAGGAGGCGACACGCCTTCGTGCAGAGGACTGAGAATATGTCAGAGGTCAGGAAAATAAAATAAAATTGATAGTGAATCGTGTTGACATACATGGGAACGATTTGGTGGAACTCCGTCGAAAAAACCCTGGGGTATCTGATAAGCAGGCGGACGTCGTTGGACCGGAGGTTGTGTAGCACTATTCTAGAGCATATATGTTGAGAACAACAAGATCTTTTAATGAAGGGGTCACGTACATGGAGTGCCAACTTGTTGACCAGGCAGAGCGCATTCAGCTGTGAGAATATACAATAGGCATTCATATCGACTCACCTTTGGATCCGAAAGTAGGTCATCGAGGCCGGCTTCTCTGACAATTGCAGCAACATCCCATGTGTATGCGTTTGTGTCCTCGCAGCTAGTGGCTAGTAGCTTTCCATCTTCCGAAAACGATACGGAGTTAATGTAGTCTGCGTGCCGGAGGGGCGGACCGATAAGTTGTCCATTGTCGAGGTCCCACAATAGCACTGTATTATTGTCCAATGCATATGATGCACTTGCGAGGATGCGGTCATTAGGTGATATTGCAAGGCAAGTCACTGTCCCTGTATGTCCTTTGAGAGTTGCGACAAGCTCGCCTGTCTTTGTGTCCCACATTTTGATGGAGCACTCGATGGGTTCTCCATGCCCGCCTGGGGGCCCATCATATCCACCAGTCGCAATCATGGACATGTCTGGTGAATAGACCACTCTCCACACGTAGGTGTGCCCAGTCTCGATTGGCTCGAGGATTGTCTCTCCGCTTTCTACGTCCCATTGCCTTGCGGTCCCATCGTTAGATCCGCTTAACACTCTTTGACCACCTCGACTCCAGCAGACAGACGCCACTGACTGTGTGTGCCCCATCCATTTAGCGATGACTTTGCTTGTGTCGATGTCCCACAACCTCACTCCGCCGTCCTCACTTCCGCTAACCACTTTCTTCTCATCCGGAGACAACGCTATACAATACACTCCACCTTCTCCGTCTCTCCAGTCTTCTCCTATCTGTTTCCCGCTCTTCAAGTTCCATACCCGTAGCGAGCCGTCATCTGAACAAGTGATGATTCGCTGTCCGCCTGGCAGGTGTATGGCGCCTCGCAGCGATTTGGTGTGTCCTTTGAATTCCTGGTGGGGTTTTATTGCTAATGTCTCTTTCGTTTCAGCGGTGGATGAAGCCATACTCCAGAATTTCAACTATGGAGTGCAGCACCATCTCAGCTTCCATTTGTCAGATTTCAAAATTATCACTTACGAGGAGGTCTAAGCAGCGATAGGCAGGCAGCAAGGAATGGTGGTTTTGGTGGAAAGTCACAATTGAATCCACTGCTTCCTTGTACGTTGTTGTACATGCTGTATCCTCGTGTTTGCTTCATAGCTTATACACAGCATAGATGATAGGCTGTGCACCTGAAGCGCCTAAGTATCATATGATCATATGTCGTTAAGCTTCAGTTCATCATTATTTGATTCTCAACAAACATGGAAGGCAAGAAGCCGGCTACTATGAAGGCAGGACAGTTAAGCTCGATCCTGGAATGATCTTGAGATGTGTGTTCCGTCTCCGATGATCGAACGTTGTGTGTGTCATGGTTGCTTACGATGGAATATAGCTATTTCCGAATATCGATATTGCGAATGGTGACCATACTGCCGTGGATTGATGTTGACATAGACCTGAAGAAACTAGGGATATGGCAACTCCTGCACAACCTCCTCCTACTCTGAAAGGACAGAAATTGGACACAAAGAAAAACCTCCTAGGTACAAGCGACACGCTCAAAATGCAAACCCGTTGATAACCATCCCCCTCCTCCCAACCTCAGTTGACCTGCGATCAAACACAAGCCCCCCTCTATCTCAGAAAACGCACCAGTCCCAACTTTTCATGTCAATTCCCATGCTTCGATGGTCTCTGATCCGTGATTCATCTCCATCTCTGCTCTCACGCTCGCTACAACTAGGAGGAGGGAGAGCAGCAGTGTTCTTGGCTCGATGCATTGATATCAGCATTGATCGAACCTGGTTCTGTTTGGTGTTGGGTGCGGGATGGAGATAAGGTAAGGAGAATATTGTTGGGTGAGTTCGATCCTAATCTTGATTCCACTTTCTCCTCTTGTATGATGTTTGGTTATTGATGTTGGGACGGAACTACATAGCATTTTGTATACGTTCGACGAACTGCAACGGCACGTTTTCAGCTGTGCAGAAACGCAATCTTTGGGAGGATCTTCCGAGGGATTACTACGACGCAAGGAGAAGGCAACTTGAATTTTGGATTGACGAGTGGGAGTGAAAGGAGCTGTAAGGTGGTAGTGCGACGCAGTTCATGTCATACTTGGAATGTCATTCTTTTGATTTGTTCCAATACCACACCACATCACTAATGTTAACGAAGTCTGATATCGGATGATCGTTCTTTTGTAATAATGCCATTGTAGTTTTTTATATCACTCAACAGGTCATGAAGTACATGATCTGATCCGAGTCTCTCTCCGCAAGCATCGACACCGACATAGTATTTCTATTCTCGAATCAATCTTCATCTTCGGTGTCTGCAAGGACTGGTATCGATGCTGTTTGATGATACCATCGTCATTGTTTAAGACTGACCCGATGGGGAGATATTACTAGACAAGTCTTGTTTCGGCTCTTGTATTAGATCGTTGATGTTCATATAATGGTCGCGCTTTGTCGCAGGTGCAGAAAAATGAATGCGTAGTCTACATTTCGACGGAGATGATGAGGAGTTCATTTAGTATCCGTATCGTACATAAAGGATGGCTCGAAACATATTGAAGAGAGTACTGGTAGGCAAAGTGTCTCGAAAGTCCGTTGAGAGATGTGATTGCATGCGACCCGTGAAGGATGAGAAAATCTAATGATTACTGTCTGTGTATTCAGGAGAGAGACAGCCGAGAAAGAGCCAGAAGCGAGTCCAGAGTCCAGCCTGTCTTATCGTTGCATCTGGACGTGAAGGTGTCAAAGTTGTGGCTATGCCAGTAGCATCGCCAACGGAAGGTGCGGTGGATGAACCAGACATGACAGCTTGTGGTTGCGAAGATGGCTGGGTGACATTGGGCTTTGGAGGCCGTGAACTACTTGTAGTAGGGTTCTTTGAGGGGAATAGTATTTTTCGTTTCTCCCTCGCGCAGGCATTTCTCTACACAATATCAGGTGGAGTAGGACGATCAAGGAAGAGAAGGAACATACACGTTTGCCCTTCGCATACGGGACCTCAACAACCGCAGGGCTGCGCCCTTGCAATTTGATACCTTCATCACGTGGTGCGCACCGTTTCAGAATATTTCGAGCCCAGTCAAGAGGGGAGGATGGTGACGTAGCATGAGCACTGGAGGGGCTGCGGTTGCGGTGGAATAGACGGCTGAGAAGCGTGCTGCCTGGTGATGCTGAGGAGTGGGAGCGGCTTCGTGCAGAGGACTGAGAACATGCCAGAGGTCAGGAAAACAAAATCGAATTGATAGTGATGACATACATGGGAACGATTTGGTGGAACTCCGTCGAAAAAACCCTGGGGTATCCGATAAGCAGGCGGACGTCGTTGGACCGGATATTGTGTAGCACTAGTCTAGAGCATATATGTTGAGAAAAACAAGATCTGTTGATGAAAGTGTCACGTACATGGAGTGCCAACTTGTTGACCAGGCGGCAGAGCGCATTCAATTGTGAGAATATACAATGGGCATTCATATCGACTCACCTTTGAATCCGAAAGTAGGTCGTCGAGGTTGGTTTCTCTGAAAATTGCAGCAACATCCCATGTGTACGGGTTTCTGTCGCGGCAGCCAGTGGCTAGTAGTTTTCCATCTTCCGAAAATGACACGCAATACAAATAATTTGCATGCTGTAGGGGCGAACCGATAAGTTGTCCATTGTCGAGGTTCCACAATAGCACTGTATAGACTAATGATGCGCTTGCGAGGATGCGGTCATTTGGTGATATTGCAATGGCCCAGACCCGGTCAGTGTGCGCTTCCAGTAGTGCGGTTTGTTTCCATGTTTTGGTATTCCATGTCCTAATCGAGTTATCGCATGTCCCGTTTTTCCCAAGCCAGGTGTGGCGTTCGTTGAACGTTCACACGAGAAAGAGTCGATTGGTTTGAATCGTCTTAAGGTTCGAACAGGATAACTGTCCTAACTAAATGTTATTCAAAAGGGGGGATGAAAATCAACTACCCTAACAGTAGATATACGTCGGTTTATATACTGTAGGGAAAGAACTCTATGGAATAAGACAGAATGAGTGAATATGAGTATCTAAAGAGACTGATGAAAGTAAATATCGGTTGCCAACATCAATGCGTAGATGTTGGCTTTTTTAACGAGCGTTACATACGCCCTCCAGGTCCTCTAAACGAGGGGACCTTTCTTCAGGTGATGCGAGTTCCTTTAGTTCTCTCGCGTCGGTCCAAGGGACGCAAAGGCAGCTGAGAGAAGAACCAAGGTAAGAACATTTACTATCAATATACTAATAATGATGAGTCTACCGAAAACGTCTTCGGTGGTGACATCAGGCATCCGTGAGGCCTGTTCGAGGTCGAGCTGCTCAGCAGCTGCGATAATCTCCTCTACGTCAGGTCCAGGATCTGCCGTTGGCGCAGTACGAGCTAGTGCTGCCGTGGTCCGGTTCGGTCCGGTTCAGAGGGCCCTGGACGAGAACCGAGAACTGGACCATGGTCTGGTTCTACAAAATTGTCGAACCCAGAACCGGACCATCAAGAACGGTTCTTAACAGTCCGGTTCGGTTTTTTTGCGGTCCGAACGTGAACCGAACCGCAAATTTTTCAAGCAGCAAGGAAAAACATTCACAATACATCTACATGACATTGGGTAGCTAGGCTAATGACACACCAGCTGCGTACTCTTCTGCCTCTACTGCCGCTGACACATGACCATTCTTATAGGCTGCCTTCATTAATTGTAGCGCGGAGAATGTGGATGGTGCGAGGGCGTTGCGGCGCAGAGTCGATGTGATCCCCGCACTGGAGAAAGCGCGTTCCGATGGGACTGCACTGCCTTGAATGGGCAGGTAATCACGCGCAACACGAGCTAGCGTTGGATATTGCATTGAATGTAACTGATCAAGGATGTAAGCGGGGAACAATGAATTTGAGGGCTGACTTACACCCCACCACGCGACAACGTCATCCGTCTCCTCCAATGGTGAAGTAAGGTATGCGGAGAGCTCTTGATGAGGATCGCGCGTGCGATGGTCTGTAGCTTGACGTTCCATGATAGCGTCGCGCATCCAGGAAGCACCATAACAAATTGAAGCTTTCGTTGTTGACATGGCCAATGGCTCCTTGGGTTGCAGTCCTGGGGCTGGAGGCGCTTGATAATATTTGTCAAACTAAGCATCCATCTGAAGTTAGAGACCGCCAGGATACTTAAGGTTGAATAGTACTCACCACCGCCTGAAGTATGGACCACTTACTTGCATAGTGTACACACCCACCCATCAGGTAAACGGGTAAATATAGTCCTAACGTCCGCTGTGCGTTCGCTTTTTGAAAGCTAAATACAGGTCTTAGTTGAGACTCAAGGAAAACAATAAACGAGTACATACAGTAGTGGTGCACCCGTTCTCAGATTTAGATTCATCAACTTCATCGTCGACCTCTGGTTGGGGGATCAGCTCGTCAGCAGACGACTCTCCCAGATCAGGTGTAGAGGGTATTTCTTCATCTTCGGAGTCAAGAGGAGATAAGATTCGCATGGCAGTTTTCTTGCGTGGTGGATGATCCGTAGCGCTGGATAAAGCACGTTTCCTTGGGTTAGTTGACGAAGACAGACCGCAGGCATTGTCCACATCGCGAATACGAGCTGACAGTTTTGAGGGCCAGCCAGAGCGCCTAGATCCAGCTGCAACTGTTGCTGGGGTGCGTCCAGCCTTGAGCAGAATGGAGAAGGTGTCCTTTGCGGATGTAGTGGAAGAGGATGGTTGGGGCAATGGTACTTCATCGTCAGGATCGTTAAAGAAGGTAATTTCAGAAGCATCCTTAAGGGTGCCGTCAGCGTTCAGAGCGCAGCAGTCTTCAGACATCATGAGGCAAATAACTCACAAGTTTTTTGTTAGCACCTCGTTTTATGTGTGGAGGAGACCCTAACACCACAGAGCAACAATATCCAAGGAGATCTGTTAGAGATGACAACCGGTGGAGGATCATGCTTATCCAGGAAGCATATAGACTAGAACATGTAGATATCTGTGATATAGGTGAACATATGTCAGTCAGTAAGAGTTCTTGAGAGTAGATTGATTAGTACTTACCTTCAAAAAGGCTAACAGTAGCCCGATTAACAAATAATGCAAATCTCGAAGACGATGCTTTGATGTTGACATGGACACCGACGTCATCGTTATTGAAGTCGAAGTTGAGGGAATTCGAAGTCAAGGAACGGTTCAGGAAGGTTCGGGAAAGTCGAACCAGAACCGGACCATTAGTGAAGGTCCAGAACCCAGAACCGTTTTCCGGTCCGGTTCTGGCTGGTGAGGGAACCATGGACCGAACCACAGAGAACCGGACCAAAAGTCCGGTTCGAACCGTGGTTCTGGACCGGACCGCGGCAGCACTAGTACGAGCGGGAGTAGGGGCTAAGATGGTAGCAGCGTTGGTGGTCACGTCGGCGATGACCTGGGCAGCGGTGGTAGGTCTAGGACGGTGGTTATGGGCTGGTCGCTCACGAGGAGGGTAGGCAGGACGGGTATAGTGAGGAGGTGGACCAGACGCAGAGGTGCGGTGGTCTAGGGTGAGGTTGCGGCTGCGGTGAGCATGGCGTCGGAACTCACGAGCCCGCTCGGCCCGGAGCTCAAGGTCGAAAGCATGGGACTCCTTTCGAGTAGCTAGCTCTTTAGCCTGGGCCTCAGCCCTGAAGAAACGCGTGAATGCTCCTAGAGCATCAGCGTCTTCGTTGGGTCTTCGTGGAGGAGGGTGACGCCCTCCACGTCCCCTTCGTCCCCTTCCAGGACGGCCCCTGCCTGTCCGAGTGGACCGGTGAGTTGGGGCATGTTCTCCAGGCTCGCGACGTGCCGGTGAGACGTCGACGAGCATCGCATCATGCGAAATGGGAGGAGGAGTGGTTGACATGGGGGAGGATTCACGATGTGGGTTGAAGTGCTGAGTGCCCGTTAAATAAGGATCAGGAAACTCGCTTAGGGAGGTTTGGCTGGCGAGATCAGTCAACATTAAGTCTGTGATGCCGGATACAGTATCTCGGGCCCTTGAGAAAGCTTCCGTGACGCAAATGGGGATAGAGCTTGAGGAGGTCGAAATTTTCCTCGGTAAGTGAGATATGCCAGGGACACCCAGTGCTTCCAAGTACTGGGATAGAGCCTCCAGGCGCGACACCTGATGGTGGGGAAACCACGCACGGTCGCCAGTGGAATACTCTACTTCGAAGAGGGCATCAGCGCCAGAACCCTGGTGGTTCACGATTTTGGCGACGGACCATTCTTCAAGGTGCCCTATGTCAGAGACTTGGGCTAGCTGACGACCAGGGAATCTACGATCGTCGTTAGGGATATGTGGATGGAGGAGGTGTGCATGGAAGGCCGGGTGAAGTCCCCGTTGTTTAAGTTGGGCTGGGAGGTCGAGTAAGAACGAGTTGTTCTTGTAGTCCTCGAGTATACGATACGGTCCGATATATTTCGGAGCAAGTTTGTGAGCTCGACCTTTAGGGAGCGAGAGGTTTTCAGTCGACACGTACACTAGATCACCCTTGACGAATGGGGACTCAACTCTTTTCCGATTGGCGGTTGCGGTGCTTTTGGCACATGCAGCAATTATCGCGTCGTGAGCGCCCATGATCGCATCCTTCATTCGTTGCGCGAATACTCGTACCCCTGGGAACTCCGAGTTCGTGTTCCAGATCATTGGTGGAGGTAGCCTACTGTAGTTTAGTACAAATGGGGGGTACTTGGTGGTGTCTGAGCACGCCGAGTTGATCGCGAACTCGATGGCCGGTAGTTTAATCGCCCAGTCCTTTTGCGAGGGGGACACGATCTGTCGAAGCATCTGCGTGATGGTTCGGTTAGCACGCTCAGTCACGCCATCCGACTGGGGGTGGAAAGAGGTGGACATACGTAGCTGAACACCTGTAAGTTGGTGGAGGCGCTGCCAGAAGGTACTAGTGAATAAGGTATCACGGTCACTGACAATATTTGATGGCATACCGTGGTGCTTGTAGACTAGGTGAAACATCACCTCTGCGACGTCTTTAGCTCGGTAAGTCTGCTTGGTCGCGGCTAAGTGTACCATGGACGTTAGGTGGTCTATTGTGACCATAATCATATCAAACACGCCTTGGAGCGTCCTGGATTCAGGTAGCGGCCCTACGAAATCTACGCCGATGGTTTCCCAGGGACGAGACGGGACTTCTAGTGTTTCTAGTAGGCCATATGGTTGGTGGTTGGGCGTCTTAGATACTTGGCACGTAGGACAGGACTTACAGAAGTCTTGGACGTCATTTGCCATGCTCCTCCACCATACACTGTCGCGAAGATACAGAAGTGTCTTAGACGGGCCTAAGTGAGCGAGGATTGAGTGAGCGTGGGAGATGATGATTTCGCGCACGCGCCTTACACCGATCTTAATGTCTGGGATACATAGAATACGTTTGCCGTTATTTCTAAGGAATATCCTTCCATTGCTCACTTCAAAGTTCTTAAAGGTCCCAGGGCTCTCAACGACTTTGGCAAAGAACGGATCGTCATGGTATTGATTCACGATCGAGTTGCTGATGTCGATGTCCGGGTCTCCTAGAGATATGATCTCAGGCAAGGTGGGAGTGAGTTCGGCGTTTGAGACATTGGTGAGGTGTGCGGGCGTTTGGGGGATGTTTGGCTGCGCAGGTTGTAGGTCCTTATTTGCGCAGTTGACGTCGCTTACATCAGCATTTGTGACAGTTTGGCTATGAGTTGCGTCATGTAGATTCTGGATTGTCGTGACGTCTGTGCTTATGTCATCGGGTCTGTTCTGTAATTGTCCAGACCGTCCTGCTTCTCTGCTTACATCATGTTGTAGGCTCTTGTTTACTTGTAAGGTGCGTCTTTCTTTGTCCTTATTGCTAATTGTCTTTGTCTGTTCGCCAGTCACCTTTCCGCCCTCCAGTGATTCTGAGGGGTTTCTACCCAATCTCAGGGTCACTTTCCTAATTCTGGTGACAGGTGAGTCCCCACTTGCGCATGTGGGAGCTAATTTTCCTTCACTTTGCAGTGTTCCACCACGGCTGCTGATATCCCGGTCTACCGAGTCGTCGGTGATATCCCGGTCTACCGAGTTGCTGGCCGCTGTCTGGGCAGAGCGGTTGCCGTCCATGAGGGTACCCTTTTTAAGGGATCTCATGTCGTTTGCCGGTTTAAGCGATCTCATGTCGTTTGCCGGTTTGAGGGACCTCATGTCGTGTCTGGTGAGTGTATCTCTGGGATGCTTACCCTTACTGACGCCCTGGTCGTCTGGTAGCTTGGATACGACAGACGAGTTTGTCAGGACGTGTTGAGGAACGCCTCTGTCCGGTGGAGTCGTTATAACCTGCTGAGGAACACCTCTGCCTTGGGGATGTTCCATAACCTGCTGAGGAACACCTCTGTCTTGGGGGTTCTCCAAGACTTGTTGAGGTACGCCTCTTTCCTTCAGGTTTGTCATAACCTGCTGAGGAACACCTTTGCTTTGAGATGTGGTTATGACTTGCTGAGGAACACCTCTGCCTTGAGGTGCAGGCATGACTTGTTGTGGCACGCCTCTGTCTTCTGGGTTTGGCAAGGCCTGCTGAGGAACACCTCTGCCCTGGCTACTTGGTTTCCTTTGGTGAGTTGGTTTGGCGCGCTTGTGGTCAGGTTGGGTTTCACTGAGGCCACTGACTATCTTTTCTGCCAGCCGTGCGGATCGTCTGTTCTCGGTCGCACCCAGGAAGAGGGGTGTCCCAGTATATACCGGAGCCGTGACGAAGTTCAGGAGAAGTGTTCTGGGTGCGTCTTCCTCCTCTACAATTACAAACTCACTTTGGGCTCTGACAGTACCCTTAGGCTCATTACTGTACATACGCGACAGCGCGTCTGCAAGAGTGTTGTCTGCTCCTGGTAAGTATTTTATTTGGAAATCAAATTCGCTCAACACCTCTAACCACCGGGCTTGTCTAGGAGATAGCTTGTGTTGGGTGGTAATCCACTCCAAGCCCTTATGGTCCGTGAAAATGCGGAACTGGACGCCAATTAGTAAGTGACGAAATCGCTTCAGTGACTCCACGATCGCTAACAGTTCCTGTTCATGGACTGGGTAGTTCTGTTGAGCGGAATGGAACTTCCCGGACCAGAACGCAACGACGTCGGCTTGCTGGACTGGGTCGCCTTGCGAGAGCATGCCACTTGCTCCAGTAAAGGAGGCATCAGTCACGAGATTGACTGGGGATGTGCTGTTGAGGGCGCTAGGTAAGTCAAGTGCTTTTCGCCTCGTATCTCGGTGAGCGTTGACGCACGCTCGTACTAGGTCGAAGGCACGTTGATCCGTTGGAGTCCATTCCCAATGGGTAGTGTGCGCCGCTACTTTCGAGAGGTGCTGCATGTGCACCCGTATGCCCTCACAGCCAGCAGCAAGATATCCGACAGAACCGATGAACTGCATCAAGAGCTCCTTGGAGGTAGGTGTCTTCCAGTTGATAATTTTGTCTACCTTATGCGGATCCAGGTGTATCCCTTGGTTGTCTATGATGTGCCCCAGAATGGTGAGCTCGTTCTTAAAAAACTGCAGCTTATGTTCACTTAAGTAGAAATGATTCTCTCTCAGGGTGTCGATGACAGTCTTTACATGTCGGACGTGGTCTTCGGCTGAGTCTGAGTATATGACGATATCGTCCAGGTATACATCCATGAAGACGCCGATGTAAGGACCAAAGATATGGTTCATTAGTGACTGGTAAGTGGCTCCAGTGTTGCAATCACCGATTTGCATGACATGGCTAATCATCGTGCCATCGGGCGTTGCAAATAGGGACTTGGGAACATCTTCTGGTACGATTCGAATTTGTTCATATGCGTCCTTCCCATCAAGTAGGGAACGATACGCGTGGGACGAGACATTCCACAAGATCGTATCGATATCAGGGAGTGGAGACGCCAGTTTTCGGGTGTTTTTGTTGCGCTGTCTCGTGTCAAGGACAGTGCGTAGTCTGAGCTCTCCATCCTTAGTTGCCTTCTTCATCATGATCATAGGTACCGCGTTAGTCCCGCTGAAGAATTCCCAACGACCCGTGCGGATATAGTCATCTCGCTTGTTACGCCAAAGGGGGCGCAAGGCTTCTGGGCATTTGGACTGCCTCCAAGCGTAGGCGTGGCCTTCGTCGACAAGAGGAATGACGTGATTGATTGCTCGAAGTGGAGGTAATGGTGTGTCTACAGCTTCTTTGCAAATATCACGTGAATATTGACGAAGTTCTTCAATGTAGGTCTTTATTTCCTCTGAGGACATGTCAATGCCTCGCAGTTCAAGAACTTGCGTCTGCACGCCGCGGATGGGTAAAGGCTCGATACTACGTATCTTGATTTCAGGAGGATTAAAACCTAACAGTACTTGGTGTTGAAATAGGAACGGCATCCCTAGGATGACGTCGTATGATTCAAGGTTCGCGATGTCGAAGGTGCGTGGACACTTGATGTCCTGGTACTCAAGTTCGGCAATTGTCGTGGCTTTCACAGAACTTCTGGAGCCTGAGACGGCTAGTTGGAGGGGGATGGGCTTCTCTAACAGTGCGTATTTCAATTTTAATTGGTCTACGATGGTACTTGAAACGAAATCGGTCAGGGACCCAGAATCGAGTAACGCTCGACACGGTTTTCCGTTTAGTAGGACTACCACTACTAGGGATTTCGGCAAGAGCCTTGATGTGGTCTTCGGTCTAGCTGCTTGTCGCTGGAGGGTGCGAAGATCGGGTAAGTCTGGTTTCGTCCGTGAAGCCATCCCGCAGAATAACTCACCAGAAGTTTTAGGTTCGTCGTCATCGTCACTGGATTCGCATGTCAACAGGCCAGGGACATCATCGTCAGAGTCTTCACTCTCAGAGTTGGAGAAGTCGCTACTTCCCCATTCTGAGGTCACCCAGGAGGAGCTTTCTGAGTCACTGCAGTCAGTAGTGTCACACTCAAGACTGTCCGCAGTGCTTCTGATCCCGGACCGTTCGAGGGACTCCCTGGTCCTAACAAGGTGCTCTTGATTGTAGAGCTTTAAAATGGTTAGCCATTCTACGATGTCAAACGACGGGTCGCTCAATTGTGAGTAATAGATAATATACTCATCTTGGTTGTGCTTATCGCTTAAAAGGTAAGTCTCCTTGTCTCCCCAGGTCGTTAGACTAAACCGGTCTTGTCTGAAGGGACTGCAGATTGGGTCAACGAGTTCATCCGAGAGTAGCGGGACGGCCAGTCTGAGCTTAGCCAATGCACGGTGAGTTACTACCAGATGTTTAGCATGTTCTAACTTCTCAAGTTGGCTTAGATCTTCGATCATGTTGACGGCAAAGCCGTAGAGTCCCTGGGCAGTTCCTTCTGCGATGGCCGCAGTTCGGATATCCGCGGAGGTCACTCCTACAGCGTTCGAGCGAAGGGAGTTAGTCTTTGGTTGCTGGTAAGGAGGTAGACGGTGACGCTTGGGACAGTCTTTGGCGAGGTGACCAGTTTGTTCGCATTCGAAGCACTGATTAAGTTCCCTTAGTTTACGGATGGTCTCAGAGCTCTTAGCGTTGCGAGGAAGGTGCTCACGGCCAATTGATTTGTTCCCTGGACGTCTAGAACTCTTATTACCTTGGTGAGTCCTAGCTGATGATGAACTATTGTGGTTGACAGCATTTGCAGCAAGAGATTGTGTCCGGGGACGATGGTCTCTTCGACTACTGCGGCGATCACGACGTTGAGTCCGGGACTCGTGGTCAGCGGCTCCAGCGGCCAACGTGGGGTTTAGGGCAATGAGGACGTTGGGGTCTTTTAAGTTTTCAAGGAACGCTCGTTCGGTGCGTAAGGCTTTCCTCTCGATCGTGTCCATACTAACGGTGTTAGGGTCGTAACCCTTATCTACTAACGAAGCCTTGATATACGGCTTACAGTTCATCCAGAACTGGCGTACGAGTTCCCTCTCGTCAACGTCACCTGTTGTATCGGCGATGTTTCGGAGGCGTCGTATGTAGTCCTGCACTCCTTGTTTCCCGTCCTGACGACATTCTAGGAACTTCTGACGCTGCATCATCCTGAAGTCCGTTGGGAAGGAATAATCGAACAATTGTTCGAAGAAATCGGTAAGCGTATATTTCTTTTTAAGATCAAGGACATCGCGCTCATAGAATCGATAGGCGTTGCCTCCCAGGTACTTTCCTATCATGCTTATAGTTTGTTTAGTGGAGAGTCTCGCTCTGTCTCGCCAGTCTCGTACTTCGCGAACCCATTTCTTAAAAGTGGACGCGTTAGCTTCTCCGTTGTAAGTGAATGGTGGTTCGTGCTTCAAGAAGCCTTGCTGATATTTTAGTAGGTTCAAATTTGACCTATGCTTATGACGGGCTTTTCGTTTGAGGCGCTTGGTATCTTCAGAGTCACTGCTGTGGTCCGACTCTGGCTCCATCTGCAGTAGCTTCGCGTTGAGGTCGTCGGAGGATTCCTCCTCTGAGGCTGCACCGGTCATGAACGTGGTTGATGTCCTCGATTTCCCTCTGTCTTTGCGTAACTGATTATTACGCGTAAGTGTCTTCAATCTCTTCTTGTCCTTACTGATGTGCCTTGTTTCTTCGTCAGAGGATTCAGTGGATGACCGGTCGTCGTCGGGACCAGGTCCCGATGGCGAATCTGACGAGTCTGGGTCGCTAGGGTCACCACCAACTATAGCTCGTTTGACCGAGCTTTTGTCTGGGAGGAGGGAAGACGCCCTCCAGAACCTGGTGTTCTCTTTGACAGGTCTATCAGTAGGCTCTCTTATGCTTGGTGGGTCATCGTTTATCACCGTTGCGTGACGTCGCTCATTCACGTTCGCAGCGTTCTCTAATGGGGGGGCTGGCGCTGGAGGTGCACTGTCTGGGGGTGGATCTGGAAGAGGCGCGCGTTGTGCCTCTCGGATCAGCTTCTGCGCCATCTCCTCCCTGGTCTGTGCCTCGATGACCAACCTCTCGAGCTCCTTGACACGGTCAAGTAAGTCGTCGACTTCTTCACACTTTTGCGCGTAATCTTCCTTGGCAGATTTTCGGAATCCTTTCAGGGCGAAGTTTTGGATCCTAATTGATCCTGCCCGGTTTTCGTCGTCCCACAGACGACGGAGAGATTCATCGGACTCGTTCTCCCCGGGCCGATTCAACTCTGCCATCTCCTCATCAAAATCTGTCCAGTCGCGCAGGTGGTCCGTGAGCGACCTGAGTTTAGGTTGGTTGTTTTCTTTTCTTTTCTCAAAGCTATCCTTACTGATTTCAGGTTTACTTTCACTAGCCGTTGGACTGGGCTTAAGTGCGGGGAACTCAGGTACATTTCCTAGCTCGTCGTCATCGGTTACCTCTGACCAATTGAAGACTGCTTGCAGACGCGGTACATTATCACTATCGGGCGACGTGAAGGTGCGTAATCGCCCAATTATAGGGCCACCAGTAGGTAACTCGCTGACTGGTGCTACAGGACCCTCATCATTATGTGTGATACGGGTGGTGGCGGCTCCTGCGTTGACCAGCAACGGGGCACTGCTCTGGGCGGGGCTGCTCGCAGCGTCCTTCGCCTGGGTGGACTCCGTGTCCACCTCGTTCAGATCGCGTGGACCGAACCTGGAGGGAAGCTCAGCCATTGGGCTGTCATTCCCATCGTCTCCAGAAACAGGGTTACTGTTTCGAGACCTCGCGCCGTCTTGCTTGTGGGCGCGGCCATCAACGCTCACGTTCCTCGAGGAACGTGGGGAGGCAATTTCTAGTGCACTAGTCGACATTACTTTTTCTTTTGACGATATCGTTGGGGTGGGGGAGAGTTTTTGTGTTAACAAGAGTCGAAGTTTTTGGAGGGTGATCAAGCCTCTTAGACAACGACTATAGCGGAATAGATTTTAGATTTAAAGGCAGTTAAAAATATGTGGCGTTCGTTGAACGTTCACACGAGAAAGAGTCGATTGGTTTGAATCGTCTTAAGGTTCGAACAGGATAACTGTCCTAACTAAATGTTATTCAAAAGGGGGGATGAAAATCAACTACCCTAACAGTAGATATACGTCGGTTTATATACTGTAGGGAAAGAACTCTATGGAATAAGACAGAATGAGTGAATATGAGTATCTAAAGAGACTGATGAAAGTAAATATCGGTTGCCAACATCAATGCGTAGATGTTGGCTTTTTTAACGAGCGTTACAGTGGCGCAGTGGCCGCCAGACGTGGCGCTGGAATTTTAAAAGGGAGGGGACTTCTTGACAATGAAGAAGTGCAACATATCAAGCTTATCCTACGCTGTCACACTAGTAGACCATTTGTTTTACATTTATACCAGGTAGGAAGGCTTTAATCTTCTGAACTCAAAGACGCGGGGATGAATTGTCATGTGATGTTTATCACTTTCCAAGCCCATTTCCCAGGGCCTTGTATTGAAGTTCATGCTACTTACGCTTCGTGTGTGAAGGATTATGGTGTCGTGGAGACACGCTTCTCAAATCTTTCGGGAAACTTTACCACTCTATGCCATACGACCGAGGAGACGCAAATAGTCTTCTTGACGTGTCCAATTGTTCGAATCTACAGGATTAGTACTCAACAAGTCCGCTTATCTGCATCTATGGGAATTACCTGCCAGTGCGTCCCTATCCTAGTAACGCCCCAAGCGCTTAAGCCTGTACATTCTGATGGGTTGGTCATCTATCATTGGTCACATACCGCTATCTACGGAGCGCTTGCAAAGCGCCTAGCCTCCAAACCTAGAATACCATCTTCTAGCATCAAGGGTAATCAATAATTATGCCTCATGGCTTGGGCGTATCTGAACAGGCTCACGTGGGAGATAACGACTATAAAAACGGCGATCATGACTGCTACCACCCCTCTACCCTCGTCTGTACTTTGTCATAGTGAGCTTATCCGTAACAGCAATAATGCCGCCGAATGAACCAGCAATCCCTGGGGCATTAGCAGTAGGTCAAGCTGATACTTCGTGAATTTCTGTCCTGACGTTCCTCGCAGGAGAATATCCCTGAGTGCCCGTCCCCTGAAAAAACGGAGAAGGCTGAACACCACTACTTGCGCCGTAACTTTATATGGGCTAAGGCAAACAATTCAACTCCCGCACAAGAATATGATAGTCCAGGGCAGCACTGGGGTGCTCCGCGTTCGCAATATGATTGGCAGCCATATGACCCATCATCCGTTCAGCCTGCGCCACCTCGCGAGGACATCGAGAATTACTTTTACCTCGATATCCGGTATGCTGACCGGGACAGTACGACATACGCTCTAAACTCCGGCTTTGTGCTGATCTTTTCACAGCGGAACCTGATGCAGTTTTCAGTCATTTCAGTAGTACCTTGATTGACTTCTCGCGGTTGGTGATTTCTGAGTATCTTGTTAAGCGAATCTTTATCCCATCTTCTTAGCATGGCTATTGGCGACGAATTTTTCGAACCAAACCCAGAATCGCCTCTCCCTCACTTTGTCTTCAAACTCGATAAGCTCAAGGCCCACCATTTGGATGCACGTTCAGCTTTATCTAATCTTTCAGGGGAGGAGTTGAAGAAAAAAGCACGCGATCTTGGCCGTTTGGACTCGTTGACCCGTATGCGTCATTTTACTGATGACTCTTGCATTGACCATTAGCTAACACTCCACGTCAGCCCAGAAAACTATACAAGATGCCCAGCAGTACCTCGAGGATCTCGTTGATCAGTTGGACATTCTCATACCTTTGGTTGAGAAAGAGTTCGAACCTATGTAAGAATTTCTGTGTCGCAAAATCAAATGGTGTTTACCCCCGCTTTGTCAGATCCAAGCGCCTGGAACTAGAGCTATCTTATGGCCACATTTCATTTGATCTTCTCAAGTACTACTTCAAGAAAGGAGAGAGATACTATTACGAGTCTTTCGGCGATAAGGTCAGTTAGGATATTTTGCTGGATGTCGTACTGAACGGCTTGTATGAGTTAGCTGGCCTTTGTACTAAATGACACGAGCAAGGACTCGACTTTTGGGCAAGCATGTTTCCGCCGATATTTTCTTCATTTTTGTCATGATTCCAATTCTCAGTATTCTTAGCGTTAATGGCCGTGGTATGATATGGGATGGCCATGCATATGTCTACGTGAGAAGAGATGTTGGCATTGGTCGTTACCCCGTAAGCTGGACCTTCTCACTACTGTTACTACTTTTCACCGATAGGATTGCAGGGGACAAAGGCATTATCTGATCTTGAGTGCAAGATCATGCAAGAAGATGTACACAATGAACTGACTGGTATGTCGTTTTTATCATGAATAACGATGTATGTTCCTACATTCATTCCTGTAGAGCGCGGAAGATTGTATGCTGCTGTGTCGGGGATTCATTTCAAGTCATGTGCGTATTTTTTTGGTATTCCATTATGTTTGGCTGATCTATCATTCCAAGATGATGGCGTAAGCTCTTCGTCACTTACATTCATGACGTTTAACCAATTTGCCGCAGCGCCGTGTGGTCATTGATAAAAATGGCTATCGTAACAGAAAGCCGGGCTCCCCACGGTATTTACCCTCTGTTGATGTCGTAACTGACATGTTAATTCGAGGTTTAGTGACTATGATGATGAATATATTCCCCATTATGCACCTTCAATTGTTGATGGTGACGTACTTCATTCTCGTCCTGGTTCCCCTTGCGCGTATGTGCCATCTTGTTGCCGAACGTCATCATTCATGAAAGTATCCATTAGCGGTGACAACTCACGGCCGGAATTTTTGTATGTTCTCACTAGTGCTCGTGAATGTTATGCTCATAATGACATCAGAGAGGAAGACCGACTGTACCTTTTACCAGTGAAAGTACAAGGTTTCGATATCCATCGCAAGGCATGTATCAACCCATTGACATGTTCATCAAACCCTCATGCCACTAACCTTGCATCAGTCTTGGGAGACGTTTGACGTTCGTAAACTTGAGGAGATCCATTTTGATGAACATGCTTGGGACCATCTCGTTCTTAATAAATCGACAAAGGTAGAAACATTGGCAATTGAACTTGAAGGATCAGCTTCTGATAGTTGATTAGGCTCTTGTCAAAGGGCTCGTCAATGTTACGAGGATGACCAATACATCCAAGGAGGTGTTCTCTGACGTCATTACTGGGAAAGGTGGAGGATTGGTGAGGACACTTACGTGTGGATGATTCTGGTGTCACCAATAAGTTTCCAGATTGCGCTCCTACATGGTCCACCTGGGACAGGCAAAACTCTGACCGCGGAAGCTGTGGCCGAACACTTGAAACGACCACTCTATGTTCTCAGTTCACTTGAGCTTTCGACTGTACCCGCTGAATTGGAGAAAAAGCTGGGTGATGTTCTGAAGGTTCGTGAGCTCAAATTTTCGTTCGCCGTTTCTTAATCATAGCCTTGTCACAGCTTGCAACGACATGGGATGCAGTCGTCCTCATTGACGAAGCCGATGTGAGTCAGTTTCGATGTCTACGCGTCACGTTCATTCCACATACTGCGCCCTTAGGTGTTTCTGGAGCAGAGGAGTCTTCATGAGGTCCGTTATTATACATCTCTTGCAAATCGGTATACCTGAACGTTCTTGAAGTTGGAGCGAAACGCTCTCGTTTCTGTTGCTCTTCGGGTCCTCGAGTACCATCGCGGTGTCCTTTTCTTGACTACCAATCGTATTCAAGCCTTTGACGAAGCCTTCCTATCCCGGTTTTCCATTGGTAACTACCTCGCCTATTAAGGATCGTTTCATCACCTGACGTCTGTTAAAGCCGTGAAGTACCCAGAGCTGGATGTTGACGCCCGTTTGACCATCTGGCGCAAATTCTTTGAGCTTGCTGGGTGCGAACTGTGGGGTGGCAGTGGACAGCCTGAAGACGGACGGCAGAGCCCGGATGAGTTTGTCAAACTTGAAGGACAAGAACCGCAATGCTATGTTTCGCTTGCCGACCTGAAGGAACTGGCTGCGAAGCCTTTCAACGGTATGCACTGCTTTTTATATCTGAAACCCTTCCATTGACTAGTCCCAAAAAAATTAGGTCGTACTATCAAGAATCTTGTGCGGACCGCACAAGCGTTGGCCATGTCATCGTATGGCATCTCCCTGTATGGTGTATGCTCCAGTACTTATACTTGTGGTTTCAGGGACGAACCGCTTTCCCTTGAACACGTCAAGGTTGTAGTTGAAGCGCAAGAGAAATTCTTGACCGAGTTTGCTAACATGAAAGTATGACCGACCGTCCCATTATGACCGCGGATCTTTGGCTATTGTGTAACAGGTTGTTACGTTGTTTTTGTACGTGGTGTCTTTGACAGAATCTTAAACAAGCATAGCATCGAGTCACAGGGTTGATGTCCAACAAGATTGTACAGACACAAGATAAGGTTGAATGAAACTTTTTTGAGGGGGCTTTGGTGTTGGACACCAGTTGTCCGTCGTACGTTGATATTGTAACATAAGGAGACACCGCTGTCCCTGTGGCAAGTAATAGTAGCGTCAGGTTCAGAGATTTGGCTCATCAGTGTCCAAATCAGTGCCTATAGAAACAAGGTAAGGAGGGATCTGTGACGTGAAGGAACAGTAGCATTAAGCGATAATGAACGAAGCCTGCGCAGAATCCAAATACCGCACGGTAAGGTATGTCAGTGATCACTAGTGGGAGTGGTCCTGAAAAAGGCAAAGTGTGAAGTTATATTCTACACTGCATTATTTTTACTTACGGGTTATTTCCGACAATTGGAAGTGAGAAACCTATGATATAAATGATATATGGATTAACATACACCTCAAGCTATAAGACAACCGACGGATGTAGCCGCGATATTAATGTCATGCGGGTAGGAGGGTTGTGTAAGCGTCTGTGCATCTCAGCCTCGTCCTATATCTGCATATTTCTCACACTCGAGATCAAAGGGAGATAGGCTATCGTCGAACGAGCTTGAGGGCGTTGAACTGACTCGAAACATGATATTCAGGGGAGTGAGCAGCAGACGCAGTGTTGAGAGCCTATGCGTCAACAAATGGTATCAGCAAAAGAGTAACTGCTGTATTACATCAGTAAACTGATGAACAAATTAAAATGACATATTAGGAACGAAGATGGGCTCGAGGCTCGCGAGTCGCCAAGGGATCATGAGTAATGTTCGTACCTTGGAGCAATTGGCAAAAATATTCGAAAGGTGACAAATAGCCTGCTGGAGGCTGGTCACTCCGGCGTTTGCGTTTGCCAAAACCCTTCTCGCGGAAATACATGGGACGACTCAGTGGATAGTACCCCGGATTCCCTGTGCCGTGGCCCATCAGTTGACCAATATTATAAATCCTGGCCACATCATCGAGTATCAAAAATACAACGACTTTCACAAGTACTGAAAGTCAGACAGTGATTGCATGGCAGTATGAGAACGAGGAGTAATGGCATGAGACTGAAGCTACGTAAAGTTGATAAACGGTTACGACGGGATCAAGACGGGATATCATAATATATATTTCAATAATTATGGTTCTACATAATCGAGGCGCTGCCAGCATGAAACGCCCATTGCACTTTAATGATCCGGACCATCCAGATATTATATCATTATATACCCGTCGCACTATATAATCCCAGGTTCCGAACCGTGGCATTATTACCCCAACCTTCTCTGAATCCACATCATGTCAGACGCACCAGAAGTCAAGGCCACCTCGAACGGCATTTCTCCTCCAAGCTTCCACTTGCCAGTCAGTCGTCGTCGTGGTGCTCACAGGTTCTTTCTGACAAAGCACTAGTTACCTGATAGACCAGACATCATCACCGCCAACATTCAGAAACTCACGGAGCTAACGCCTAATCCGTACGTGCCATGAGTACTCCAAACGCAAATGGGTACACATATAACATACTGTATGCATGCAGACGCCACAGGTTCATCTTCAAGGCACTGATCAAGCACCTGCACCAATTCGTCAATGAGACCAGGCATGTTTTCTTCCTGCTACATCTCTAGTTCTCGATTGACGCCAGGACTGTCCTCAGTCTAACCACAGATGAATGGATGGCAGCAATTGATTTCTTGACACGCACTGGACAAAAGTGCACACCATTGCGTCAAGAAAACATTCTACTATCAGATGTCCTGGGTGTTTCTGCTCTCGTCGACGCACTAAACAATCCCGTTGCAGGAGGGGCAACTGAGAACAGCGTCCTGGGTCCATTCTTCACCGAGGACGCTGCAGATGGTGAGTTGCAAGCAATTCCAGTGCACGTTTATTTGTAAATCGACTCGCAGTGGGCTTTGGTGAATCGATTGCGTCTGAAGGAAAAGGAGATTACATGTACGTCGAAGGTCGGATTTTGACGACCGACGGGCAGCCAATCCCCAACGCCGTCATTGAAACTTGGGAAACCGATGACCATGGTTAGCTCCTTCCAAATATTATCTTACGATTCATACTCATTATCTCCGTCAGGATTTTATGACACTCAGTACACAGATCGCTCACATCCCGACTGCAGAGGTCGCCTACGCTCCGACGACGATGGTAAATTTGGCTATCGCGCTGTTGTGCCAGTAGCGTACCCAATTCCTGGAGACGTAAGTCGATGTTTCATGGCTATGTGATCTTACACCGAAAATGTCGTCCCTAACAGGGTCCTGTTGGTGAACTTCTTCTCCTTCTTGGCCGGCACAACATGCGGCCAAATCATTTACACATGATGGTCGAAGCCCCTGGTTTCCACAAATTGGTCACGGCATTTTATCCAGATGGCTGCGACTATCTAAGAAGCGATTGCGTCTTCGGTGTCAAGAAATCCTTGGTGGTGGTATGTCTAGGTTCCTGAGTTTCTTTGAGGCCACTTGGTTTGACACTTGTCTTTACAGAACTTAAAGGACGTTGTAGACGATGAGGAAACTCGTAAACGCGGATTTCCCCAGGGTGGCTCATTCAAGTTATTACAATACGACATTGTATTACTCACGGAAGACCAGTCTGCCACGATACGTGCTGGCGTTGAGGAACGTTACACGATTACGCAGGATCATAAAAGTAATAAATCATAAGGGACTTGATACGGATGTATTGCAGATAATCCTGTTTTACTTAGTCATGTGACTCATGTCTTTATTATTAGTGTAATACCGTACCGAATAAAACTGCTAAGGCCATCTGACATTTTTCAGAACGCCCCGTGTGACGTGGAATGCAAAGCGGACGTTCACTAGCACTAGTGTGTACTAGTGACTGACTCCGAAATAGATGGGTTCTCTGTCTTTCAAAAACCTATCTATCTCCCACAAAGACCACGATTGGAGTCACCGCAGTCAATGACACTAGTACGGTCTTGGAGCAGCGCTTTTCCATACACCACTTTTTTGACTTCTTCATTCTCATGCACCATCTCTCGTGTCCAGCATCCTTTTCCATACAGAACTTGGGTGTGTAGTGTAGCATCTCTTTGACATATGATGAAATTTTCATCATGAACCAATTTTCTCGCATCTTTTTGATTTGCTAGTGAGATGAGGATGTCACATAAAATTATGACTACCAATGACAGGAACATGTATGTAGTGCGGAGCTGCATGCTAGGAGCAGAAGAGGATGCAGTGGAAATCACTAAAGAAAGAAAGTGAAGACCGCGCTAATAGCGATGACTGACAAAGAGGATTGATAGGGAGAGGAAGCAATGAGGAAAGGGATGATGACTGTGAGCGCGATGGGGATCTGACACTAGATCTCGTGCGGACGTGCGGTCCAGTCTTGAAGCTTTGAAGCTTGATACGCTGTTCCATAAAAGAAATCAACGGGTGGCGACGGCATAAGGCTGCAGGTAGTAAGAAACGGAAGCGAGATTGGTGTTGAGAGTTACGGACAGGATTTAAAGAGATGGCGGTATTCAGGAGCACTAGGGTTTAAAAAAATGGCATAGGATGCTGCGCAAGGACCGCAAGCTCGACGATTAGGCAACAAAGACGTATGTATAGTATAGGGAAAAGTTCTCAGACGGGGTTCTAGTCCGAATCATAAAATAGAGCCGCATTAGAGCCGATCTATGTATTTCGGAATCGTAAATCACTCCGTTCACTACTACTTAGGACCTATTCAGAACACTAAAAGCATGTAACTAGCCCAATATATAATAGCATACATGTATTATGTACAGATACTTGACACAAACCCAACAGGTCACGCCATCTCAACATCCTCTGCAGCAGTGGCCGCTTTCTTGCCTGTAACACCTTTGTCATCAGCCATAAAAGTGTCAAGTTCGTCATCAAGCTGCTCTGCCGTGGGGGTTTTAGATCGCACAGGCTTTGGAGCCTTTGTCCTTGATGACGAGGCAACTTTCGCGGATCGTGGTTGGCGTGTGCGAGTTAAACCGGCACTGAGAACACGAGGATACAGTTAGAAGCAGTGCTAAAGGTGTTTGACTCCTTACCCTCCTTGCTGTTTCACTCCAGCACCGCCACTCAAGCGCTCTGCCAATGAGGGTCGTTCAATCCTACTCAAGAGCGAAAATGTTCGTAATGGCGCGGTGTCGAATGTGATTTCCATAGATTGTCCTACATAGTGAAGAAAACGATTGAATGAGGACACATCCAGGTCACACCGCACACTCAAACCATCGAATATCAACACATACCTTTAGCAAGTTTACCATCGAACTGTCTTTTGGCACGTGTTGCTTGCAAGGGTGTCTCGAATGACACAACTGCTACACCAGATGAACGTCCACTGCGGTCGTACTTTAAAAATGAAAAGCGGATTTCAGGTTCAGTTTGGTTGTCATCTTCAGTTATATGAGCCAGAAGCGAAAGCGATCCGAATCATCCACAAGCATTGTCCGGTCCATGCGAGCGAAATAAAAATCCGGGTAGGAGGTGATGGGATGTTTTCGAATTCGGAATCATCGTACCCTGATCAAAGGCTCGCGAACGAGCGTGCCTATTTGTCCGAAAATGGACTAGAATGGGGAATAAGGCGCTTTCTAGTCATGGGCGGCATAAGATACTTACCACCAAGTCTTTAGGCGTGATCTCGTAGTGTAGGTTGGATACGATGAGCTTTGTAGTTGAACCAGTGTTGGCTGGTGTATTTGCCTTTGCTGATTGAAGCGGAGCTCGGTCATGGACCCAATGGCCATCAGACCCTTGAGAACGCTGAGGGCATCGATGAATCAGACAAGACACCTGCTACGAAATCAAAACTTACAGTATATGGCTTTTTCTGCCTTTCAGACCTAATGGGAGCCATATAAGATACTTGAACGTCAAGTAATTAGTTCAATGGATGGAAGCGGAGTAGCACGTTGTTCAAGTCGAAGAAATATCATATTCCACAAGGTAATAAGCGGCGTTTGAATTCGGCAGTTTCCGGACGCAGCCCCTGAGTTCAATCGTATAGGTACAAGGTAGTAGGCAGTGTTAGTGAGCGCCAATGAGCATGTAGATTGAAATGAAG